GGCAGGTAAATTCCTCTACTGGTGCCAGGTATGTAACCATTTATGTAACCAGGTGCCAGGTAGGTAAAGGATAATGTCGTCCATCAGGTAAAGCATTATGTAAAGAGACATTGATGGAAGAGGGGGAACCTTTTTGAAAATGCCAAAATAAAACAAACCAACATGCCGTACCGCAAGAGGCTTGCTTGCTGCCTTGGAAACATTCCCGGGTTTCAGTCGTTTGTTGTGTGGGGGGGGTGACGTGGCGGAGGGAGGGGCAATGGGCACGCTCAGTATGTTCATCGGGATGGGGGGGGCACTGCCAGAACGAGGTCGCGAGATACCTGAGGACACCAGAAAACAGGTATTCCCCGTTTCTACGGATAGAAACCACACATTAAAAGTGGATGGGGAGGCAGGTGGGCGGGGCTTACCGAGGGGAGGGTGGCGGTCTCTGAACGGGCTCCTGGTGACGGCCACACGTGAGAGGAGGTGGGGTGGAAAATAAATGTCTTCAAAAGAAAAACCAAAGGTCAGGCATAAGTGCAGGTTATGATAATATTGATCGTATTGATCTTAATCCGCATTACCGAGAGAAGGCAACCGGTCTCTGAAAGGAATCCTTGTTGTATGTCCTGGAGAAACACAGTGACAAAATAAATAGTATATAACACCGTGTGTGTGAGACTATATATATGTGTATATATATACACATGTGTGTGCGTATACATATATATATAGTATAATGTACTGATCTTACCAGTGTTTGGCAGAAGCTCCTCAGTTGGTTCTTTGTCAATCACAGTCACACCTGAGGAAACACAAATCGCAAGTTTTTATATATAAACAGTTTGAATGCAGATATCACAAAATAGATGGGATTAAAGGTTAACAGTGGTCTATTTTACTAGTTAAATTAACATGTAGATGAAGTCGTGATCATAAAATATAAGGTTGAAATACGTTTTGGAGGCCAATTGCACTACTTGGGTCATTTCACTCAGTTAGAAACCTTCCTACGGAAAAAGGACTATTCCGATCCAGCCTTAGACACAAGTTAAGGCAATTTCAGTGACTCGGGGGTCAGAGGTCAGGTGGAGGTCAGTGTACCGAGGAAGGCGTCGACCAGCGTGCTGACTCCTCTCATGGCTCTGAAGAAGATGCTTGGCAGCTGACTGTCGGCTCTTGACGCCTCCTCGTGGGAGGAAGGAGTCAAACCAACAACCAGGGGCCGACTGAGATCCACCAGGTTACTGAAAGAGGTTGAAGAGAATTTAGGGTTGGTGGTATGGAGTAGTAAGAGGTAATGACTAAGCCAACAAGGATCCAATCAGATGAAGAAAGGTTGTTGCTTTTTATCACTGTGATTGCTGACTTACTACCCCGCTACACCCGCTACACCGATTCAACCAAATAAATATGAAATAACTGTACAAGAAAATAGTTTTAATTGTGTTGTGCTTTGGTCAAAAACCAATTGATTATTTACCTTTGATCCGTGTGTATATATTATGAGTTATTTTCAAATATACTTCTATACAACGAGACTTCTTTTTACAACAGAGGAGCCACCCCCTGATGGCCGGGGTCAGAATGGAAGCTTTAAGGCACTTCGGTATTGGCTTCACTTTTCGGAACTGGCAGTCGGCATGTGGGCTTTACCCGAGCAGGTGCAGGAACCTGAACCAGGTGTGAGGGACTCTGGGTTCGTCCAGGTCTTTGGGGATCAGAGCAGCATCTTCATCATGGACTTTAAAGTGAGGGAAGGACGGGCCGAAGGTCAAGAGCAACAGCCTGAACGGTCAAATACAAACCATGTGATGAGATGGAGCACTGAACCTTTTTATCAGTTGGTGTGTGTGTGCGTGTGTGTGTAAACCTGGAGGTCAGGGCGGCTATGACTCGGCTCCATTGCTCCACCACTGCGCCCTGATGTCTGCAGCTGCTCAACATCTGTCGGCCCTTCTGCCACAGGGAGCGAGACGGAAAACAGCGCGAGCAAGAGAGCAGCCAGACCTCGAACAGCACCGCCATCGATAGGTGAGACAACTGCTCGGGGACACCTGCAGGGACGGAGACAGGTTACCAGCTGACCTATAAAGCCGTGCGCAGAACAAACCCAAAACAGTGGAGGTACGTTTGTTAGTCTAAGAGAGCCATGGGTGCGTTAGGGACAGACAGGTGAGGAGACGATTGGGTGGCGGTCACCAGCTCACCTGCGGCGAGCATGGTTTGGTTTATGCAGAGCAGAAAGTTCAGCAGAGTCTCCCAGGTGTCTCTGCTCATCACAGCACTGTCTCTGGCCAATGACTGAACTGCACACAGCACCTGCTGACAGAGAGATGTGTAGACCGGACTCGCCTGGTCCGACCTGAGGGGGGGGGGGGACAAGGGAGTAATATATATATATATATATATATATTACAGAGAGAGAGAGCATTGGGGTTGAGTGCAGAGGGACAGTCTTACACCCCTCCGTCCCCCACAAGTTCTGATTCGTCTGACAAAGAAACACACAGCAGTGGTGGAACTGAAGGATTTGCTTTTACCAGCATTTCAGAGAAACAATAACTAAGTGATGCATAGAACAAACTAAAGTAAACTGACCACCAGAGACTGAACCCCTAGAATCCCCTGGAGAATCTCCTGAAACCACTAGGATCACTCAAGATTCTCTTCAATGACGAGCAGGACATAAAAAAAACTCTTAATGACTCATTTAGGATTTCCAGGATCTCCTCTCAAAGGATCCCCTGGACATCCTAAAGCATCAACATAGCTTTTGCATTGGAACCATTGGATCTAATGGATGTCAGGATTAGGAGATCACAGCCTATCTGGTCATTAGGAGTCATGGGTTCTGGTCAGAGATAAGTGTTGATGTGTCTGTCGGAGCTTTAGTTCAGGTGGGACAGTCTACCTGGACAGGAACAGGCTGTACAGGTGTCGGAGGATCTTCTGGGTGTACATGTTGGGGTCTCTGCTTATTGGAGGGGGGATGGATTCTTTTGGGGAAACCAGGGCCATCAGCCAATCAGTGTAGACGTCTACGCAGAGTTTGACGGTGTCGCCGTCCAATGGGAGAGTTAGACCGTAACACAGGACCTCCATCGTCCACTTCACCTGAATGAAAACCAACGTAACCGATCAGTGTTTGCTTCCAGCTGCCTCAGTGTCCAGTTCATTGGGAACGCCCAGCGCCAACTGGTCCCATCCCACAGCTCTGTAATAAATCATGGTTGTAATGATTGTGTTGATTCACCCGTGGGATTGTTGTGCAGGACGTAGTCTGTGCCCATGGCGAACCATGTCGTGTCATGTTGCTCATTCTGCTTTCACAGATATGAATGAATAACTCGGAGGTGGAGAGGTATTGCATTGCATTTATGACATGAACAAACCACATGGTACAAAGGATTTTTTTAATCCACTTTTAAATCCACCCTTTAAGCGCGTCCACACAGGTGAGCAAGCTGCAGCTGGTGGCAGAGGCCAAGCAAATGATTTCTACACTCAACTACAATTGTTCATCCAGCACTGAAACATGATTACATATCAACACAGTGTGTAGTTAGGTTTCCATAGAGGTCACACACACACACACACACACACACACACACACACACACACACACACACACACACACACCTGTCTGTCTGTGCGCAGCAGGCTGCGGGTGTCAGGGTTTCCCAGGCCAGCTCTCAGGGGCTTCACCACCGCAACAGCGACGTCTCTGCCCACGGAGGGCGGGAGACAGCTGAGCACGCTCACTTGACCCCGCCCACTGGACAGTGATTGGTCCATGGCCTATCAAGCACTGCTCACCTGAGAGACAGACAGGCAGAGAGACATGTAGTTCAGTAGGTAAACCAGAGGGGGATTGTGTCATTATTTTGTAAAGATTTCTGCCAAAATCACCAGCTTTTCCCTCAACTTAAATTCAACCAGTTTCCTCCCACGGACGTCAACACTTCACGGTCTGCATATCACCGACACTTCAACCGCTTTGATTCAGACTGAACTAAAAAAAGGATTAATGGAGTCGTATTCGGTCATTCAGAAACCATCTCACATGCCGACTTCTCCTCTAGCGCCACCAGCTTGTTCACATTTCGGTCCTTCAGTGAAATAGTCAAATATAGAATAGATCACTTTAGCGCCATAACCAGCTCAAAATAACTTTGTACAAGCCCGGTCCAGCTGAGATACCAGCACACGTGGTCCGTATGGGAGACCAGTAAAACCACCACAAGTAAGTTCAAAGCCTCATTTATTTCAGAACGAAAAGGGACTTACCTCCACACGGGAGTCCAGGTGACTGAGCTTCAGGTGAGCAGTCAGTTCAGTAACACACACACACGCACACACACACACACACACACACACAGGTCACTCTCAAAGTCAAAACACTTGGAGCTCAAAGCTCGAGCTCACCAGTAGCTGCTGCTGCCTGCAGGCTCAGGTGGGAAACATCCGTTCCAGTTTAACAGGCGGGAACACTAACTCAGTTTACAATAAACAGACATTTTAACAGACATTGTCAACATGAACAGCTGGTGTCCCACTCAATCTGCACTCGCAAGACAGACAGGACAGTCAGACAGACAGGCAGGGAAAGCTACAGAGATCAGAGAGTCCTGCAGAGGAGGACCAACCAACAATGAGACAGAGACGAACCGCTGGAGACAAGACAGAGTGACTTGTGGGACAGACGGACAAACAGATAGGACAAAGAGACAATTTAGACTGAATATTCACATTACAGCTTAAAACAAGCGTACCCTGTTTCGTCCGTCTCGGGACCTCTTGCTGCAGCTACAATGCTAATGTGAGAAATGATGACATCACCGTGCATGGGGTTCATATGTGTCCTCCTGCTGTGCAAAGGATTGTGGTTCAGAGAAGCACGCTTACTCATTGATATGCAGATGTGGTAGAACATCGTGGTACTTTTACCATTTTACCACCACTTTGGTACTGATAGAACACATCATGATTTCACGTCGAAATGAAAACAGTCACAGTTAAAGATAAAACTTTATTTTATACCCGTTGTTCTTACATTTCATAAAAAAATATTTAAAAACATAAAAACAATCAAAAAAGGTACATTTACTCTGGCAGTGCTCGTTTCCACAGCAACGTGTCACCGGTACAGTAATGTGATTGAGTTTGAGAAGTTTGATTTCTTGAATAAAAACTATAATCTGGTCGCCAGGCGACACAGAGCGGCGCTGTGCCGAACTGACTGGCAGTGAGACGAAGACTAATCCGGACGGATCAGAGGTCAGTAGGGTTCTCTCTTCAGGAACCTGGTGAACATGGCGAACGCAGCGATTGGTTTATCTGTTGGAACCATGTGACCGGAACCCTACGGGAGCACAGAGGTTTAAAGGTCAGCAACAGAGTAAGAGGTTTTATTTCGCCGACAGTCTCCAAAAGCTTGACTGGAAATGAAACAGTTCTATGGAACGAGCACAGCGAAGACGAGCGCGTCTACCTTCACGGTGAGGAAGGCGATGTTGTCAAACTCTTTGACGAAGCCACCGATCTGCTGACCGTCCTCGTCGACGTAGAGCCAGGGCCGCCTCAGGACCTCCACCTGCGACACACCGCGAGGTCAACGCACTGCCCACCTGCAGTCTCATGAAACTGCAGATGTTCAGTGGGATCACAGCTGGATCCACTTGAACTCGATCCGTTTCCGTTTTTTACTTATTGTTTGAAGTTACCTGCTGGTTCAGAGACTCAACGAACCACTCGTCCCCCATGAAGTTACAGGCCATGTCCACGTCCCCGTTGTACACCAGGACCCGGTACTTCTGTACAGAGAACACCTTCAGCAAGGACTCGGCCCGCAGCCAATCACCAGCAGAGCAGTTATTTTACTGGAGCCTTTATTAAATCAGTACGCCAAAGAGAATTTCCTGGTACGTGATTGCAAACACAGTTCATCTCCAACAGGCTTCCCCAGTTCTCCGTTATAAGCATGACAGGCTTTGTGCCATCATCAGGGAGCTAAATCACTAGAACTTTGAATGGAGTCTGGGGCACCAGAGAACGGTGTTGTTTGGGATTTTAAGAGAACAGGTGTGTTCACTGACCAGAGCATGGAGCAGCTTCAGGTACTGTTTCCTGACGTCCAGGAAGACGCGACCGTAATTCTGATTCACCTCAGAGCTGCGTGCAAAACACAAGGCAGCGATATGTTCACAACTTAATGGCAGAAAAACATCCATGGTCACGGAGGTCCATGTTACTGGAGGTTAGGAGTATGTTAGACAGGTATGTTACCTGCAGATGACCCAGTCCAGAGCCTTGGGGCTGATGTGCAGAGCAGTTCTGACAAATGGGTTGTTAAGGTACAGGGTGGAGGGCGTGGAGTTAGTGCAGGGGGGGTCCAGGCGGACAGACAGGTGTGAAGACGCCAGACCTCGCAACTTCTGCTCAGAGCGAGAGGAGAACCTGGTTATCCGTCCATCACTCAGGTGAAGAAACGTCAATGTTAAGACGTCATTGGACTTTACACACATACCTGGTTCCAGAGCTGCGTCCACTGGTGGTTGATGAACAAGTTCCCCAGATCTCTGATCACCAGCTCACCTCGTTCAATACTGACAATCAATAACAGAAAGTCAAGCCCTGTCACCTGTAACGCCGAGGTCACACTACACCTGCCGCAGGTGAGCTTTTTGTAGCTGCTACATATATGGTGTAAATTTAAACATGAACACGTCTTCCCCCTGATGAGACAGAGGTCAAAGAGGTCGACACTTACCTGAATCTCTGCGGGACTCCACCTGGACAAGGTGCATACAGGTTGTACATGTTCAGCCCAGAGGCGTAGACGATCCGCTGAACCTCGAACAGCTGTGGAAGAAACACAACACCTGAAACACACTGGTTTGATATGGATTCGGTCCTCCTAAAGCAGCTTCAGACCAGGGACGCCAAACCTCTGAACCAGCTTCCGTTCATGAGACTCACATTTTTGGAGCAGTTCTCGTTGGGGTTGTCGTAGAAGTTGCACTTCCCGCCGCTGCAGCAGAAGGTCTGCAGTGAGGTCCAAAGTCGACTTCCAAGCAGGCCGTGGTAGTAGGCGAAGTACACAAGTGAGTTGTCATTCATCTCGTAGCTCGACATCCCGTTTCCCACGGCAACGCCCTGCAGGTGATAGACACGGCTAGCATGAGAGGGTTGCTAATGTTAGCATCTCACAAGGCAACAGTGATTGGATACTTTACATTATGGGATTAGCATCAAAGATTTATCGTAGCAAAAGTAAACCCACATTGTGCAGCTGACGTCCACTATCCCGCACCTTGTACTGCAGTATTAGGCTGTAGTACAGTACTAGCAGTACTAGCGTATACAGTCCTAACGTGTAGCAACGGAGATTTAGCGCGTACCTGCAGGTTGAGACTGGCGTCCTCCATCACCCTCTCGGCCAGCGTCGGGATGTAGATTCCTCCGTAGCTCTCGCCGGTCAGGAACAACTCATTCTTGCTGAACTCCGGAAACAGGCGGAGGAACTCCTTTAGAGCCAGGTAGTTGTTCATCGATACCTGAGGAGAAAACAAACACCTGAACACCTGTGAGCCAATCAGAAGCTGGGCCTCAGGCACGTCACTGACCTCTGTGTCGTTGGTGACGTAGTTCCTATCGTCAGAGTACGAGAAGCCGACTCCTGCTGGAGACTCCAGGTACAACATGTTGGCAATCTGCTCAGAAACAGTGAACCAATCAGCCACCGTGGATCGCAGCTACATTAGTTCAGTTTGGTCACATGGTGAATCTGGACCAGTCACATGACAGCAATCAGGCAAATGATCAACTGACCTTGTTCCAGGAGTACTGGTTGTACTGCAGCGTCTCACCGTCCTCTTGGATCTGAAACGACAGAGATCAGAGGTCAGCAGGAGTCGTTATGACATCACACTGATGTCACATGGTCGCGTGGGTGATGTCCCGCGGTGACCGACCAGGAAGGGTCCGTGTTCTGTCAGAAGCCCGTCCAGAGAGCTGCAGCCGGGGCCGCCATTCAACCACAACACCAGCGGGTCAGTGGCGGGTTTATTCTGGGACTCCACGAACCTGAAAAACAATTAATGTCTTCCAGTAATAATAAAATGAAATAGGAAAAGGGGCATCGAGGACGATCACAAAACCAGGACTCATCTCAAGTCCTACAGGTGAAGTAACAATAATACATTTAAAGTTAACTGCAATGACGCAGGTGTGACCGGTGTGGTTCACGTGCGCCTCCGGGTACCGACCAGTAATGCAGATGTTTCCCATCGGCCACACTCAGGTATCCAGAATACTGTTTGAAGCTCGGCTGTTTCTGCAGACCGGGCAGGTACTTCACCTCGTCTGCAGCCGCAGCGGCATCGCTGCCACCCAGCAGGGTGAGCAGGAAGCAACTCAACACCACCAGCTGCATCTGGAGAGGAACAACAGGCCTTTACCGTCTGTATTAATGCCAGCATCTAATTATGAGTTAATTACGAGATAAACCGGCTGTTCAGTGGGAAACTACTCACTTTCAAAAAGTAAGAACAAAACCGAACATGAACGCACAAATGACCAGGCAACTGGTGTGTTTGCGTTCATGTTCTTTTCTGCATGAATATATATATATATATATATATATATATATGTGTGTGTATCTTATGCACGATAGTTGGTGATTGAGGGATGTCGAATGAGGTTGAGTTGTGATACGAGACACAGTTCAAATCAATTCAATCCACACAGGAGCAAATGTGTATTGTTTTTATTTCGTTTATATATATATATACACCCACACACACACTAATAAAATAAAAACTATTTATGAATGAGCAAAAACACACCCTGAGGGATTTAATAATAAGGGTTTAATAAGTTTCATCTTGAGGACACTAGAACATATTCAGGTGGTTTCATATTTGAAAACAGCGAGGGGGGGTCCGGGCGACCTGCCGACACTCAAACAACCCTGACCACCCCCACCCGACCACCGCCCAACCCGCCATACTGCCCACTTTGACACCCCTGCTGCCCCAGAGCCGCATTGCTGGCCGCGGCCACGAGGAGGATCTTTCTCTCCACCAGAGGGCGCAACGAGCAACGGTGAGAGGACGAGTCAAAACAGCACGTGACGCCAACAGGAAGTCGAGCAAGTGATTGTCTTAATTGTGCCAGATTTATCCTAAAAAAGGTCTCCAACTCGAAATTTGTTTTTCACGGTTCCAGTTCCAGTTCCCGAAGCCCCCACCCAGAGGAGCACCGGAACACGCGCGTCTTCGTGAATGGGGTAGAAAACACTTTCGAAACTAGTCAGGGCCATTTGTGTAACGGTCACGTGTTTGGATCAGCGACTGTAGCGCAACCCGGAAACAAGCCGGATCGGCCGAACCAAGAAAACAAAGATCAACCGGGACAACTAAATGAAAACCGCGGAGAACGCTCACCTCTTCAGTCCGCGTCCAGCTGGGGAGTTGATGTGGCTGCGACTGCCGGCAATGAACGCTCGGAGCAGGTCACGTGGCAGCGGCCAGTCACGTGATTTTCCTCGCCCCACATGACTGTTGAAATCCCTGACGAGATTATTTTATCTATCATTGACATATTGAGTATGTAGTTTATGGGCAAAGTATATTCATGTTGCAAGGTATTCAAATTTCCATTTTAATAAAAAGTCTGGTTTCTGAAGGAATGTTGCAGTAATGCACGTCATTGATAAATTAATGTGTGGAAATGATTGGTTCTGATCAGAAGAACTGCGTATCACCTTTCTGCTAAATTTGAATTCATGATCACTCACTAGGATTTCTCCTTATCAACCAAGATCACGGTTGACAAATACAAAAGTATAATTAATTGAGTGCAATCCACATCCTGGCCTCTGGAGGACGCTCTAGTGGAACCACAGACTCATGGAACTCAAAACGGAATTTGAGCTTCTCATTGGATGGATAATTGCATTTTGTTGGATCAGTATCTGACGCTTACTCTTAGTCACGTAGAGAAATGAGAAAACGTTTAGGATCATTAGTGAAATTTACCCAACAATTTAATTCACAAGACATCAGATACATTTGTTTGTATTGCCTTGGGTAACTGCATTTCAGGAAGTGAAAGTTTGCAACAGTTTTCATTGTGACTCAAAGTTCAATCAAAGAAATGGATTGAATATTGAAGTTCTTTATACATAAAAAGGCAGATTTTTTTAGTCTAAAAACAACAATTAAAACTCTTAACCCTGAAACATGTTAGAGATTAAAAGATTCTCCAAACTCAAATTGGCAGTCGCTCGAGACATGAACTGGTTACCATAGAAACTGAACAAACAGCCAAGCTGAAACCAAACCATCCTGAAGAAACTTTATTAAAAAACACAAAACGGATTAAAAAAAAAAAAAAGATCTATACAAGAAGTGAGTTCGGGGAGACAGAACTTCCTCAGGGCCGGGGGGGCGGTCTCATGCCGGGAGGAGGCGGGCCTAAAAAAAAAAAAAAAGGTCACATGATTGGCTTACAGTGAATTAATCGATTACTGAGGCTGTGAGGAGCTGTGCGCCCGCAACGCTAACAGTACCTCTCATGCCAGGGGGTGGCGGCCTCATGCCTGGAGGGGGCATCCCCATCGGAGCTCCTCGACCTGGAGGCATTCCCATCGGAGGACCCATTGGGGGCCTCATGCCGGGAGGTGGGCCCATCATACCTGTGGGGAGGAGTCAGGTCAACCAGTCAGTACACAGGAGCCAGGCTGTGGTTTAAAATGATGTTAAAAACACGGCATCACATGTCCACTGACCAGGAGGTGGGGCTCCTCTGCCCATGGGGGGTAGGGCTCCTCGTCCAGGTTGGTATTGTGTGGGAGCACCGGCGATACTGGCTCCTGCTGCTGCAGCGGCAACGGTCCCTCTGCCCTGTGGGGTCATCACCTGGAAATGCACAGGAAGTGGTCATTACCTGAGCAGGCCAACCAGCAAACCTGAGCCCGAGTCGCTGTTTCCTTATTTACCTGCTGCGAAGGACCGCCCACACCTCTGACAGGGCCGGCGAGTCCGGCCGGAGCCTGAGGCATCGGAGCTCCTGCGGGGACGCCGCGACCTGCTGCCCGACCCACACCTGGACCCCCGGCCACGCCGGCCAAGGGGACGCGAGCTATGCCAGTCTGAAGGGGTAAAATATAAAAACATTTAGACTCCAATACGGACTTTTTACTGAAGCCAGTCTCCTATTGGCTACACAGTTTCACTTACATCCTTAGGAGGCGGGCCCTCAACTGTCATGGAGACCAGGTTCTCCCCCCTCAGGAGAACCAGACCCAGAACCCTTTTCTCTTCACGCTCTGGCTGCTTTGAGTTCTTTGGCCTGCGGGACAAAAACATGTATATAGTGTTAACCAGACTCTAGGGCAATTTAGCACATTCATTTATGAATTTTACAGCGGCTAGACCAAGAAAAACTGCAGATTCTGTATGTGGAGCACTGGGGGCTTTCCGCAAAACAGGACAATTAAATACCCTACAACCTGTGCAGACAAACATTTTTTTGGCTACAGTGATTCCATCTCCTGCAGTAGTAGCACAGCAGCGAACAGCGAGAATAAGCTTGTGCCGAGTGGCCTTTGGAGCAAATATATTTAATGATTTCTCTGCTCTTCTCCCACACTTTGGCAAAGAAATCTTCAAACTCTTAGGAACAAATGAAATCCATTTGGTCCCAACTACCGACCCGTCTACCAGTTCTCTGCTCTAGCACACCAGAACCAGCGGTCGCTACGGGCATTGACCCAACAGCCTCTGAGTTGCGACAAGTAAAACATTTGTCTTCTGGTGCGCAGGGATGATAAACTGAGGCTTGGCACTCGTATGGCTAACGGTCTATTGAAAATCACTCGTGTTAAATGCTGTATAGTCGCCGATGCAGCTGGAGGACCCATTGTTCCGCGAACGTTTGACCGTGTAGCGTTGACCTACTTGATCTTCCTGAACTCGTCGCAGTCGCACAGGATCAGGTTCATGTGTTTGTCGAAGGCCTTAAAGGTGCCAATGAAGATCCGCCCGTCCTGGAGGATGCACCTCATCCTGAAGTCAATGTGCTGCAGCATCTTGCTGCTCTTACCCACCGTCTGCGGACAAATCAGAGACGGGTATTAATATGACATCATAATCAGGAACGCAGACTGTTACAAATCAGTCCTACATCATTGCAAAGTGCTGCTAGTTCTTGTGTCGGAACATGAAGTGGCCAACTGGGGACTTCAGCAGGGACAGCAGATCACACAAAAATTGTCAAAGAGTTCTCTTTAGGAACCAGTAGGCAAATAGAACTAACGACTTCCTTATTGTTGTGTTCACACATTGGGTTACAGCACCAGTATTAATTCTTCGGCTCAACGTTGCCTAAATTAACCGTTCTGGATTCCGCTTTAAAGGCAATACAAAAAGTTAATTCCGGGATCTACAATAATAATTATGTTACAGGTCAAACTTTAATCTTTGAATTTGTAGCATAACTTTGGACGTGCAGATAAAACAGATGGACGATACATTTTATATACAAGTGTTACATTCGTGTCGACACGTGCGGATGTGGATTTAACCAAATTAAAGAACCGATTTAACGCTACACAGCAGCTAACGTTAGCTCGTAACTTCGTTAGCTGCTGTGTAGCACGGGGACACGGGACGCCGGTGCACGTGTCCCCGGTATAAACACACGTTTACCGGTAAATGTTAACGGCATTGGTACATGGATTTAAAACAAATACGAACATCACTAGAACAAAGCAACCACAGCGGCGAGGGGCTAACGTTACAAGCTAACGGCTAACAAACACTGAGGCCTAACCGGGCACAATGGCGGTTAAGGATGTTAAACGCTATACCGAAACCCGTTAACGGCCCCAATCGGTGAACACGAACACATTCGTTGATTACTGATACGCTTCTTAGAGACAGAATACAGAAAATCTTGACTCCGGCCGGTGCTGCTGTTCTTCACCGACGTAAAACCGACGTTCATTCAAACTCCCGCTTTTATCAAAATAGGACCGCATATTTGGTACAGATTTAGAGAACCCCAATGCGGGAAGCAAGCAAACACTGGGTCCGGTCAACGCTCACCATGTTTGCGGTTCTGATGGCTCCGATTCACGCCGGATTCACCGAACAAACCCAAAAAATTGACCCGCGGAGTTACCGCCAGGCTCGTCTTTATCAGAGATTCAACAGGAAGTGACGAGAGGCCGCGGAAGTGTTTCTACCGGAACAAAGAGGGGACACACAAGCAGTTCCCATCCGGGCTACAACAACAGCCAAGCCTACGGTTCCGCAGAATTTATACATAGCCTATTAATACTTGATATTTGCACTAGTTTATATATATACTATATATATATATTATATATACTATATAATTGTAATACGTGAGGAAGAAGCATTTTAACAACATCTTTTTCAACGTATATAAGAACATAAGAAACGTGTTTTGTTACTTGCTAATAAAACGATGCAATTATAATATTGAGACTAAAAATAGATAAATATATCATTAATAGATAGGGATTAAAAAGCTAAGGGTGAAACACTAACGTTAGTTAATTAATAACAATTAAAGAACCGTTTTAGCAACTCTTTATATATTGTTTTACATTACAAATCAATAACATCTGGATGATCACACTTAGGTTTACAAACTCATTGGATAATTATTGATCGTTTCTGCTCTACATCATCACCATCATCATCCTCGTTGGAAGACTTTCCCGTCATCCTGCCGCGGGCCGGTTGCCATGGTGACGCGGGCTCCCGCCGCCGACGGCGCGCCGCAGTGAGCGACGAGAGACACACGGAGGAGAGACGGTGAGTCACCGAGACCAGCCCCGGTCAACGACTGACAACCGGCGGACACGGAGACGGACCTGTCGGTCGGCCCGTTAGTCCGTTATACCCCACCCCCACCCCCACCCCCACCCCCCACATCATCACCACCATCAGCCCCCACCGCTGCTGCGGAGGCGCACGACGGTCGCGGACTGTTAATGAGATCCAGATGAAACGCATCGAGCGCAGCGTGGCTTCGACCCGAGAGACTACGGCAACCTGGTCGGCCGCAACCGGACTGCCGCTGCGGGGTTGAGGACCAGGTAACCGGACCGTCGATGTTTAATGTTGCTTTGACTTGTCGGGGGCTTCAGCAACTACAGCATCCAGGCCGACGGCAACAGACTCTGCAGCGGTTACCAGGCCACGGATTTTCCACGACACTCTGTTGCTTTAACTTACATAAACGGAGAATAACGCAACGAGACTCATCAACCACATATAACCCTAAAGGACTGCAGCAACTAACCCCACAGCAACTAAACATACAGCAACTGTGCCTGCTGTAACTTGTAAAATAATTGTTACGGTTTGATGACCACCATGTTGCATCAGCTGGACGGTAACAACATGATCGGCAACTACAACTGTTGATGTTTGAATCAGTGTGACACTACGGTGTCTCGGCCTGCGACCACACGGGACCTGTCGACTCATCGCCCAGCAGGTGAGTGATGTCACAGCCTCGGTAATGACGTCCAGCGAAACACAGAGCTGATGAGAATGACAAACAAGGGCCAATTCTGAAAAAAAATGCAATGACACAAGTTAAATAATAATACGTTAAATAAGTTGAGAACTAAAGATTCTATTTGTAACATTCAGAGCTGGACTTCGGTTTGTGGACTGTTGGTCTGAATCTCAAATTTCAGCATAAACATCTTCGATTGCGTCTCTGGTAGGGACCTGTCAATCACAGTAAGCCCCGCCCTAAATCATCCCCTGCTTTATGGTCTGTTTGACTCTAAATGAACCATAATTTACTAAATGAAAAGAAGAAAAATTGAGAGCATAAGCTCATGTTTACAATAAGAGAGAGAAGTAGAGTCATTTCCCCATAGACTTCTATGGTGACCAGCAGGGAGTCGCCCCCTGCTGGTCACTGCAGAGAATACTTTTAGTGCATGTGAGCGTGTCCCACTTGTTAGCTAAAGTTTGCTGCTCTGCCCTGCGGTTCCTCCTCGGCTCCGTCAGCACTGTGCTGTTAGACTCCGCCATCTCTGTGAGGAGCCTCTGGTCTTGCTCTGAATTTGGAATTTAGCTGCTAGTGTGAGGAACTTAATATTGTTATGAAACATTTAAAATGCCCAAAATCAATGCCAAATTACAGGGTAACAATAATAATCTAATAATGATTATTCATTATTCATTGGCCCCGATATGGAGCGCCACTAATGCACGGTGCATTGAACAAAAGGACCACATGCTTTCAGTTGGATTATATTACTGGAGTTAATGTTTTCAGTTAATCAGCAGATTACCCAAAGCAAAGTGTACAGTTCTTAGTTGATTGATCATAATTGGAGAACTTTTAATCATTTCAATTTATGTTTGAGTGTAAAGTATTCTATAATTTAGTGCTTTAATTAAAACCATTTCCCTATTAGTTATCTCCCTAGATAACTCACCACATGTCGAGTGTGATGTGAGTATGATGTGGTAAATACATCGAGAACCCATACAGAGGACCCACATTTATTGTGTGCACAAAGTGAACAAGTTGTGGGACAAAACGGAGGGTAATTAATACAATGTCCCTCTTCAAATGAGATCTGTGTGATAAACTGACCTGAGATCTGATTTTTCCTATTAGAGTATTGTTAGAAAATGTTGGAAAAACTGCAATAATGTTTCACCTTAGTCAGTGTTACTTAGAACGTCAGAACGTCTGCGCTCTTTCGCACACAGAGAGCACAATGTGTTTTGGGGTCAAATAAATGTCCTGTTTAATGATTTTACACTGGTGTCAAGTAAGAGGTTTTCTAACACAGAGCAGAGGAGTCCTTCAAGACACAGACTGATCTGAGGTCTGTTTGTCTTTTGAGCAGAGTTACAGAGCAGAAGAGTCACAGACTGATATACGGTTGTGTTGTCTCTGAATAGTGACGTCATCTTCCAGGTGTATGAAACATTTACCTCTTAATGACCTCTGTGGCGAAGCTTTCGAATCAGGAAAATCAGGAAACATTTATTGCCAAAATATGTCAAACATACAAGGAATTTGTCTTGGCGGTTGGTGGAATACAACCAACACCTGAAGACGCGCAAAAGACACAATGAGGAACAAATGAAAGTGAATCTCAGTAAATGTGAGTGGACCTGAAATTCGTCTTCTCCGTCCGCAACGTTGTTTCCGCTCACCAAGACATGTGATCTCATCCGACCCGCTCGGATGGCTCGTCTGCGGTTCAGGCACAGGTAAACCCGTTGCCGTAGCAACGTCAGCATCCCCAGCGTCCCCCCGTCCCCCCCGTTACGTAACGGCTGCAGTCTATAAATACAACAGCTTGTGTTTGTGTGTGTGTGTGTGTGTGTGTGTGTGTGTGTGTGTGCTGAATAAAACGTCCACAAACGTCAACAATAAACCAGAGGAGATAAAGTAATAAATAGATACAGCATTACAAAATGCTGCTACTCTGTACATGGTTTACACAAGTCTTAATACTGACTATTGTCTCTCCGACCCGTCTGTGTCTGCCTCTGTAGATGGGCGTCCTCCCGGGCTGATCGGCTGACCTGGAGTCAGGTAGGTACTGGCGGCTTTGTTCGACCAATCACACGAGCCTTCGTCCTCAGTGTTTCGTCCAATCCAGCTAGAAGCAGTTTTACGCCGCGCGCTACTTGTACTTAAATTTGTTTGCAGTCAGCTGACGGCCTCAGGCTGAGCTAAGCCCCGCCCACCACCGCCCCCCCCCCCCTTTCCAGGTTCGGGTGAAGACGACGGCCAACAGTATGAGCCTCCTGAAGGAGGCGGAGCCTGGCCGAGGGACGGAAGCCAAGGTGAGAGTGTTTTCGATCTAACCTTTATGGAATCTCAAACTAGAATGTAAACACAGCTCCAGGAGCTTTGAATGAAAGCTTGAATTTGGTTGGTAGACGCGAAGGCGCTGTAAGTCTCTGTGTCCTGTGTGCAGACCTGGGCTCAGTCTCTGGTCTACACGCTGGAGGAGCTCGAGTGTAAAATATGCTACAACCGCTACGACACTCGAAGTCGCAAACCCAAAGTGTTGGGCTGTCTGCACCGGGTCTGCGCCAAGTGCCTGAAGAAGATGGTCGACATGGGTGAGTTCCCCCCATCCGGGTGAGAGATGGTCGACCCGGGCGGAGGGTGGCGTCCGCAGCACATCCCAGCCGTTTCCAAAAGAGGCCGGCATGTGGAGCCTTACTGTCGGACTGTAGTCTCTGAAGACTTGCACTGGTCTCTAAGGACTTGACCTGACTATAGAAGTTAACGATGAAGAGAACGATGAAGACTTACTCGTCCTTTATTACTAGAAAAGGAAAAAAGTGATGAAAAAACATTTTTTAATAGTGTCAGTTGGTAAAATCCTTTAAAGCCTTGATGAACGTTTTAATTGATCTTAAAGACTTGAGACCTGACTTGGATTTATCTTTATGGACTGCAGACAGTTTCCCCTACGTGACCTGCGAAGAGATGATTTACGATTAACAGCTGCAATTTTTATTATTTATTATCAACTCAATTTCTTTTGCATTGCCAAAAATCACAACTTTTTAATCTAATAGTGGATATAATTTGGATGGTGATATTGAAGATAAAGGAACGTGATGCAGTGATGTCGTCAAACAAAAACAGAAGTTTTCAATTCAAATATTCACATTGTTGAACTTATAACGGTTCAAATCTTTAATCTTAAACATCAAAGAAATACTTTATTTTTAAGAAACACTGTCCACTCAAGTTCAATATACGATGATGGGAACTCATGGCAACGAATGAGTCAGCAGCTAGAAGCTAACAATGCTAACAACGGCTAACACTGGTGATGGAGCTATTTAACCAGTAAGACCAGTATGACAAGGATGAGCCACGAGTCAAAGGATTCGGACGTCAAACTCTGTGTCATGTGTCTCTTTTGATTCAGGAGAGTCTTCTCCGTCTATCATCTGCTGTCCATTCTGTCGCCACGAGACCTACGTCCCCGACGAGGAGGTGAGACTTTATTAACGATAAGGTGAGACTTTATTAATGAGAGGAGACTTTATTAACGAGGAGGTGAGACTTTATTAACGAGGAGGTGAGACTTTATTCCATTAACGAGGAGGTGAGACTTTATTAACGAGGAGGTGAGACTTTATTCCATTAACGATAAGGTGAGACTTTATTAATGAAGAGGTGAGACTTTATTAACGATAAGGTGAGACTTTATTAATGAGGGGAGACTTTATTAACGAGGAGGTGAGACTTTATTAATGAAGAGGTGAGACTTTATTAACGAGGAGGTGAGAATTTATTAATGAGAGGAGACTTTATTAACGAGGAGGTGAGACTTTATTAATGAAGAGGTGAGACTTTATTAATGAAGAGGTGAGACTTTATTAACGATAAGGTGAGACTTTATTAATGAGAGGAGACTTTATTAACGAGGAGGTGAGACTTTATTAATGAGGAGGTGAGACTTTATTCCATTAACGATAAGGTGACACTTTATTAATGAGAGGAGACTTTATTAACGAGGAGGTGAGACTTTATTAATGAGAGGAGACTTTATTAACGAGGAGGTGAGACTTTATTAACGAGGAGGTGAGACTTTATTAATGAGGAGGTGAGACTTTATTAATGAAGAGGTGAGACTTTATTAACGAGGAGGTGAGAATTTATTAACGATAAGGTGAGACTTTATTAATGAGGGGAGACCTTATTAACGAGGAGGTGAGACTTTATTAACGAGGAGGTGACGCTTTAATCTGTTGGTTAGGGCTGAGACTTATTAAGGAGGTGATTCTCCTCCATTTTCGAGTTCAAGTGTCTTCCTGTCTCTGTCCTCTAATGAAGGTGTGGTTGATGGAGGACGACCGACACATCCTGGCTGTTCTGTCTTGTCAGGACCGAGCCCGGCGAGGTGGAGGAGGAGGTGGAGGTGGAGGAGGAGGTGGAGGTGGAGGAGGGGAGGTGTTGCTGAGTCCAAACAGTCTGACCGGTAAAACATCGGACAGGTTTCCTTTCTCATGTTTGATTTCTGAGTTCAAGACTGAACCTGTCCGTCTGTGTCTCTGTCTGTCCGTCTCTCTCCATGTGACACACACATATATGAATGTATTATTTGTAGTTATTCATTATTAGGAGATAAACTCTGTCTCCCCGGCAGGGGGGGGGGGCGTGGATCCCTCCCACCGGTCCTCGGACTGTCTGGTCATCACCATCATGGAGCTCCCAGAGGACTCCCCATCCTCGGACTCCCTGAGCATGCTCAACGTGGTGGGTCTGTACCGCCCCCCCAGCCTGGACTCGCTGCCCTGCAACCTGCCCACCCAGAAGTGTCGCGCCTGGACGTCCCGCAGCTTCCCCCGCTGCCTGCTGGGGGCGCTTTGCCTGGTCAGTGCGGTCGGTGGGGGGGGGGCGGGGGACCAGCTGCCGGGTGTGTGTGTCTGACGTGGTTGTGTCTGCACAGGTGTACTTCAGCTCTCTGCCTCTGGGGATCTACCTGCTGATGATTGGTCAGCTGTGGCTCGGCGTGGTCCTGGTGAGTCTGGTCCCGTCCACGCTGCTGCTGCTCGTCCTCTACGGCTTCTGTCAGTGTCTGTGTCACGAGCTGATGGAGGCGTTTGCCGCGCGCACACATGCGATGCCATGACAGCAGCGACACAGGCGCTACCGCGGTGACGACAAAATGTCCGCCAGGAGGACACGCTGAGCGCTGCTGACACACGCTGCTATGACGACAAAACGTGGCCCCGACCCACGAAGACATCACTGCTGCCATGACAACAACACTAACGACTGGTCCCCGCTGCCATGACAACAACACTAACGACTGGTCCCTGATGCCATGACAACAACACTAACGACTGGTCCCCGCTGCCATGACAACAACACTAACGACTGGTCCCTGATGCCATGACAACAACACTAACGACTGGTCCCCGCTGCCATGACAACAACACTAACGACTGGTCCCTGATGCCATGACAACAATAATAATGAATGGTCACCGCTGGCACGACAGTCGAGAACAGGCTGCCGTGACGACACACGGTACACATTACTAGAAGCAACAACGCAGCCGTTACGACAACAGAGAGAAACCACAACAACCAAAACAACAATCAGGACAACAATGTGGGCACCAGAAGCAACAAATACATTCACAGCATCAGTTATCCCACCAGAATCGGAACCCAGGGTGTCTTTTGGGTATCACATCTCATTATAAATACATTCAAATAATGTGTTGCCCGGATGTATTGTCATAGAACAGAGTGGATAAAATACTGTATTCATCCCTTCTGGGGATTTGTGAAAGAGACTGAAAGGATTAATAAACAACAACTTTGACGTCCCATGACACAGCCGCGCTATATCATTCACATTCATTCATATCCGTTACCTCAAACCTAACGGCAGCATCGGTTACCATAGCAACCTACCCAATTAAGGAGCAAACCACCGTCATAACTTTACAAGTCCCGCTGTGTAGTACAGGCCTCAGAAAAACCACACCAGAACCAGAACAGATTCACCCAAATACAGACTGACCCACCTGTCCACTGACTCCGCCCCCTCTGAATACCAGCATACCGCTTCCCCCCTCCTCCTCCTCCCCCAGCTGATGACATCATCACAAGGAGGATGCAGAGTTTATCTCACTTTGCTGATGTTTTGCTGTAAAGGTTTTTACTCTTTCCTGCTGGACAAACTGAGAACAAGTTGTTTCATTTTATACACGAAGACTACAGAATCCAAACTGTCAGCTGATGTCACAGGACACCAGCCAGCCAATCAGAGGGGACTTCTTTCTGTGACCATTGAAGCCGTTGCAGAATCAACCAGACTGACTTTAAATAGTTCATCATGTTCAACACATGTAACTTTATCAATATGTGTGAATCTTTAACTGATGTTCATTAAATACACTTGTTTTCTATTTTCTTAAGACACCGGGAACAGAGAGAGGACTGTAGCACAAAGACTGGAAATGAGGGAACTTGTTAGAATAGCTCCATCAAAGTCCTGCTTCCTGTCCAACTGTACTCCCACAGTATTGGCAGAACATAAATAAGTGTTAACATATTATTCCAAGATGCCTTATTAAATGTCCTAATAGAAATGAAGTCTACATTACCTTCTTTATTGTTGTTTGTTATAAAAACAGTGTATACATTATTTTGAATGAACTGAGCGTATGAATGTATTTGTTTCAGATGTGATAGTAGGTCTCTGAAGGGCGTAACCATGGTTCACACATTGTTACATAAACACAATCCTCTGTGAAATTGCCGAAAAAACAGATTTGTGATTGATGTTTTACGACAGTTCTCGTTCTAACATGTCAAATCGCAACAACGTGGTCCTCAGACAAGTCACTTCAGCATTTAAGTACCTCTTCTTCTAATTTTACATCACTGCTTCTACAGATGTTCAAATTATTACCAAACCACATGAAAATCATTTATTATTTGATTTAACAGTCTCCCCTGGTTGCAGACTTTGTGCTAAGCTAACAGTCTCCCCTGGTTGCAGCTTTAGCGCTAAGCTAACAGTCTACCCTGCTTGCAGTCTTTGTGCTGAGCTAAAAGTCTCCCCTGCTTGCAGCCTTTGTGCTAAGCTAACAGTTTCTGCTCGTTGCAGCCTTTGTGCTAACAGTCTCCCCTCGTTGCAGCCTTTGTGCTAACAGTCTCCCCTCGTTGCAGCCTTTGTGCTAAGCTAACAGTTTGAGCTAATAGAGAACAATACAATTAAAGAGTTGTCCGGCTGTTTCTCTTAGTTTTCTGTCTTTATAAAGTGCCATCGTTTGATTTGATGTTTGACTAATGATCATGTGATGAAGAGGAGGAGGATACTGTTAGCCCTCAACAGCTGTTGTGTCACTTTCTGTCTCTGTAGAGGGTGGAGCATGTGCAGTGTGGGCGCCATTTAAACATCAAATAAACTACAGACACTGCAATAAGAATCATTGCAATTATTTTTGGACTATTTTATTTTATTTTTACACAAACAAAGAAACAAAACTGGGAAGATCTGATAGTACATACAGTATAAGCAAGTATTGCAGATTATTTAACCACAGATGTTACCACAGTTTAGAATTATTGTTAGTAAAGTTACTGTTACTGCTCTTACTGTACAATAACTAATGCCAACATTAATGTAACTAATATGAACAGTTATTCTTGCTTCTGTTTGTACAGTTGCAACTTACTGCTGTTCTTAGTACATTAGGTTATAACTTATGTTATTAGAGTCGCTGTAAGGGTTTGGTAGCAACTCTAAATGGACCATAATCTACTAAATGAACATCATGCTGTATTGAAGAAGACTTGAAACTAGAGACTGAGACCATAAACTCATGTTTACAATGTTTACTGAGGGAATAAATCCAGAGAGAAGAAGAGTAATTTTCTCATTTTCTCAGACTTATATGGGACCAGAGGAGTATGAATCTAGATAATTATTTTTTTGTTTATCAACCACCATGAAACCTTTACAAACATGTTTAACGAGACGACAGCAACATCAAAGGGATGGAAAAGAGAACAGCACCTGGGTTCACCTGTCTGTAAATAACCCTGACGTATAGTCCACCTGGACACGTGAATCCCTGATGGAGTTAGTTTGCCTGCAAGACAGAGCGGAGGGTAAAATCAAGAGGCCCATAGGAGGACCTCAGCTGGCGTTAATTAAAAAACAGTGACGTCCCCTGAGAGGAGAAGAAGAAGGTTTATAGAAAACTGCCTGACGTCGCACGGCCCTCCAGCTGGAAGAGTAGCCGGTCGATGGAGTCGTGATCCGCGGCAGGTAGGACAATACTCTCTATACAACTTATGTCTGATTTCAAAGATTATGAATATGTAAATTATATAAAGTGCTAATATATTAATTAGCATTGCTGTCAGCTTCATTTTAATATGTAATCTTTAACATCCGACGTCTAATAAAAATGATTTGTGATTTGCCAGATTGTAAAAAATCTTCTTCCAGCAGAGAACTTTGATATCAACTTTATTTGTTCAATTTTAAAGAGCAGTCCGACACCCAGTTTGAGCTTGAAGCTCTGACACAGACAAATGTCTCACCAATGCTTTGTGGACACAAACAAATGGATTTTTTTCTAGAAAAGTTAAAATTTCTGCTCTAGTAAACAGTGGGAGTAGGAGAAAGATCAATAGGTCTTCGGTCACTTTATCACGCTGAAGAGAGGAAAGATCTGGACTGGAATGGTTTCTTCCGGTAGTTTATCCGTAAAACAGCGAAATCACATCACATAGATATCATAGAAAAGTAATTATAAATAGTTTTTGTAATGTTTTGAATGTATTTTTGTACATTCGTTCAATGTGCTCTCCTTGTGATGACGGCCATCTTTAAAGCCTCCCTCTAGAGGCCAACCAACATTAGACGTTCTATATCATTGCTTTCGCCAACCCATCTCTGCTTAAAATCAATAACCAACATTAGAAAATGACAACAAATCCACACACCTGCCCTGCTCCCCGGCAGCACGGCGATGACATCATGAGCCGGTGGCGACGTTCAGTGGACGAGTTGGCGGCACGGCGGCGGCAGCATGGCGAGTGCGAGCGCGCCCAGGAGGCTCTCGGTCGGGTCACCTCGTGTTTCCAGCAGCTGGCGGTGTCACTCGGCAGCTCGGCCGACAGCAGCTTCCTGCGAGACGAGATGGACGAGACGCGAGCACTGGCGCACCGCATCTGCAGCGGTACGAAAACCTGCCCCCACCAAACGTTGGTACACCTGACTTCCTGTCACTTCCTCACCTGTCTGTCGGCCTGCAGGTCTGTCCCGGCGTCTGATGCGCCTGCTGTCTGACTGTGACTCGGAACCGTCTACGGCAGACGACAGACGGGCGTCGGAGCGGCTGTGGGTTCTCTTCCTGTCCGCAATAGAAAACTTCCTGTTTGACCTCCACAAGGCCTGCAATCTGATTGGACGGTTTCCTCTGACCCAGCGCTCCAATAGGCGCTCGTTAGTAAATGCAGGTGAGCTGATGGCCTTCATTTCCTGTACATGGAAGCTTTGTTATTAGCGGACCCATGAGCCATTGTCTTCCTGCCTCACTTCTTATCCTTCCTTCACCTGCTTTCATTGCTTCCTTCCTGCCGAATTGTTGATTGATTGAACCATGAACTTAAAGTTCTTCAAGGAACTATCTTATAGGTCCTTAGAACAATCAATGACAAAGAACAATCAATGACAATTAAATGCTCCTTAACGATTCCTAGAGCGTCCTCACAAATTCCTAGATCAATCCGATAAACTCTTCAAAAGACACCCAGAGCGTCCTTTGAACTTGCTTATGGTCTCCAATAAACTCATTAAGAGCTCTCACAGTATCTTAAAGGTTCCCTGACACCTCCCCTGTGACAACTACGATATCTTCGTTCGAAGATTTCTGAGATTGTCATTGATTGTTGGTACTTCTTTGGGGAATGTTCCTAATGGAATTCTTTCAGGGGGTAAAACTGAAACAACCTTACGTAAATATCTCCTTCAACAATCCCTTAAACTTCTTAGAGGACCAATAAGCCTCATTAGCACAGTAAAGTACTCGCCTTGGGATAAAACTGAAGGCGTCTGGTACATTTTCCTTGATGAGTTCTACATCCAAGGGCCTTACAATCTCCACGAGGAGCACTGGAATTTATACATGTACATTAATACATGTACCTTCTTCTGGGCCATTTGGCCTTCTTCAAGGTCTCAAGGAGCCTTCTCTGTGATACCTCCTTAAAAGGTGTAGTTACATTTACAGAGAAATTCTCCAACATTTGAATGTTTAACCTCTTTCTGGATTGTAACATTATCATAGACCTCTCCAACCTATTTAAGGCGCCGTACACACTTCTCAAGGATCTCTTGAAATTAATGATTCTTGATCAATATGGTAGAATCAGATTTTATTGTATATATTCCACTAACCTTAAGCGCCTCACCTCGTGTCTTCACTCCCTTTCCAGGGTGTGCCGATGGTGTGGTCGGAGTGGCAGCTCGAGTGGCTTCAGTCCAGGTGCCGTGGCTCACCTTAGAGGAGGAGATATGCCCTGATCTGACCAATCACATCGCAGCACTGGAGACAATGCTGAGTGAGATGCAACTGAGGGTGAGACAGAGATGAAGAAAAGTAACTTCAGAACATATTGAATGTGAAACGGTACAGGTAGAACCGATTCAAGTATACAGTATTATAAAAGGGGTGTTGAACCTGTACCTCTTGTACCTTGGGGGGGAGTGTCTTGTACCTTGGGGGGAGTGTCTTGTTCCTGTCGTAGTGTCTTGTACCTTGGGGGAGTGTCTTGTTCTTGTTGTAGTGTCTTGTACCTTGGGGGACTGTCTCGTTCCTGTCGTAGTGTCTTGTACCTTGAGGGACTGTCTTGTTCCTGTCGTAGTGTCTTGTACCTTGGGGGACTGTCTTGTTCCTGTCGTAGTGTCTTATACCTTGGGGGAGTGTCTCGTTCCTGTCGTAGTGTCTTGTACCTTGGGGGAGTGTCTCGTTCCTGTCGTAGTGTGTTGTACTTGGTGGATTGTCTTGCATTGGTAGCTGTTGGACTGTTTCTACCATCCGTGGTGTCTGGCGTGTCTAAGTTAAACTTCAGTGTTCTGCAGGTTCCTGTTGCGTTCTGGTCGGTAGAGGCGACCCAGCCAGCGTGGGCTGAAGCTTGTGGTGAATTTGAACAACCAGATGATACCCTAGAGGAGCTGATGGAGGTTGAAGTGATCTCTAACAAGGTGCCCTGCTGCCAGCCCCAGTGCTGTGGACTGGGCTGTGTCGGATAAAGGCGAAGCAGGTGTGGTCACGATTGACATCGCCTGGAGTAACTATCACTGACAAAAGGGATGCTCACATTTATGCATTAATCAACTGTTAGATAAATGTCCTTGTTTTCATTTTACTACAGCTGCTAGGTGGAAACATTTTATACATTGATCTGATGAGAAAGTTGTCTTTTTGAGCAGTTTGGGAAAACTAATGGGATCAAAGACTTCATTGTCTTCCTCAAGGTCCTTCAAGGCCTATCTGATGAATTGAGCTACAGCTTTTAGATGTAATATGTTCGAAATATCAGACCTCTATACTAAAGACTGACTGACAATAACTATTGACTCATTTTATTCAAGCTAACAGATGTTGAAACAATATGATCTTCAGAAGGCTGACATTCTTAAAGTACAAATCAAACATTGGACTAGATCATTTTAATACCAGAGGTTTAATCTGAGAATCAACCAGTTGGACTTACGGTTCATAATAAAATAGATCCTGGAACTGTTCTTATACTGCATACTTTTAAAAATACAATATGTAGGAAAGCCATAGATTAAAAGGTACCAGGTTGTTGATAAAGATGTCAGAATCTACACAAACTGCTTTTGTCCAATAAAGTCAGTCAGTATCCATGTGTTGTTTTAAGAACTTTATTGATATACGGCGAGATGGACAAACATAAAAATATTTTACAAAACACACAAGGCAAATAGACAGAACGGGAAGAATAAAACGTGGATTGCATCAAATCTGGAAGGTTGACTGTAGATGGGTTTTAAAGGCTGAAACAGACAAAACAGCAGTTAGAAATACATCTCCCATCAGCCCCGGCTTCCAATCTGACCACAGGTTTGTTTTACGGTGAAACAGCTTGTGCGTCCTGGAGACGTTAGTTAATTTTAAAACTGATCAGCTTTAAATATCGATACAGCCCAAATATCTGAAATTGTTCATTTTAGAGAGGCAAAGAAGTTTCTGTCATCAAGCCGCAGTTTATCAGTATATGGAGTAGAGGTTTCACCCTCAATGAGAAACACCGGCCAATAATTATCCTGAGCAAGAATACAGCTGACATAAAAGCTTCCCTCCCAAAGAGCCTGGAAAAATGATTTGTGCCTAATGTCATAGCACGAATGACCAGAAATATACAAGTAAATTACAGCAAATGCGCCAAGAACCCTGCAGCTTCTCACCTTCTTGGTTGTCCCACATTTCAGCAGCAGTCGTGTTTAACGGACTCTCGTTGTTTGGTTCTGAAAAAGACATCAACATGTCGTTTACACAAATATACGACAATGCGTTTAAAAAAAAAAGAAAAAAAAAAAAAGGTTTTGTTGCCAGTGGAAACCACTTAAGACAAACTGCAGTAAATTTAAATTTAATGTTATTTTAATATATCCCACGTAAGTAATGTGTAAATATTGCTGTTGGAGTCAGGTAACCACGGTTACCTCCCAGCAGACTCTGGATGGACAGAAGGATGGAGCGCACGTCGTAGAGCGCCGACCATTTGTCCTTCAGGATGTCGAGACAGATGAAACCCTGTTCGTCCACGTTAGGGTGAAAACAGGAAGTGACGAACTTGACACGAGGCGCCTGATATGGGTAACCAGCGGGAAACTCCAACGACAATCGGTACCTGAGGCCTTCATACACCTGAGAGACGTACAGGTAAACAGAACCTTTTAGTTAGAGGCATTCGATTGGATCCTAACAATGGCATGAGATCGAGTGAGCCAGCGCACGGACCAATCGGTGTCCTGCGAGGAGCTAGAGGCGTGACTGAAGACGCGCGTGATGAGAGAACGGCAACTAGATGGCGGGTCATGAGGATGTCAGCGTAGAGGCTGTAAAAGCGCCAGTCAGTTCAGAACTGGTTCTGAGCGACCGAACACATCGGTTGGTGCTCCCAGCGCAGTTCTGATGTCATGTGATTATCAACCAATTGCTGCGCTCTGCGCGTGCGTGCGTGCGTACGTACCGTCCCCTGAGCGCCGTCAATGGTCCCGATCCACTTGAAGAGATTGTCAGACTCCGGAAAAGCAGAGATCCCCTTTATCACCTGACATCTGCAGCAACACAGAGAGAGGGTTCATGCGATGTCACCTCAGCAGCATCAGTCAGGTGATGACACAAACACACACACAAAACTCACCATCAGAGTCATGAGTTCCTGCTGCAGCCTGCACACACAGAAACTTTAATAGCGTTGCATCCAACCACATCTTTATAGCTCAATGTATGCATATTTTTTGACTATCAATGCTAGAAAAACTAGTTTAGTTATTACTTGTCAATAAAGTCTTTACAGGAAACACATCAGTTAATAGCAACGTTAATTTGCAATACATGGATACATGAGGAGACAGGGTTCAGTACTGCCTCTCCAAGATAGACCTTGAGAATTAGAATTAGCATCTCCAACCGGAGGAGTTTAATGAGACTGCAGCTTCCCAGAATCACACTGAACAGGTCCGGAGCTCCGGAGCTCACCGTTTGGACACCGAGCTTCTGGCCGCGCTGCCGCCGCTCTCGCTGCCCTTGAGAGCGGCTGTGGACGAGGCTGCTGCCGCCGCGGGGTCCATGTTCTGGGAGGCCATGGTCGCTTCGATGCTGGAGACGGACAAGACAGAGGGGCGGGCGGGCGGATGGTCAGAACCGGGCCACAGCTGGTCGAAGATAGCGACAAAACGCTATAAGGGCAGCGGTTAAGCGTTCCCTTTAAACGACCGTTAGCCAACAGCAGCTGTCGGTACTTAGCCGTTGGTTAGCTTATACCGGATGTAGCAGCGCGTACGAATATGTGCCGGTTTGACTGTAACTTAATACAACGTTAGCTAATTACAAAGCGCAGTGTCTACTGGGTTTAAACAGTCGGTGGGCCGGTGCAGGTCAGTGAGTTAACCCGTTCCAACCCGGTTCGGTGTTAGCCCTGTGCTAACGTTAGCTCACTCGGCTAGCCAGAGATCGGCTTCGCGGTTAGCACGTTTCTAAGTCAAAGCACGAAGAGACAACTCGCCGCTGGAATAGTAACGAACACATTCGGGTGTATAATCCAGGTGAGAACTCTACCTGCGGGACTCACCGTGCGTTGGTGCGTTATCGGGTCGAGCTGCTGATTCAAACTGACCTCGCTCCCGCCCCCTCTGTTTAAACCAGCGTTTTCTCACACACGGAGCCAATTGGCGTCCGATGTTCAAAAACAAACTCCTCTTACAAACCAATTGGCAGGGTGGGGCGAAGTGAGCTGGGCTGTGATTGGGCGAGAGAAACGTCAGGATCTTTTTCCAAAGAACGCGTCACAGGGTTGAGACTGGTAATTAAGAAAAACCTTATGGTGTTTGTTAAGTTTGTGGGGAAAGAAGTTGCTCTGTGTTCTGTATAGTTTGCTGGATGACAGCAGAGTCAACCGCAAGTGGTGGTTGTTGTTTTAATATTTCCTATTAAAAATAATATCGGTGTTCTTAACAGCTTCGAGTGCAGGATCAAATCACACGGATTTAATTAAACCACAGCCCACGTCTGTTAAGTGGCGGTATTGCAACAATATACAATAAAAAGTTACAAACGAAGAAACCAAAAGTTGTGTGTTGTTTATATTTTGTACACGGATTATTATTTTATTGTACCCATTTTTTGGTGTTATTTAAACAATAAAAGTACACCCGGATCCACACTGCATACTAGTTGGTGGCGGTAATGCAGCAATTTATTGTTTCCAACTGCCAATAAACCTCAGAAGAAGAAGCACCGGAAGTAACTTTGTTTTGAAGGATTGGTGTTTCCGGCTGGCCCTGGTCGGTGCTTGTGCTCAGAGTCGAAGATGAACGCGCCTCCCGCCTTCGAGTCGTTTCTTCTGTTTGAGGGGGAGAAGAAGATCAGCATCAGCAAGGACACGAAAGTGCCGAACGCCTGTTTGTTCACGCTGAACAAAGAGGACCACACGCTAGGAAACATCATTCGAGCGTAAGATGCGAGCTAAGAGCTAACGCAATGCTAACACTGCAGACCCACGGCTAACAGGCGTCATTCAGCCGGGACCAGCTCTAAGGCGGTTTATAAACTCATCGATTCACAGGCTGTGTAGCCCTGTGTTACGAGTGGAAACATCGGGTAGCTGTATCACTGTAGATTTTACCTTTTTTTATTTTGAAATGTTTAGTGTATTAACTTGTACCTCTCTTGAAGTACGAAGTCTGGTTATCACAGTACACTCGCATCTAGTGCAGTATGTTAATATACTCAGTCTTGATTGATACAAAATATGAAATCTGGCATATTACAACAATTTGTGTAAAGGTGTTCAGCTTGACAAAGTTTGTCACAATGAGAGTTACTTTCTAACCTTTGAGGTAAAAGATTCAGATCTTGATCACGTTTGTTTCTGTGTGCCAGTCAGCTGTTGAAGGATCCGCAGGTTCTGTTTGCTGGTTATAAAGTTCCACATCCTCTGGAACACAAGATCGTCATCAGAGTGCAGACCACACCTGACTACAGTCCTCAGGTAACACACACACACACACACACACCTGACTACAGTCCTCAGGTAACACACACACACACACACCTGACTACAGTCCTCAGGTAACACACACACACACACCTGACTACAGTCCTCAGGTAACACACACACACACACCTGACTAAAGTCCTCAGGTAACACACACACACACACACACACACATGCACACAGTCCTCGGGCACACACACACACACACGCATACAGACGTCCAGAGACACACACACACACACATGCACACAGTTACTCAGGCACACACACACACACACACACACACACCTGACTACAGTCCTCAGGTAACGCACACACACACACACACACCTGACTACAGTCCTCAGGTAACACACGCACACACACACACACACACACACCTGACTACAGTCCTCAGGTAACGCACACACACACACCTGACTACAGTCCTCAGGTAACACACGCACACACACACACCTGACTACAGTCCTCAGGTAACGCACACACACACACCTGACTACAGTCCTCAGGTAACACACACGCACACACAGCTGACTACAGTCCTCAGGTAACACACACGCACACACACCTGACTACAGTCCTCAGGTAACACACACACACACACACCTGACTACAGTCCTCAGGTAACACACACGCGCACACACACCTGACTACAGTCCTCAGGTAACACACACGCGCACACACACCTGACTACAGTCCTCAGGTAACACACACGCACACACACCTGACTACAGTCCTCAGGTAACACACGCACACACACACACCTGACTACAGTCCTCAGGTAACACACGCACACACACACACCTGACTACAGTCCTCAGGTAACACACACACACACCTGACTACAGTCCTCAGGTAACACACACACACACCTGACTACAGTCCTCAGGTAACACACACACACAGCTGACTACAGTCCTCAGATAACACACACACACACACACAGCTGACTACAGTCCTCAGGTAACACACACACACACACACCTGACTACAGTCCTCAGGTAACACACACACACAGCTGACTACAGTCCTCAGATAACACACACACACACACAGCTGACTACAGTCCTCAGGTAACACACACACACACACACCTGACTACAGTCCTCAGGTAACCCACACACACACGGTCAGTCACTGGAGGTCCAGCAGCTTCTCAGGCTTTTTTTGTTTTCACAGGAAGCGTTTACGAACGCCATCACAGATCTTATCAGCGAGCTCTCTCTGCTGGAGGAACGCTTCAGAGTCGCCATCAAGGACAAACAAGAAGGGATCGAGTGATGCCACGCCCCCTAATGATGTCACGTCCCTCAGTTTGATTATTGGTTTATTTTTGTAAATAAAATGTGATGTCACAACCTGGGGTTGGTTTTCATTTTTATTTATTTTTTAAAAACAGCATTAAAAATAACAAGTGATCACTGGGAGAAGAGGGGGGGGGGGTCAGGGGTCAGTGTCTCTCTGACCCTCCATGGCTCTTTGCATCTTCTCCACCATCCACAGAGGAACTGAGAATGGCTTCAACTCGTCCATCCTGACATCTGGACAGTCCCTGCAGGTACCACACACAGCTGTTACCGCAGAAACCATAGACAGACACCCTGTGGTGCTGGTTACTATGGAGACGGAGTGCCGTCAGACTCACTTGTATTCATCACTGCGAGACAGATCCTGGATGTCCTCTTCAATCAGCAGGTAGGCCTGAACACACACAAGTTGCAGTGATGCGTTCAAGTGCAGCAGTCTGTAGGAAAGTTCTGTGTCTTATGTTCGGTGATTCGTCCTCACCATCTTCCCCCCTGTCGCTCTCATGTGGTGTCGCTCTGCCAGCCACTGCTTATCTTTCGCATCTGCCGCATACTGAAACACACGCACACGTTATTTAAAGACACACACAGGTACACGCAGTGTTTTGTGTTTTTGTTTTTTTACCTTAAACAGATCGGCGTGTTTGATGTAGATGCGTCCTCTGGTTCCGCCCATCCCCAGCGCCCTGCAGTGACATCACAACACACAATGACTTCCTGTTCAACTGACCACATGTCTACACCTTTACAGGACCTAACGTTTAAATTATGTTACAAACATGTGTTTACTTGTTGTTGACATGACCCTTTCACAATGCTTGCATGATTTTTACTCACTTGTTGGCTCTGGAGCCGAGAACAAACGTGCTGTTTTCATTCAGTCTGGATGGTTCCCACTGAAACACAAACAGATTTAGGAAGCAGTGCTGGAACACCTGTAACCTGTGAAACGTCAGGTGAGTGCTGACCGACCTCCTCTGATAACCGTGTGTGTCCTCAGAAAAGAGACGGCACATTCAACTTCTAACCAAAAGCAGGTTTAGTGAAACCTGTTGAATTGTTTCAGCCAGATATTGAGGAATTCAATCAAAGATATTTGAGTGTCACACGGCTTGGAACGGGTCTGTAACCATGACGATGCAACCGAGCGTCGGCTTGTGTAACCTGACTCACCCTCGGCCCTTCTCTCTTGATTGGATCCGACTTGAGCTTCACTCTGAGGACAGAAGAGTCCAAAGGGATACGTCAGGTGCTCACGTGATTCACCTGAATAGTGATGATGATGATGATGTCATGGTTTGCCGGCAGATACTCACTGATTGGGAAAGTTGTGGGGTCGATCGGAGGCCGGCACTGGGCCCGGACGAGCCCGTCTCTGTAGACACACAATGGTCACAAAGAGAACTTCACAACTGTGGATGTTCTGATTCCGTCATCAGTATCTTAAATAAAGGTTGGTGCATGTTTTAATTTGAAACTAATAAATGGAAGCAAAAATATTTTGACCCAAGAGAGCTGTTGAGAGCCATTGTTTACGTCTTTGGTAAAAGACCTGTCAATCAGCGTTTGGCCCCGCCCTAAAGTATCCCCTGCTTTATTTAATGTAATAAAATAATTTAATAAATGAACAGTATGCTGAATTGAAGAGGACTTGTAACTAGTGATTGAGACCATAAACTCATATTTACTGAGGGAATAAATCAATCGAGTGGAGTAATTTTCTCATAGACTTCTATGGGACCAGAGGAGTCGCCCCCTGCTGGTCACTGGTGAGAATGCAGGTTTTAAGACACTTTTACTCAACTCTCACAGCCATCAGAAAGGATTTGTGAACCGTTGAAAGTAATATTGTCTGTCACCTGACCGAACAAGCAAACACCTGTGAAGTCAAAGGTGAGGGTACCTTCTTGGGGACGGGGCTTCCTCTCTGACTGTAGTCTTCATCAGCAGCGGGTCTGGACCTCTGACGAGACACACAGAACCAGATCAGAAACCACAAAGGGTTAAAACATGATCTGGCAGTTTGCATCTGTCATCTCCTACCTTGATGGCGGCCTCTGACCTCGCCCTATTCACCTCTGCCTCCGGGAACAGCTGTTTGGCCTGGGGGGAGGGGGGTGACATCAGAGAGACCAATGGTTACCACACAGACCTGAAGTCAAAGGTCATGAGGTCAGAACCACCACCACCCCTTTCCCGTCATATGACACCCGCTTGTGGACAAACAGGTTAATACAGCGGGGGTCGCACGATCGGCTGTGTAACAGGACCACAGGAAGTGACCTCACATGTTCCAGAACGTTCCTGGAAGCCTCTCTGATCAGCTGATCGGTCTGAACGCTCTCACCGATGTTTTCCTTCACGTTCTCTGCCGCTTTCTCAAAGAACTGGGGGAAAAAAACAACAGAACATTAACACACATCTGCCCACATCTGTCCCGACATTCTCACATCTGGTTACCGACCAATCCTCTTAAAAAATATGTTGCATTGGGAGTTTTTCCTATTCAAATACAAGAGTCGTACGTAATGTGAAGCGAGTTGAACATTTTTCAAATGAATTGAAATTGAAAGGTGACCTCTGACCTTTTGATACTTCTTGAAAACTGCCATGATGTCCTCGTTGAAGCTGGGCTGAAGCACAGCCCTCAGCAGGTCCATGGACACCTGGGGATCAGTGTAGCTACACACACACACACACAACAGTGTGGCGTGAGTCTGCATGTAGCAAACATCACCTGCAGACTTCCTTCTGTCTAATCAGTCAATATACAGTTAGAGACTGTCAATTAATCAATACGCTTGTCAAAGATCTCCAACCGGTTTGTTCTACGGCTGCTTTTCTTACTGACTTCTGAATCACTTCTCATGTTTGAACTGGGCATCATGCAGCGAGACCAGTGTGACTCTGAATAACCCGTAAACCAGGACTGACCTGACTGTCATGTGGGAGCGTCGGCCTCGTCTCTGTATCTGTCGGTGTTTGATCATCAAATTCCACGGCTTCTACACAAGAGTATATAGAACATAAGTGAATCAATGAAAAACGAACCGATTCATGAATTAATGTCATTCAACACATTACATTATGACAATCATTTCATTAGTATTTATTGGTCAATTGAGTTATAAAAAAAGTATTTTGTTAATCAAAACAATATTCAAAGAAGAATCGATAATGATGTGCAACCATAACGTCATAATATGACAAATATATGAATTTAAAAATGTTTACTTAAGTTCACATAATATAATTTGAATAACAAAAAACTTGATTGAATGAGCTCAGGTTCGGACTAGGAGCTAGCTACGCATTGTTAGCCGCAGTTAGCAGCGGTTCGTACCGGGCTCTGCTCAGGCTGCTCCGGCCCGTCCTGCTGCAGCCAGTCCCGGCCTCCCTCACTGCGGTGGGCTCCCATCTTAGAAAGGTTCGGTCCACTTCCAAGCTAACTCCGCTAGGCTAGGCTAACAGCAGCTAAAGCTAACGGCGGTAGCTCCGTTCAATCTCCGCCGCGTATTGTTACAGAATCCCGTTACTCTTTTTAAACGTAAAGTCAAAGTGATGAACGACACCAAGAGACGGAGAGATGTTTACTGATAAACTGATTATTGATGATCGACTAGGACTTATTGTGTCACGGTCTTGTTTCCGGTTGTGTGACGCCAGTAGTAACGGTAACCCCTTTCCGGTAATTACTTCAGAATAAAAGTACCAGAATCCAAAGACACATTTCAATAAACGCGTCTTGTTTTTGTTTTCATAAGCGTGTATAACAGATACTTTGTGCTCTTCGTGTGTGGATATTATACCAACTAATGAAAACTCATTTTGTGGTTTCAAATTAAACAGGATTTAAGATGGTTATACAAATTATAGAAAATATACTGTATATATTATAAGCAATGGACTACAAAAAATATTAATGTTTTCTTAAGATTAAAAAAAGAGAAGAACATCAGATAATTAAACAAACGTTTATGTCAACCAGAGTGTTAATTATCCAACCTGTTATCCAACTGTTTACACGTAGTAAATACACTAATGGGGTTTGTTACCTGACGTTTGACCTTTCCGTGTATGAAATGAATGATGTATATGTGTACGTATGATACACGAGTATCACATGACAAAAAGGAGCTGGACAGGCGTGTCACTGGGTTGGGTATGTTTTTACTGGAAGAGTGAGGCTGCGTTTTGCTTTGCAGGATCAAAGAACAGACTATATTTACATTCTCCAGCTGAGAGGACAATAAAACCATAAAACACAATTGGGTTTGTTTTTTTGCAGCTCTGCAATGTCGCTGCGTGACATCACACCTCCGGCCACTTCACATTCACAGCATCGCTGGTCTCAATCGAGACAACAGAAGGAACATGGTTTTCAGCAAAAATAAAACTACTGAATGCGTCATCTTGTAATTGTGACTGTTGTTTCATAAGCCTATTATCACAAGGCATTATCTGTTAATCAAAGCTTTAACAATGAAGCCATTCATAAATGATAATTTCACAAGTATAATGTAACTTTCCCCAGTACTTTGAAATGATTTGATTGTGAGACAGAATTCTTACATTGCGATCTTTTTGTCATTATTACGGCATCACATAGTAATTACAAGACTAGTTTCTCTTAAGAGAACATCATAACTATCATTTTATAGGAGATATTTTATTTTGTAATTATGAAATATGAATATCACAAATACAAAGAAATCTGTCAGGATATCTTTTCTCAGAATTAAGAAAAGATGTTCTATCAATTACGTGATAAATAAAAGACATGATGTAATTATTAGACACGGATCTCAATTACAAGAAATTACAGGTTTTGGGATGAAAATCTTTAAATTATAAATTCTCTCGCGACTCAATTTCCTCATTATTATAATTTTTTGTAAAATTATACCAATGGAAATTTGTTTTCTTGAATTTATGAAATGCAGAATTCATAAAGACTGGAAAACAAATCAAATTCATTTTAATCCCAGAAATATTAATCTTAATTACAATAAAATATCTTCAAAAAGGATTTCTGGCTTTCCATAAATATGAAAGAGACCGTCCAACATTATCGAGGTTTAGCACAAATCCCCAAAGCACGGGGAAACTTTTAGCTTAGCGTCAATACAATTTTTTTTTTAAATCCACCTTCCCACAAATCAAACAGCAAACACAATATACCAAAATGTTGGAGTGTTCATTTAAGGAAAACTTTAACGGCTAAAACTAGCAAGTCGTAGAAACATCTCGAGACGCGGCGCAGCCCAAAGACACATTCAGGATTACGAACATCATCTAGAGTCCAAAAGGTTTCATGCACAAGAAAACCCCAAAATATCCCCCAAAAACAGTTACTGAAAAGAGAACAGCGGAGAATTATAAAAATAATGTGGAGTATTCTGCTGGTTAGACCTCAGCATTACTGATGCATACACACGTCTACCTTTACATACAAGGTATAGATTTTCTTAATAACACTTTGGTTTAGTTTAAAACAAACTATCATAAGCTGTATAATACAGAACAGATCCCCATTTTTAAAAATTAAAAAGAAATGAACAATTCAATTTTGTTTTTGATGACTTTAACAGCAGATGATGAAAACATAAAGACTACATATCAGTTTAACTGTACATTATGTACACAGCCAGGGAGGACACCAAAATCGCAGAAACGTACGCACCATCAGCCAATCAGAGAACAGGATGTGTGATGCCCCAGTGGCAGCGTGCGGTACTGCAGCGCCCCCCGAAAAAAAACATATCACAATAGACAGCCATCAGAAAAGGGATGTCGTAAAACCACAAACTGCAACTCCATCATACATAATTTGATCGATCAAAGATTGTATTTGAAAAGTAATCATTACGCAAAGCATGTGGGCGAGGCTGGAATTTGGGGGCGGGGCGAGGGAGCGACTACTGTGCGTAACACGGATAAGGAACAAACATTCAGAGGAAGCAATTCTCATAGAAACTCTTTCGTCTTGGGGTCCGGTGTCCAGTTTTGTTTTACATCCACGGTGGAGTCAGGAAGTGTGAGTCGCTGTTCCTTCAGTGTTTTCATTAATAACGGCTTGCTTTTGAAGATCTGTTGGTTCATAACTAAAATCAAACCAGATAGTAAGTTGATGTTCAGCAATATTAATGGTGTTAAATGCAAATACATTTAGAACAAAGAAAATCTTATTAGAAGATTTTTCTAGAAAAAGGTAAAAATATATATCCAAAAAAGGGGACACGACAGGAAAAATATATATATATTTTTTTAAGCATATTGACACAATGAGAAATAAAGCCGCTTTAGGTGGTAAACGGGATTTGGTGAATGAAGACAGATCAGGAAGCCTGAAATAACTTCTCTCCACCTGGTGCCAAACACCGGTCACGTCTCGGGTCACACTGCCCGGTGGCTAACAGCACCATAGCAAGCGTGACGGGACGTCAGTTCGATTCCCAGGTTAGAGTCTCAGTTCAGACTGGCAGCAACTACGATGTCACTGCGAAAGCTGGGCCTACTCCTGCCCAATGAGTTACCCACAATGCACCGCAGTATTGGCGGGTTCATGCTCTGAAGGACATTTGTCGACTGGTCAGACCGAAGCGAGGAGGCGGGACCTGTAGACGTTCCCTCTCAACGAGGACCGACGGGTCCAATAGAAATGATAGCTGCCTTGTTGACCAACCACCAAGCCCTGTCGGTGCGGAGGACCAATCAGAAGTCTTCCAGTGACATCACAGGAGAATGAAGAGGTTTTTATTGCTGGAGCTCAGCTACGTTATCTAAACCGGCTTCCTGTTGCTGGGCAACCGCAACGCTCACAACTTCCCCTTTGATGTCACAGCTGCGACCAATCAGAAAAGCTTGTGTGAGGGGACGGTGAAAGGATTGGCTGTGATCCATAACTGCATGTGGACAGATGCTACAGGTGCTGGTGAGGGACAATCTGACGATCAAAAACAGAAACTTTACACAGAATAAGGGACGTGGTGGCGATCCAAGCTCGCCACCTTCACACGGCGGCCATCTTTTCTTGAGGACTGCTGCTGCTGCTGCTGCTGCTACAACTGTTGTTGGTGTTGGTGGGGGGGGTTGTGTTGCTATTTGTGTTGTTGTTATCGTCATGACTAACAGGTGAGATCACCCCGCTCTGCGTCCTTTCAGCGGTCTTGGGGGTGGAGTCTTTTTCTCCTGGGGTATTAGGGGCGGGGCCGGGCGAGGAGAGGGAGGCGGGCTGTGAGGGGCGGTACGCTGCCAGCAGCTCGGCCAGACGTTCTGGAGTCGGCGCCCACTTCGCAAAACCGGCGTCGTTCTGGAGGAAGAGTACAGCAGTACCGTGTACCGCCCGGTAGTACAATTCATCCCTGCAAAGAAACACACAGACACAGAGTTCACACACTGCCACTCGCGCAGGTACCAACACGGGTACTACGGCGAGCTGTACCTCTTGCAGATGTGCTGACTCCCAGAGCGATACTCGTGCTCGTAGGCCGGGACGTTCAGCTGGTGACGCAGGAATCGACTGGCCTCCATGCGTGTCAAGGCTGGGGTCACGGGGTTACGCCACTCTGGGACGAAGACAATGAAGGACAGAGGCTCCGAGGACTTGTCCAAAAGCTCCTGGCAGGAAGATACAGCCGGGTTTAAGACAGAGTACCAAACCAGTACGGACCGGTAGGATGCCAGCTGATCCAGACTAACGCAGACTGGTACTAGTAAAAGTTGGTATACACACACACACACACACACTGGCACGGACCAACACAAGCTGGTTCAGACTAGTTCAAACCAGTATAGTACTAACTTGTATACAAAATATTGGACGGACCTCAAAGTGTGCCACCATGGCGTCCATCAGCTCTTCACAGAAGGGAGGGTTGGCTTCGAATGAACCGCTGACAGGACGGAAGGACAGGAAGGGCCTGTAACACACAACAGGTACACAAACACACACGGTTAATACTGTAATGTTGACAATAGAGTACTAAACCGGAAATTATTTAAAGTCCTAATTGAGTCAAAGAGCTAGAGTCAAGTTCGGTTTGTCGTGTCACGGCCTGATGTAGGTCTTTAGTCCTCCATGAGCTCACCATGAACACGCGACTCACACGTTAATAATCTGCACTAGCTGCGTGTATCCGACCTGACAGACAGACAGACAGACGAGGTGGTAACGACCGTCTCACCCTCTGGATCCAAAGAAGCTGTCGATGTCGGGGAAGGCGGAGCCAAACTGTTTGAAGTAGCAGTTGAGCGGTGACGCGAAGCACTCGAAGGAGACACCAAACTGGCGAATCAGCGCCTCGAACACCGACACCGGCAGCGCCCCCTGCAGACCCGTCCCCTCGTTAGCGCCGCTGCCAAACATGACCTGGACGAAGCGAAGGCACAGCTTGTTAACTCACCAACTACCAGAGTCAATACCAAACGCACAACGTCATCAGGGTGTGTGGGGGGGGCAAACTGTTGACAGAGAGGTCAGAGCTGACCTGGTATCTCTTGAGGAGGCACCAGACTCTGGACAGGAACTTCTCGAAGCGCGTGTCGTCTATACAACTGTACCGGTACAACAGCTCCTGGACACACAGACAGAATATGACAGACGGGCACGCAGAAGATGTGCAGACCACTGGAGAGATACTAGTGTGCTCAGCTGACAACATCAACACAAACTTCAGTCTCAAGTCTCTTACAAAACAGCCAAATTAAAGCGTATATTTTAGGTCCTCTGATGGCGTCTCATGAGTATTTTTATAATAAAACAAGTGTATATTTGTCTTGTCTTCTACATTAAGTCATAAGACGTGTCCTTAACACTTCCTGCTTGCATGATGCCCCTTTCCTAAAACTCAATAAAACCTTCCCACTAAGCTGCACTACGGAGCGTCTGTCTGGTTTCCTACTGAACCTCGTGTTGTCATGGTAACGATCAGTATTGGCAGCGTTTCTCTCACAGCACTGACCAGTTTGCTGAAGTGACCCCGGTTGACTTTGACCATCTCCCCTTTGAAGCGTAGGCAAGCCATGTCGTTCTCAAAGTGCAGCTCGACCCGGGGGAGGAGCGGCGAGGGGAGCGCCAGACGCACCGGGTAACAGTAGACCAACCGGGACTGCTGGGGGGACGCACTTGCCTCTGATCACACACACAAAGAAACAGCAACACATTAACAACCCCCAAGTACGCTGATCTGGTGTGTGTGTGTGTGTGTGTGTGTACCTGTGGGGGGGTCCTGCAGCAGACTCAGATGCGTCTGCCTCAGCCGGCGGCTGTACTCTGCAGAGAGCTGGTAGATCTTTGAGCAGATTGCCTCCACAGAGTCTTTGGCGACGGCGGTGAGGTGAGGACCACACTGCTCCCTCAGGTGCTCCAGACGGTCCTACACACAAGAACACACACACAGAAATGACATCACATCCTGGCACAGTAGACTTGTCTTTGTCTCATCACTGTGTTACAGCACATGGTGGTCCTGAAGAAGTCTGCACGATCTGAGACATCTGGAGAGGTCAAAGGTTACCATGTAGTCCTCCTTGCTGGCGGAGTGATCTCGGCGCAGCCAGTTCATGGTGTCTTCAGCATTCCACTTCACCACCTTCCTCCTGTCTGGACTCGCATTCCTACACAGATCAAAAGGTTAATAGAGCAGCAATAGCTAAGAATATAGTGTGGTTTTAGAATGTAAACTGACAAATATTACGCCTACAAAACTTGCTTGACAGCATTAAATAACGTGTTAAGAGAATTATTTAGCCTCCACCAACACTCTGTGTGCCCCCCCCCAACTACATCCACTAACATAAAAAGAGTCTGCAAGTCTTGTCTAAAAATGGTTTACAGATAGAGCTGCCTGGTCGTTACCGGGATAAAGCTCCAATTGGTCTTCTGAGACCTACCTGGAGTCAATCATCCTCTTGGCAGCTTCAGCGTATCTAAACAGCAGCCTCCGGGCCTCCTCTTTGTACTTGATACGTGCCAACCTGAGAGAAAAGACGCAGGAATAAGAAACGCATCAGCAACATAATACATCGTGACAGGTGCAGGGATGCAAACACAAAAAAAAGGAGCGGTAATTGAACGGCAAATGTCCGTGTGCTTGATACGGACGCTACGGTCGACATGGAGGTTGAAGAGGAACCAACGCGGCTCGGGCCGAAGTCAGATTTATTTATTTTTTTGCGTGAGAAATTGGATGTGTGGGGGGAGTGACTGTCACGCTCAACTGACAGTTGAGAGCCCTGCATTATTGTTGGTCAAATTACTATTGATGAAATTGTAGTCAGACCCCCCCCCGCCCCCTTAAAATAAAAAACTCTTCGGATCTGCACGATTCACACGAGTCACCCAAACTGACGTGAAAAAAGCGAGAGGCACCGAAAAGCGTGCTGATGTTGGGTACCTGATGGGGATGTCGTTCATGATCTCTCTGAACATGGACGGGGAGATGACAGGCTCGCAGTCGCTCGGCAGTAAGGGGTCGTGACCTTTGTCGATCAGTTTCCTCTCTAGTAGCCAGCGGTTGAAGGATTCCCGGGGCGGATCAATACCTGAAACGCAGACAGACCAACAGACAAGACTTACAACTACACAGACTTTCAGTAGGCAATAAACAAAACAGCATCCTTTAAAAACTGTTTCTAACATTCAGAGAACTGACGCCACAAATCATGCAACATGAATTCAGTTATTCTGACTTGTTCAGTGTATTAAATTAAAAAAAAAAAAAACAGCGAGTGCCGCTACCTTCTCTCTGGTGACACAGTTCGTGGTAGTGTTGCCGAAGTTTGGTGACCAGCTGAGCTCTCTGCAGCTCGATCTCGGGGTGAGGGGGTAGCAGGTTGTTGTCGGGCGGATGCTCTCTGATTACCGCGTTGGTCTGCAAGTCTAGATCCCAGTAGATACTGAAACGGCAGCAGTAAACAACTTCATCAATAAATATCACAATATATTGAATAATAATTAAAAAAATGGACGACTTTCTTGGATTGTTTTGGCTCCTTAACGCCATCAACAGAGAAGCTAAAGATGCTAACGAGGCGGGGTCGTGGCCTCAGCACTCACAAGGCTGGCCTGTATACCGCAGGGGCGGGGCTTGGAGTTGTGGGTGTGGCTGGTTGTGCTGGCTTTTCCTCAGTGGTGGAGTTCCAGGGTTTGACCCCTGCAGTGCTGGGAGAGATGGGGGTGGTGGGTTCCACCTGGAAGCAACATAAAGTCCAGCTGAATAAATAAGTAGGCTTGACAACTCAGTTTCCCACAATCCACTGCTTACTGCTTAAACTGCCATGATCCGATTCAAGACCGTTTCTTTTACCTTGACTCTCTTGATGCTGTTAGGTCCCGCCCCCTGCTCCTCAGAGATCCTCCTCTTCCTCTGACCGTTCCCCGGGACACAGCCTCCGCCCTCCGCAGGAGCGGCGTTCAGGCCTAAAGGATCAGACTGCAGACAGACAGACGGACTCAGTTCCAAACTAAAACTAACTGTATACATTATGCATTGAGAGCTTTTAAAAAATGTTTTTTACCAAACTGCTCCAAATATAACTATGTTGGGTTATCTATCGGCAGCTCCTGTTTGCAGTGTTTCCATGACGACTATCTCTGGATTGTTGTTTTTTATCACTTGCATGCACCGGTCCTTTGCTTTCACTTCACACATTAACAGGAAATAGGGACATTACTCACGATGACGTCATGCTGACCCAGCACTGGGACCTCCCACAGGCTCTGATTGGTAAATCTGTTGAAATAATACGGTCGGTTCTCCCTCCGAGACCAGCACTTAGCCCATCCAGCCTGGACCAGTTCATCTGTCAGACAGGTAAAGACAGAATCTCTGGTAAGAATATCCTGAAACTACAATACATTAAGAACAGCGTTGCCAGGATCCTTATGGGGGTCCAGAAATGTGAGCACGTACCACCCGTCCTACGCTCACTACACTGGCTCCCTGTCTCATTCCGGATTACCTGTCAAGTTCTACTACTAACTCATAAATGCTTAAATGGACATGCGCCTCCCCATCGGCAAGAACTACTTACTCCCCAAACCTCCACCCTCGGATCTCCAAGCAGCTCGCTCCTCCGTACACCAAGCTCCGCACCGTGGGCGACCGGCCCTTTTGCTCCCTGACCACCTGAGGGCAGCAAGGTCACTCGACTCTTTTACTCCCATAAGTCCCCCCCCCCTATGTTTTTACTTTAACTATATTTTACCGGCTCTGTTGTGCTGAGAGATCTGTTGAGTGAGTTATAAATAAAATGTATTATTATTAAAGCTGTATTGGCTTATATCAGCTTCTGTGAAGACAGCTGTGTCCGTCACGCACTCGGGTGAATTAAAACATTAACAAACCCTAATTCACAGCTACGATTACAAAAGGATCAGGCGTTAAGGAGTGGGGACAGGAATTTGTTTAAGAAGTCATAATACAGGTTTGGCAAAGCCAAACAACAATACTCAGAAAGGCTCCAACAGCAGTTATCAGTCTGGAAAGGCCTCAGAATGATTTCCAACTACAAGCCCAAAGCCCCCCCACTTCATGAACAACCTCTGCCTGGCCAACAAGCTGAACGATTTCTACTGCCGCTTTGACAAAGGAGCAGTCCTGAACTCATCCACAGCCTTCTCACCCCCCCCTTCCAGCACAATAGGGGCCCATGCCCCCCAGCATCTCTTCCCACCGCAGAAACATTTTTTTCCCCATCAGCAGATGGTCTCTTGAACCAAGTCTGTGTCCCCCATTGACTTCATACTTCATCCCCGGCTTTTGCATAGTGGTTTCTCTCACCATGGAAACATACATGTGTTTAACATACTTATCTGTTCATATTGTGCATTGTATATCTTTTTTTTTTAATCTTATTTTACTTTATTCTTTTACTGCACCAATGCATTAAGGCAAATTCCTCTATGTGTAACATATGTTGCAATACAGGGCTTCTGATTCTGAGAGAGAGACCGGTCAGAGAGACAGACGAGTACTTAGCCCATCCAGCCTGAATCAGTTCAACAGACAGACAGGTTGAGACAGACGGATATACCTGGGAGCTCAGGTGGTTTGGAGGTGGAGGACGGAGAAAGGGGCGGCCCCTGGGAGGAGGCGGAACCCAAAGGGGGAGGGGCTCTGACGGCCGCCTCCCCTTTCACCAATCCCTGGCTGTCATTGGACATCTCAGCTGCTTGTTAGAATGACATCACCTGCCTGGAAAGGAACAAACACTTTAGTGACTTTCATAATAAAGCTATGCTCCGGTTGCAAATATAAATTAGAAACATCTCTTGATTTATTACCTTAATAATCAAGGATTTATTTTGGCCATATAAGAGTCGCTGGTTGTCACTTTCAGATCTCTGATACAATTGTTTTGACGCTTTTGGTATTGGTCTTGTTGTCCATTGTCTCATTGTTCAACGTTATGCACCAACCGACATGTCAAATTCCTTGTATGTCTAACATTTTTTGGCAATAAATGTTCCTGATACTAATTGATGACCTAGATCAGTAGATCTAATGGATCATTTTGTTGTTACATTATAGAACCTGGTCTACAAGGATCTATTTTTGCCCCCCTCTCCAAAATAGTTAGTAAACCATCAGAAATACTAAATGTTACCCCTTTAAAACAATGTATATTTACAATTTGCTGATTGCTGTTAAACTATAATGGTTGGTATAATGACAAACTGAAACAAACTTAAATCTGCTTAAACACTTCACCCAGATCGTTATGCTGACTGAGGAAATCAAAAAGGAAAATCTGATCACGGTCTTTCAGCGCTGATCGATGTGTAGTCAAGTGATCATCTTTTGTATTGTGAAACAAACTGATTAAAAAATAGGCAACGGATAAATCGATTAAGGGGGAAATAATCTAATGAATCAAAAATTGTGACGGACTGGGACAGACTGACGTCAGCAGGCTGATGACGGACCGTCTGAATCTGGCGGCAAAGCGGACCGATATGCGTTCAAAGCTGGTTTTAAGAAAGAAATCGACATTTAAGGTCACGCCGTGTCCGTGTACGTGCAGTAAAATAAAAGCGCTGGGTAAATCCATTATATAAATTCTGATGTTTTCGTTTTTGTACGCAGGAACGAGGGCTTGCGGTAACGCGCGTGCGCACGGTAGGCTTTCCAAACAAACACGGAGGAGGAGAAGAGAAGGAGGGGGTGAAAAAGAGGGGGGGCAACACAAAGCTGCGGCTGCCTCTCGGAAGCCCCGGCAGAACACACGGACACGGCAGCACTCGGTGTAGGTCCACGGCGGGTCCGAACCGGGAAAAAGTGCCTTAATAACATAGCGAGGCCAACGGGACGTCTTTCAAGTTCCACCATTAAAGGCCATTTTGCGCCAACCGCCCGGCCTCCGCTCAAAAGCGACAGCTGCCGTTAAGGCGCCACTTTAGACAAGATGGCGGACACGCCCCTGCCACAGGGCTGCGCGTCCCGCACATAATTTCTGTTCTTTACTACAAACTCAGCTACGCTACGCACAGGTACTGCGCGCCACCCGAAGGCCGAAACCTTCCGTCGCGTCTCGGTCCCGTCGGAGCGGCTCTACACGACCGCCTGCTCTTACCTTGACTGGTTAAATTGCGGAGAGACGCGGGTTCTGTCCGTTTGTTTCGGTTCCTCCGCTCCGCTCCCTCCCCGCCTGCTCAGACATCTTTACAGGGACCCGGAGTGCGCCACTGCGCATGCGCAGCTGCCGTACTGCTTCCTGTTACGATACGTCCTGCTCCCGTCGCCATTTTGAGCGGGTCACTCTCCCCGGCAGCTCCGGCATTTGATTAAAAACATGTTAATAAATTGCTATTTCTTTGATGGAATAGTGTTAATAGTCCGATGCTGTAAAGTCTTGTGTTTCTTGTCTTTTTATTTTGTTTTTATGACAAATCAAATCTAGATGCTTCATAAGTAATGTTAAACCATCAAAATAAAAATGGAAAAAAATCCGTATCATGTTACCATGTTTTTTTTTGCCTTCCTTCTTTGAATCCCAGTTTGTACTCACTGAGCGTACTTGGTTAAAATCTCTCTCCGCTTCATCTCTGACTACAGAGACATTCTGCCAATTCATATATTCTGATCTTCTTTGGCTTCTAGTTTCTTTCAATTTTGTATGTCGTTTTCTTTACATTGTTTCATAATTTAGTTTGCGGTTTGGAGACACTTTTGTGGGACTGTTCACTGCATGGAAACATACAACCCAAAATACAAGAATGAAATCGGAAGTAATACTTTAGGATTTAGGAAGTATTTGAATTGCCAAATGACATGAATAAAAATATACATATAACTCTTCCATCTGAACCTGTAAAGGAGCTCTGTGTAGGATTAGTGATATCTAGTGGTGAGGTGGTGGATTGCAACCAAAGTTTAACTTTCCCAACATGTTGGAGAAGTAAGGGGCCCTTTGGATAAAATCAAAACATAAAAAGTTCTCTCTAGTTCGGGTTGATTTGTCTTTTCTGAGCTACCGTAGGAAAACGGCAGTGGAACATGTTTGTTTTCTTCATTCTAAGCCAACGAGAGCCCAACAATTTGCAGTTACTGACTTAACCTCAAATGAGAGATTTATTATGAATATTCTATTCTATTACAGCCAATAAAATCCTACACAGCGTTCCTTTAAACCCACATGGACGAGGACCCCTCTTCAACATTTATAAATCCATCAGCTTTAACGGGACGTAAGATTGCTACCGGGTGACCAATAAATGGTTTTCTAGAAATGGGTCAAACTGAGTAAGAACACTTAAAATGTTTTGCATCGCTAATAAATAACGTACATATTCTACATAAAATACATATTATTCATGAAACTGGACAGACTCATAGCAAAGGCCTCTAATTTCTCACTGTGTAACTCAATATACACTTTTACAGTAACAATTTATTTCAGTAAAATATAAAGTATGAAAGTATTAAGATGTTTTCAACCAAATTAACATTACACAGAAATGAGATGTTTGACATGAATGAGCTCAGACATTCAGAGCACCAACAAAGATTAGTGACTTTATTAATTCATTAAAAGTTGAAAGGTCACAGGTAGTTTGAAGGCATCGTTGACCATCAACTGGCACGAATCTTGATGATGGTTTTATATTTATATTTTATAATATTGTTTCTTTATCATTTGTAGGTGTAAATGAACAAATAACACGAGGTTGTAATATACTGTCATCGGAAAGGATATTTCCATTAGGAAGAGAGCTTCTCCAAAAGCTGTTTAACGATAACAGAAATCACTGTCTCCCTATACAGCAGACAACTGTTTGATTACAGTTTGTTATTACATTTACATCACAGGTCATTTAGCTGACGCTTTTATCCAAAGCGACTTACATTACATTTTTAACCCCTGGCTTTTTACATTTTGCACGGGGAGCATTTGGGGGTTAGGTGTCTTGCTCAGGGAAACTTCAACATGGGACATGGGACAGCCGGGACTCAAACCACCAACCTTGCGGTTCCCAGCGCTCTCTCTGTACCCCTGTGCCACGACGACCCCAAACCAGTTATCACATGTGAGCCGTGTCCCATGATAAAGACATTCATACATTATGTGCACCGTAGAAATAGACTCAGAAATCACTTACAGGAGCCTTTTTGAAAATCAATAGACAATGGAAAAGTATTTTGCATTAAGTTTTAAAGTATTTTGGGGGTTTGGCGGATATTTAAAATTTGCTTTAAATCAGCAAACGGGACAAACAAAATGGCTAACTCCTCTTCACTGATTACCAGTTAACAGTACAGGCGGACCAGCAAACAGCACGACAGAAGATGAGCTGTGCCCTGAAGGTGACTCTCGTCCTGCAGGTTGTAGGGGCCCATTAATACGGAGGTGACCTTCGTCACATCGCTGCTGGTTTGTGGCCATCTAGAGATACAGCGGTGCCATGTTGTCAGGATCTGACCATGTTTTGAAAGCGAAGGACTGATGTACAGACACCGTGTCTCTGGTAGTGGTAGCAACCTGTCAATCACACCAAGGCCCGCCCTAAGGCATACCCTGCTTTAGGGTCTATTTGACTCTAAATTGACCATAATTAACTAAAAGAACATCATGTTCTATTTAAGAAGAATTGATCCTAGATATTGAGACCACAAACTCGTGTTTACAACTTTTAGTGAGGGAATAAATCCAGAGATCCTTTTCACATAGACTTCTATACAACCACACTTCTTATTGCCTCCAGGTGAGACGCCCCATGCCGGTCAGGAAAGAGAATTCCCGTTTTAAGACACTCCAATATTGGCTTCACCCAGTAGAACAGGAGCTTACTGCCTGGTAGAGATCCATCTAGAGGTCAAGTGTCAGGTGGAGGGGGTCAAAGGGGGGGTCAAAGATCAGAGGTAACCGAGCTCTCCTGCTGCAGCAGTATGTCAACTGCGGCCTCCACGTCCTCCACCACGTGATTGGGCTCCACCAGGTCAAGCTCCAGCTTCAGGTCTCTGTGACCATGGAACACTGACTCTGTGACAGCATCACTGCGGTCGCTAGGCAGCGGTGAGCGAGGGTTATAGACACCTGTGCACACCTGTGGATAGAGTAGTTCTGTGTTAGTGACAGAATGTATTACAACATGTTATTATCAGCGGGTCAGTGGTTTGATTCATGCTACTATGGTTTCAGTGTCACTTTGAAAACATCACCAGTATGGAGCGACACTGAGCAGCAGCAGACACCAGCTCCTCCTCCGGCACCGCCATCGTCATTTGACTTCCTGTTCCCTGAGCAACAAGCTTGGTTGTGGTCGCCACAGCAGCATGTTGCTGACCCAGGTAGCGGTTGTAGAGATTAGCACCATAGATATCAGTCATCAGGTTGTCGCTAGGCAAGAAGAAGAATATTTGGTTACCCATTTGTGTAGCTGACATTGTGGATGGTTGGGTTACTGAATGGGGTTACGGACTGTTTGGTGACCAACAGCATAGATGGTGTTATGGACAGTTTAGTTACCCAGTGGCATTGATGGTGTAGTCAAAATTCTAGGTACCTAATTATGTAAATGGTGTTATGTGTAGTCTAGGTAACCAACAGCAAAGTTGGAGTTACGGGCGGTTTTGTCACCAACAGCGTAGATGGTGTAGATTGAGTACTGGTCCATGGTGTGTAGATAATGGTGTGAATGGTGGTTTGCTACCCGATGGCGTAGATGGTGGTGAGTTTGCGGTTGTAGTTCTGTAGCCTGAGAAGTTGCTCAGCATACTGGTATGTCAGCAGACTGGGTTTTCCCAGCAGTGCTTGGTACTGAAGCTCTCGACCCGTCATCTTCCTGTACACAGACTCCAGACACACCAGGAACATCCCGTGACCAAACCTGCGGCCACAAAGCAGGATAAAAACTGATGGACATGGTCACCTGAAGGGCTAATCTTAATTTCAGCCCCACCCTGAAGATATGGACGCTCACATGTCAAACTAACTTCCTGTATGTGTTGGTTACCGTGGTGACGGGGCCTCAGCCATCCACATCAGGTCTATGTTACAGGCGAGGACGGGCAGCTGGGCGGGCACCTGAGGGTCGTAGGCAGAACCTGGACTCCCATTGGTCAGGAGCACGTCGATCAGCAGCTGCAGGTTTGTCTCCCACCGGATTGGCTCTCCGAACAAGATTATTGCTACAGCACCCCAGAAAGTAAGTCAGGAGAAATCAACAAAATAAGAACCAGAAAACACAAATCAATATATTGGGGTGTGTCTCCTGACTATTTAGCTAATTGTTTATCATTTTTACTTTAAATCCCATTTTTATGTTCTATTTGTTTTTGTTTCTTTTATATTGCCAAAATATATTTATACCTTCATTTTCACCTGGTAAAATGACAACATTGAGAATATGAATAAATATTAAATAAATATAAAATAAATATTGTTGAAAAGAAACAGTGTTTTTTATTTACTATGTAGTTACCTTCTATTTTTGGAAGAGTCTGCAGAGGGGACGACTGAAACAGAATAAAGATTCGTGGATTACTTTGCTGCTGTCAGAGACCTAAAGTCACCTGACACAGGTACGGTACTTACAGGTAGTTTGGGTCTCCTGTTGTGGTCCACCATGTCCAGCAGGGGGTAATGTTCTCTGAGTTGCTCGACGCTCACAACCTTCCGAAAACCCAAACTGGCGATACGGTCAAGAGTTCAAATCAATCAATCCGACTTCTTCTCCTGGAGGATTTAAGTTATCGACACTCTAAAAACGACGATGTCAAAGAGCCTCGGACGCTATTGCCAAGGAGAAGATGCCAATCAGAGTTTGGGTGTGAAGGATACGTGTTGGCGATATCCGTCACTGGTCCCTGTCCGGACACTAGGACGCACTTGTCGTGAAAGGCCTTCAGCATCTGCAAAGGACTGTGGGAAAGAACCACCTGCTCCGGGGCAATCTAAAGAGGGAAAGAGATGCTTCCCTTACATCATGTCATCAGCGCCTGCCCGCTGTTGTCTTCACCTCCGTCCTATCATCACCTACGTCCCATTGTCTTCATGTGCGTCCATTCGTTGCCTATGTCCCATCATCCCGTACGTCCTATCATTGTTACCTGCGTCCCATCATCCCGTACGTCCTATCATTGTTACCTGCGTCCCATCATCCCGTACGTCCTATCATTGTTACTTTTGTCCCATCATCCCGTACGTCCTATCATTGTTACCTGCGTCCCATCATCCCGTACGTCCTATCATTGTTACCTGCGTCCCATCATCCCGTACGTCCTATCATTGTTACCTGCGTCCCATCATCCCGTACGTCCTATCATTGTTACCTACGTCCCATCATCCCGTACGTCCTATCATTGTTACCTGCGTCCCATCATCCCGTACGTCCTATCATTGTTACCTGTGTCCCATCATCCCGTACGTCCTATCATTGTTACCTACGTCCCATCATCCCGTACGTCCTATCATTGTTACCTATGTCCCATCATCCCGTACGTCCTATCATTGTTACCTATGTCCCATCATCCCGTACGTCCTATCATTGTTACCTGCGTCCCATCATCCCGTACGTCCTATCATTGTTACCTGCGTCCCATCATCCCGTACGTCCTATCATTGTTACCTACGTCCCATCATCCCGTACGTCCTATCATTGTTACCTACGTCCCATCATCCCGTACGTCCATTAATTGTTACCTGCGTCCCATCATCCCGTACGTCCTATCATTGTTACCTGCGTCCCATCATCCCGTACGTCCATTAATTGTTACCTGCGTCCCATCATCCCGTACGTCCTATCATTGTTACTGACGTCCCATCATCCCGTACGTCCTATCATTGTTACCTACGTCCCAACATCGTCACATGCTTCCTGATGTCATGATCTAATGATCAAATTACTGTGAATATTTGAGATTAACCAAGATTATAATGTGAAAGGAAACACATAGATTAGATTAACATCTAACACCTCTCTTCTCTCTCACGCTCCGTCTCCACCTCTTTGTTTGTCTCTTCCTCCATTTGTCCAATCTCTCTCAAGGTGTCTTTCCTACCTGGACCTCCAGCAGGTGAGACAGCTGCTGGGCCTTGTGATGTCTCTGACAGCTTCCTGCATTGGTGACGAAGACGACAGGAAACAGGAAGTTGTTGTTTCGGTCCAGAAGCTTCCGGAAAGCTCGCCGAGCAGCCGGAATCAACGAACCGCCACGAAGCAGGACGCCGTCCACGTCAAAAAGGACGCCCGCCTGATGAAGACAGACAAGAAGAGAAAGACAGGTCCAATAGACAGACCGGTAAGAGAGAGAGAGATCGTAGCAACTGTCATGCAAGTAATCAGGGGAAGAAAACAGCCCTTAATAAATAAAAACAATACATATAGACATTAGAAGATTCTTAGAATTTCATTACTTCAAACATTTCGAGATTAGAACCTTTGGCTTAAGTCATATAAAATATTAGTAAATCATAACAATAATGCTCCCCGGATGCAGTGGGTGTTAATCTAAAAAGACAATTATACGGTCTTAACACATAAATATAGATTATTTTTTTATAAATAACCAGTTTAAATTCATCACTATTGAAGCAGCTCTAATTTGGTTTCCCAAAGCCCAAATCCTTGAAACATCGCTTCTGATTATTTACTCAAGTATTAAATCAACATCCACCTAAATTAGATTTTTAGACAAAAAATGCTGTTTTGTAATAAGCTCTGACTTCTAATTAGACTAGTAAATATTATAATGTAATCACAGTAAGTCCTTTCAAACTTTGTTTTAAGGTCAAGCTAAAGGTGATGATGACCAGCCAAATGGTTCCGAACTCTGACAGTTAATGGGGACGATGAGCCGGTCCCCTTATTGTAAGAGAGTCCCCTTGAAGTCAGTGGTCCCCATAAGACACACACACACACACACACACACACACACACACACACACACACTGACCTGTCTGCTGGTCGATATGGATCTGACCGTCTGCTGCAGGAATCCTCGACACCACATGATGCCTGTCTGTCTGTCGAAGACGAGCCTTCTGCTCCCCGTTTAAACTGACTGACCTGTGACATCATCGTGGGGAGGAGCCTCTCTTAGACACACACACAGTAACGTGCGCTGATTGAATGCGACTGACGACAGCTTTCTCCTCACATGACATCATGTGCAGCGTTTCGCCATTAATAAGCCGATCACATGCTGCAGAATGCTGCCACCAATCAACCAATCAGCATGCCAGACTGAAACCACATGAGGAGACGGACAGAGATGCTCTAAAAAAGCTGACGACCGGAGAGACTGAGAGACATACAGAGACAGAGACCAAGAGAGAAACTCAAACAAAGAGACAGACGAGATAAAGATGGACAGTTTTGAGGCCAATGTCCTCTTTTTTTACTGGGGATCTCATCATGTGTGTCTGGGTTTTTTGCTCAGGTGTTCTGCTGCATATGTTTAAAGGTAGTAGATCAGAGACCTTTAACCTTCAAATCTCTGGAATCCAAAAAACACGCAGAGAACAAACTGTGCTGAAGATCGTTTTATTAAGAAACAAGGCTGGGTAAAAAAAGACGATATTTACATGATGGCTGACAGTCAGTCAGACAGACGGGTTCCAGTCAGACAGACAGACGGGTTACAGTCAGTCAGACAGACGGGTCACAGTCACACAGACAGACGGGTCACAGTCAAACAGACAGATGGGTTACAGTCAGACGGGTTCCAGTCAGACAGACAGACGGGTTACAGTCAGACAGACTGGTTACAGTCAGACAGACGGGTTACAGTCAGACAGACAGACGGGTTACAGTCACACAGACGGGTTACAGTCACACAGACGGGTCACAGTCAGACAGACAGACGGGTCACAGTCAGACAGACGGGTTACAGTCAGACAGACAGACGGGTTACAGTCAGACAGACGGGTCACAGTCAGACAGACAGACGGGTTACAGTCAGACAGACGGGTCACAGTCAGACAGACGGGTTAGTCAGACAGACGGGTTAGTCAGACAGACGGGTTACAGTCAGACAGACGGGTCACAGTCAGACAGACGGGTTAGTCAGACAGACGGGTTACAGTCCCAGCAGAGTTTTGGCAGCCTGACTCTGAGCCTGAAGAGTCTCGCTGGCGTAACGCTGCAGCAGCTCCATCTTCTTCCTCCTGACCAGAGCCTCCTCCACCTGAGAGATCATTTGCAGGTTAAAAAAACACTAATTCCCCATCAGCTCCTGTTTTGTGTCTACTGTCACGCACCAACCGGCAAGACAAATTCCTTGTACGTTTGACATATTTTGGCAATAAATGTTTCCTGATTCCTGAGAAACAGGATCATGTGACACATTGACCCGTGTTTCAAAGACCATTTTACCCATTGCAACAAGAAGAGGAACTAGTAACTGCGATATCTCGCGGTTTGGGGATTTTGGTGTCTGTTTGGTTCTGACATGCAGCATGTGAACGACGGGCCTCACAGACACCTCACACGTGTGTGTGTGTGTGTGTGTCTCACCTCTTTCTGTGAGGGAACAGGTACGTGTGCGAGGAAGGTGACCTCTTCTCCCTCTTGGTCCTCCCGGATCTCCTCCTCATCAGGCTGCGCAGACACAGAAAACAAAAGGATTCAATCATCAGCAACACGTCTGTCCACAGTTCTACTTTCCTCCACAGCTTGTGGGATGTGAAGGGCAGTTCACCTCCTCCCTGTGGACCTTGTAGATGCTCTCCTCCTCCTCTTCCTCCTGTGGCTTGTCTCCTGACAGGCGAGCCTCTTTCTCCGTTTTCCACTTCTGCACCGCCTCCACCACAGCTGATCGACACACAACAAACGACACACGACGTTCGCATCATGGCCACAACACCGGATGGATTGTCTCAACAAATAATTGATTGGTGTGTGAGGAATTGTTATAATGGGATAAAGGGTTAATATTTAGTGTATTATAGAATCTGAATTCATTCATGACAAAATAGTCCCACTGTAAATGTCATAAATATATAATTGTAGGTGTAGAAAAAATAATCTGATGTTTATATGCGGTTAATTATTGTGAATGTATAAATAATTATATAATTGGACGGTATGAATCATAAAATGATCTGATTGAATGGACAATTCAAATAATTAAACTGCATTCATGATAAAATAATCTATAGACACAAATCCATAATCGGAAGGCGGATATAACAAATAACCATATAAATAAAGAATAACCAGACCTTGCTTCTCGTACTGAGCCTCCAGAGGCAGCAGCACTCCGTCGTCTTCGTCTCTGTAGCCGTAATACTCTGCGTCCACTTCTTTCATCAGATCCCCCCTCGTCTTCCTCAGCGCCGGGGCAGCTGGGAGTCACACGATCAGAGAGGACCAATCAGACAAGTGCCGACTTGATGTAAAAACAGGAAGTGAAGACGTAAGGTTACATACGTTCCTTCTCAAACAGCTCCCTGACCCCGGGCAGGTCTCTGGCCGCGCCAAAGTATTTGTACCCTCGGTTTCCTGGAACTTCCTTCCCCTCGTGGTCCAACATCCTCGGACCGACTCGCTGAAAACACAACAAACACGAGCGGGTAATCGCACAACATCTCACCAACACGAGGTCAACAACACAAATATTTATTTACCTTGTAGTCCGGTCCTCTCAGCTCTTTGATCCGGACCTCCCAGTGACCTTTCTCCCTCAACAGCTTGTTGATCTCATCGTTTAAGTCCCGAATCTTGAACTCCCCGAGACCGGCTGCAGACAGACAGGTCGGAGGGATACAGGTTAGAGACAGACAGCGTGTCTGGGATCTCTCACAGTTTATCAATATTTGTTGAGTTATTTTTTTTTAATAAATACTCACCATTCTGGATCTGAGCCACTTTCTTTGAGATCTCACTGATGATCTGGAAAACACACAAGCACGTTAGACGCTCTGCTTCACGTTCAGTGTCGCTGAACGTTTGTGATGAAACAAAGCAGCTGAGCATGAAAATATTTGGTTCTTTGATGAAGAGCTGCAGGAAGCTTGTGGACATGAGGGCGAAGGAGCCCACGACTACAACTCCCAGGGTGCATGGATGAATTCATCAGCCATCCAGCCGGCTTCCTCTCTGTGTTACAGCCGCCGAGGCACATGGGTAATGTAGTGTCCATTAGTCAGACACAAAAAACGTAACATGTATGGAAGTGGAGCTAATCCTCGAGTTCAAACGATGGGAGTGTGTACCTGGCGTCTCCATTTCTCTGCTTTCGGAAGTTCATTGCACTCGGACGCCAGAAAAGGTCTCCTCTCCTGCAGACAGATGAAGACAGGTGAACATCATCACGCAGGTGAACCCGGCTGAATGTATGCAGAGTGGAACCTGACCTTGACTTTCCCCTCCTCCAGCTGAGCCTGTCTGAACCGAGCCAGAGCCGTCCTGAGAGACACGAGGGACACAGTTAAAGACGGTAGAACCACACTAGAACTACATTAGAACCACACGATAACCACAGTACAACTAGAACATCGGGATCGTGAATGAGCCGTAACCTCAGTCTGCCTCATGTCAGATCATTAATGAACTCAACATTGGAGCCTATAACAGTAGTTTTATTCCTTAACAAGTTGATGAACAATAATCTGCAACTATTCTGATGATCAATGAAGTAATTAATCAAACAGTTGTTGGTTTCATCTTGTTTAAATTACAATTTTAAAAGATTTTTAAATTGTTGATTGAAGAAAGTAAAACAAAAGTGTATCAACTCATCTAGAACATCTTTACATTAATGACAGCAGCTGATAAATTGAATTAAAACATATCCAGAAGTAATTACGTGTGTAAATATTAAGATCAGAGTCTGTAAATACTTACATGGCCTTCTCAGCGTTACGTGCCTGTGGAAAAGGACAGAAGTGATAAAAACACATTAAGAAAAATAAAACGTTATAAATAAATATTATGAATGTAATTCAGTCCAGATGATATCTTTATGGTATATCATCATTGTAAAAGGTGGACATGCCTGATCTTCAACGACTGTCTGCTAATCGATCCCAATGAGATATTAAGATGTTAACCAATGTATTCTGCACGTTTAACATATATATTTCAAACAATATAATATATATGAGCTATATTGTTTAATCAAGTAATAATTCGCCCTGAACCAGCTCACTCCGGAGTCCATCCGGGAACTTGCTGCTAATCAGCGTCACAGACGTCTTTATTAGAAATATTACCATTTATTTATGTATTCATTCCGCTTCTTACCATTTCTGCTGCTGCTTTTATGTGTTTTTAAGAATCCGCTTGTGGAGAAGTCGAAATGAGAGGGAACCAAAACGATCCACACACGCCGACACACAAACAGGAAGTACTTCTGTGGCTGCTTCCGGTTCAGTGACGTATGCGCCACCGCGGTACCGCCACCTGCTGGACGGGCGTTGATCACCCGCCTCCACCTCAATAACGTAAAATTAAATAAAAAAGAAACACAAATATCTAAACCAAAATATATATAGTATTATAAAATGTTGTTGTGAAATAAATTAAATAAAAACCAAGAGTTTGTCTCAGCCTCAAGCGCAGGAAGTCCGAGGTCATCTGGATGTGAAAAGGCAATAAAGGGCCCTAAGAAGAGGGACAGAAGGACAGACTGTGAGAAATATGCAGCTTCGAGAGTCCAGCTGGCATTTGGTTTCATATCCGCCAAACAAAGCCTCCCCGGCCTGCAGCAGCAGGTTTATGGATCACTGATTACTAAGTCAGATATGAAAGCTGCCAAAGGTCACCGACCGTCTCAAAGACGACAACCAAGAGAATACGCCAGCGAGCTTCAACGCCCTCGTGGGTTAAGATGAGTTAATAAAGAGGAATAACACACTCACGGACACGGTGAGTTTCAGCTTCACTCATCTCAGGTTTATAGAGAAACAATATCGACGAGGAATCAAAAGAATGAATCAGATTCCAAAATAGTTTTCTGAGTGTGATGACTTTATGTTGGGAGTCTTATGCAAAACTTTAGAATCTGTTCAAAAAGTGGATGTGTTCTGTTCACTCTGTTCACTGATGGTTCTCCTCAAGGTTTCACTCTGTTGGTCGCCCCATAGGTTCTCCCTCCGGGTGGCCATGCTGGGGAGAACAAGAACCGTCAGTGGACGTTGCAGGTTCGAGCTCCAGCAGCCCCGTCACTCCTGCTTTTCGTCCGCTCCCCCTCCCACCGAGCTCCCCAGACTCCATTACCCAGCAGGCATTGAGAGCAGGAAGTACAAGATGGGGCAGGAGGCTCAGATGATCAACAGCATCTTAAAGGTGATTAAGATCTACAAATCAAGGTGTCAATCTAACAACTCGGTGGGCTACACATTTCTCCCTTTTCTGTTCTTAGGCCAACGAATTTGGCCACACCCTGCCCAGAGGCCCCGCCTCCCATGGCGTTCTGGGTTTCCACAGCAACATGCTGCCATCCAACCATCCCAGCGAGGACCGCCGGAGCAACGCCACCTGCCTGCCGGGCCGTGGGGGCGTCATGTTCGCCGTGTTTGACGGCCACGCCGGGGCGGCGTGCGCCCACGCCGTCAGCCAGAGGCTCTTCTACTACGTCGCAGTGGCAACGCTGCCGCTGAGGACGCTGGCGGAGCTCGAACGGGCGGTGGAGGAAGAACGGGCCGTACAGCCGCTGCTGGAGTGGCACAAACACCCTCAAGACCACAACTGTCCCGACGGCGCAGCCATCTCCTTCCAAAGCCTCCGGAACTACTGGCAGGAGCGACTAGAGGACGAAGAGGAGGAAGAGGAGGCAGGTCTCAATGAGAAGCAAGACACCGGACCAGGTGGGATAACTAGGCTGTCATCACCTGTCTTCTCTCTGATTGGTTGCAGGACGGCTGCAGGGTGACATCCGCGCTGGTCAACGCTTTCCTTCGCCTGGACTACGACCTGTCCGTGGAGGCCCAGGTCCACCTGTCCACGTCTTCAACCAGGTCCTCATTCTACGGTCAAACTCCTTCTACTCCGCTTCTGCTTCCAGCCTCAGTCACCAGGTGAACCGTGACTCTCTGTCCACAGACGGGTGTCTCTCCCCGAGGAGGCCTCGTCTCCGCCATCCCCCCTCCGGGTGGCGCTCTCCGGGTGCACGGCCTGCGTGGCCCACGTGTCCAAGGGCGTCCTACACGTGGCCAACCTGGGCGACAGCCGGGCCGTGCTGGGCGTCAGGGAGCCCGACGGGAGCTGGTCGGCGCTCAGCCTCAGCAACGACCACAACGCGGAGAACCCGGACGAGCTGCAAAGGATTCTGGGGGAACATCCGCTGTCCGAGCGACGGACAGTGGTCCGCCACGACCGCCTGCTGGGCCTGCTGCTGCCCTTTAGGGCGTTTGGAGACGTGCGATTCAAGTGGAGCGCCGAGATGCTCGGTCGGGTCTATGAAACGCAGCCGGAGGTCAGGAGGACGCCGCCGCCGCACTACTTGACCCCGCCTTACCTGAGCGCCCGGCCGGAGGTCGCTCTGCACCGCATCACGCCCCGAGACAGGTTCCTGGTGCTGGCAACCGACGGACTCTGGGAGCTGATGCACCGACAGACCGTGGTCCAGCTGGTGGGTGAACACTTAACAGGTGAGGAATGTGAGGATCCTCGCTAATCATCACTCACGCGTCAACTGCTTCCATCTTTTACTTTTCTCTCATTTCATTTCATTTTTTTGCCGAGCAGGCCTCCAGCAGCAGAGACCCATAATTCCCGGCGCGGGCACGACGCTGGGCCGCATGCAGCGCCTCCTGCTAGAGAGGAAGGGGCGGGGCCTGTCGGTGCTGGAGGACGAGAACGCCGCCACCCACCTGCTCCGTCACGCCCTGGGGGACGACGGGTACGGAACAGTGGCACCGAACCGGCTGGCCAAGATGCTGAGTCTGCCGGCCGAGCTGGCCCGGAGGTACCGCGATGACATCACCATCACGGTCGTTCACCTGAACGAGCCCGACCTTTAAGTCAGAGGTTTACCTGGCAGGTGATGAATTAGGAACTCCTCGATCTGTTGCCCTCTGTTTCTCTTACCTTGAACATTAAAGTTTTGTTTAAAGTCACAGTTCTTTACTCCAGTCATTTGCACAACAATTATCAGTGGTTGGAAATAACAGCTTGAAGGGTACTCAAGTGATATTTGATGTGCTTTAACTGTCCGTCCTTTATACCAGTTACTACATCTGGTGTTTTCGGTCATATGTCGGATTTGACCAATTAGGTTGCAGCTCTACTGGGATGAAGCTGTAATCCAATGTTTTTAATAACAGATTCGGATGAGCATTTATCATTTTTATTTCTTATAACATTGCAGGAAAAGTGAAAATGATACACTGTATAAAATATAAATATATCACATATCAAACTATATTTTCAGCCTCACATGCGATTGAATGCAATGTTTACAAAGTTTAAACATCGTGATAATGTTGCAAAATTAAATCAGACCACGAGGAGAAAATCTGTCATATGAATTAATTAAAGTTCCACGGCATCTTTCATTAATGCTAATTCATTGTTTCTATCTAGAATCTTTAAAATGAGTAATCTAACAGTCTTAACTGAGTCCAGCTGTTGGTCCACTTCAGTATAAAACTGGAAACAATGCAAACGAAATAAAACTAAATTTCTGGGCGGAGCTTGTGAGGAATGCAATATTCTGAGTGAGCATAATACAAAAAGGACGCAGCAGCTGACAGTGAATTCAAAATAAAATTTAATAAAGGATTTTACAAAATCAAATTCTTAGAAAACACCTCAATAGGAAACTGCTTCAAACCAACCAATCGGCTGACATCATCATCATCAGTTGGCCTCCTCACAGCTCACAGAGCTCAATCATTGGACGATACACAAAACAGGCCACGCCCAGAAATTCTAATGAGAATGAACAGGAAGGAGAGGAACAAACAGCGTCCTTCCTCTCAGACCTGATAAACAGAAGGGAAACTGACTCGTCTGTGTCGACCAACAGGAGAGGAGGACATCCAAAAGTCCAATGTCCAACCCGAGGGGAGGATCGTTGGAGTCACCGTCGCTGGGGAAGGGACAGCTGCAGCGAGTTGGTGGCAGAGTCCGGGAACAGGTTGTGGTAGGTGGGCAACGGGACGTACGCCGCTGTGATCATCTTACCTGAAAAAACATCAACAGATGAGGCGTCACAGCTGCTCTCTGATTGGTCCGCGGCACAGAGGACAGGTATAATGCGACAGACGCTTACCAGCAAAATATCGTCCGTGCAGAGCGTTGACTGCGGCCGTAGCAGCGGGGATCGAAGGACACTTCACGTAAACGTTTCCCTGGAAACATGCAAGGGTCACACATTACAGGTTTTAGTGTGACAGACAGATTCTACAGATAAGAAAAACCGGAACAGGGTCATTATTCAAGAAACCAGTTGAATGTTGAACTCGAATAAAACCGAAATAAAAGTGAAAACCTGTCAGTCTACTATACAAAGTAGACGGCCCTGCTTTACTAACAGTGGGGTCAGAGGTCACGCGTACCTCAGCAGAGTTCTTGTCGATGTAGATGTGAACAACTCCCCCATGTTTGTTGCACTCCTCGATGACATCGTGCTGGATATCCATCTCCCAACCAGGAGGGTCCTCGCTGAAAACAACGACGCATTGAATGTTGAAGACGACATTTCACAAGACGTGTAGGCATGTTGGAAGCAGGCAGGTGGAGACACAGACGGGTGTACTCACCAGCTGGGATGGAACATGTTGGACAGTTGGAAGCAGTGCGTGGCGAGCGGGTGAGAGGGAACACTCGGAGCAGAAGATTGCATGTTCGGATTCATGGCAGCTGAAACGCACATGTAGACATTTAGACACATCTGTTCATCCCACATTGTGGACCCATCGCACGGGACTCGTCACTGACAGCGCTCAAGGTTTCCATGGAGACACAAGTGCACGTGAGAGTACCTGACACGGCAGCCATGGCTCCCATGGCGATCACGCCGCTCATCTGCAGAGCCTGCTGAGCGGCGGGAGGCATCTGTAGACCAGTACCTGCCCGAGGGGGACCACACACACACACACACACAAACAGATTGAAGGTGGATGCTGCAGGCGGATGTCGCAGTAGGACATGCAGTATCTGGAGTCTCACCCTCGGCCAGCCGGGCCATCAGCTGCAGGCGTCCGGTGGTCCCGAGGTCAATGCCGCTGCGCTCAAGCTCGTCGCTGTCCAGGAAGGAGGCGAAGGCGTCGGTGCGCTCAGTCACATTACCCACCTTCATGGGTCGACCCGCCAGCTCGAAGCCGTTCAGCTGATCCAGGGCTTTCTTGGCACACTCAGCATCTGCAAACTGATGGACAGACAACCAGAGAGACGCAGAGTGAGTGAAGGGACAGGCGAGGGGAGACCAATCATTGACAGTGAAGCGGGTGAAAACAAATACACTCACAGTGATGAAGCCGTAGCCTTTAGACTGTCTTGTGTCACTGTCCATCATCAGCTGGATGCTCTCAATCTGTGACGACAAAAACCCGTCTCAAGCTCAAGACTTAACCTGCACGTTTGTGTCTGTGAGAGGCATACACATTTGTGGATAGAGATAAATGTGCATGTGCGAGTGTCATACCCGTCCAAACGGCTCAAAAATCCCTCTCAGCATGTCCTCAGTGATGTTGAAGTGCAGAGAGCCGACGTACAGCCTCATCGGTCCCGATGATCCCTTCTGCAGGTTGTTGGCTGCGGCCGCCGCTGCGGCTGCACGGTTCTTTTCCGCCTGCGTGCACACACACACACACACACACACAGAACTCAGACTTTGTTTTTATTGCAAATAAATACATACCTGAAATCTGACCTTTACATTCAACCCATCGTAAGCATGTAGCAGCAGTGAAGCATGCAATGGGCTTTTTCCTTTGCGTGTGTGTGTCTTTACCTGCGAGGCCTGAACGATGATGGGAACTCCCAGCAGCCTTTGCCCCGTAAGGCCAATGGCCAGAGGGACAGAGTTGGTCTCCACAAACTCGATGTAGGCGATGCCCTTGGACTTGCGGGAGTTCCTGTCCGAAATCATCCTCACATCCCGAACCTTTGGGGGTACAATGCAGCCGTTACTACGGCAAACGCCAGTCGTGATGTCAATCATGACAAAAAAAAAAGTGACTAAACGTCCAGATCTTAAACGGATTCCAGTTTTCATTGCTAGCAGGCTTTCAGAGTAAGAACAGGGAGGGAAGACATTTTCACCTGGTGACTTTTATTGTGAAGCAGCAGTGATTACCTTCCCTACAGCAGAAAAGAAATCCTCCAGGTCTCGAGGTCTTATCCTGGCGGCCAGCTGCATGCAGAACACCGTGCGCGCATCGCGCTCCTCTGGTGTCAGGTTATCCATGGGCGGCCTACACAGACGCACAGTTTCACTAAATTCTGCATGATTGGCTGTTTTTTATTAACTTTTATGCACAAACTTACCGGATTGGACTCTTCTCCTTCCTGACGGGACTCTTAGTCTTTGAACGCCTGCGTCTGAAAACAGACAGGGGACACAGTAATTACTTCTTTCATAGCTTAATGATCGGTACCATTGACAGATGTTTTATCATTCCAGAAAAATGTTTTGGGGTCGGGGTTATTGTGGTTGTATGAATATGATTCATGGTGCCGTGAGATCGATGCCCCGTCAAATCCCTTTCACTGCGGGAGAGCCAACGTTAAAAGCGTGTGAACGTAGCACATCCGGTCCACGGCTACTCACTGCTGGTGGTGGTCTCTGTAGCGGCCCCCCCTCTCCCTGCTGCTGCGACGCTCCCTGCTACGACTCCTCCTCTTCTCTCTGCTGCGGCTGCGTTTGCGCTCGCGGCTCCGGCTGCGCTTCTTCTCCCGGCTGCGCTTCTTCTCCCGGCTGCGCTTCTTCCTGCGGGACACAAAGCGGCCAATCAGAGCGCGGACGGACAGGAGTGGGAAGAAGAAGAAGGACCGCGGAGGACGGACAGGCATGTTTACCTCTTGGGGCGTTCCTCTTGTCCGTTAGGGCTTTGGTTCTTGGAGTCCTCCTAAGGCCAAAAGAGAACAGTATGAGGAGGCAGGATGCAAAATACAAGCAATGTGAGGACCAGTAAAGACCCGAAGGGACCACGTTCTAATGTGGTTCTTTGTGAGACCAGTAGAGACCACCTGAAAGCCCGGAGGACAGACAAGAGTCTCACCTTTCTGTACGGAGCATCCAGCATGGCCTCGATGTCCAGGTCATCCGCCATCCTGCTGCTCGTCTGCACACAAACAACGATTATATAAACATGGAATAAAATATGTAGGTTTGTAAACGTACAACATATCGGTAAAATCATTAACACTTCATTAAAAATAAAGTCGTATTTGCGTGTCTGTCTACTTTGACTGAAGATAAGAGGGTCACAATACAATTAATGAGCTAGCTACGGAGTGCTTCATACTGGTAATGCTTTGACTGGTCTACCGGGTGTACTGCTCGGACGTTGACGTTAAATTAGCCAGACACACAGCGCTCGGTGTCCTAAAAAAAACAAAACACCGTTTATCTTCCGTTAACGTGAGGGCGTAAGGCCGGCGTGCGTTGACCTCAATCGGTTCGGCATCAGGTTAACAACACCGGAGCCGTTGGGAGCTAACGGCTAACAGTTAGCTGCTAGCTTAACGGGAGAACGTGGAACAACGAGCCGGTATCAAACGTTTCCGGTATCTCACGTTACCGGCTGAGCACCGCCGGAGCAGTACGGGTTCCTACCTGGACTCACAGCGGTACGGGAAGTGGTCACAAAGAAATGGGATGGCCGACAGTCGCTTCTCAATCTTTGCCCTCGCTACGACACGCAGCAGTTAAACTAAATGGCGCTGTAGAGAGCTCCGATATTATCGCGAGATCTCCCGCACGAGAACTCGCAACAAAACACGGTTCGCTTCTGAGTGGGTCCGCGGCTACGGAAGCCCGTTTCTGCCAATGCTGTGAGGAAGTTGGCCATAAGTAAGAGATAGTTAACAATAATTCTGAGGTATAAACTATAATTATGAGATAGTAAGTCATAATAAGATACTGACATGCTCATTGTGACTTGCGGTATCATTATTGTTTTTATTGAGTGGCAATAAGATGATTCCATAACCGAGTTCCAGTTTCTATAATAATCACATTCTTTTATTTTTTCAGGTGGCACAAACATCTTCACCTCATTAACAGAGAAGAAAGAAGTAGATTAACCCTCGGGAACACCAGAGACAAAACATTTATGCAGCTCTTTGAATCATTTTTTTATTGTTCAAGTAACACAAAATGCACCTGCACCATGCTGCGTTCAGGGACACTCTGACCTCCTGTTATCTGACTCCTTAATGACATAAAAAGAAATATCTTCTGGCAGTCTCTTTGGGACATCACACGGTGACGTCATAAAGACTCCTGTCAGCCAATCACATGTCGTCCTGCTCCGCTCGCTCTTTGGAGGAAACCCACCTGCTGACGATTACTTCCTGTTGATAGAAACAAACTTCATTTTAACTCAATTTCCCTTTGTTTGATCAAGCTTCATCATGGTTGTATTTATACTTTACTTTGAGATATAATGCTTTATATTGTAGTGATATAATGCACAGCTGTTGCTTCCTGTAATATACCTGAACCTTCAGTCTTGCCAGGCAGACAGGTGAGTCCAGCTCGGCTTCTGACAGGTTGGCTGGATAGATGATGTAACACAACATCAGCTCCTGTGAAACAAACACAAAGAAATTAAACACCAGAATCAAATCTAACCGGCTACGACGTCTGTCGGCTCATTACCTTGGAGACGTTGGAGGTGATCCTGCTGAGAGCCGCGAGAGAACGCCACGAAAATGGACGCAATGTCGAGCCCTTGAATGTATCATCAGCTCGCTCAATTACAACCGAATAACTACAGGAAGAGGAGAGGGCCAATTTGTGAAGATGAGAAAATAGGCATTTAAAGTGAAAAACATTTTCTGGAAATTAAAAAAAAAGTTATTCTTTTTCTCGGTTTGAGGGTTCAAACGTGGTTTACAATGTTTCAGGACCCATGAATTCTAAATATTGTTATAACACGATATTTTGCAAAATTGTATTCATTTTGTTAAAATGTTGTGCGCGCGTGTTACCTGGCGTGGTAGAAAGGTGGTCCTTTCCTATACAACACTGAAAACACACGGAAAAGGGAATCATGTGCTGTGCTCAGATGATTGACAGCTGTCAATCAAGTGTTCAAGTTGTTTATTTTAACAGGGAGTGTGTAATGGTGAGTGTGTGTGTGTGTGTGTGTGTGTGTGCCTTACTGAGGTCGACGCCGTACTTGGCTCCGCCCCCTACTTTAGGGACCCACCCCCTGCTCCGACAGTGCTGGTAGGCTGCAAAAGAACTGACAAAGTCCGGCCGCAGGGAGCGGAACCTTCTCCACAGCTGGATGATTGACAGGGGCTCCTGACCAATCACAGAAGAGGACATGGGTGACGTCTTTAAATCAACATGACAGGAAATTTATACAGGTATTTATTTTTACTCATAAAATGTAGAAACGGGAGAACAAACAATAACTGCTCAACTCAGACAGACGGATAGTTACCTGCTTCAGGTAGACAGACAGACAGCCCAGACAGTAGACCAGGAAGAATGCCTGTAGGTACAGACGAACAGACAGCTGATGAAGGGCAGTGAAGAGGCCCCGCCCCCTACCTGCTCGCCGGACTCGGCTCATGGGTAATGTAGTGTTTAGAGAGAGAAACAAGATGTATGAGTGTTGGTGCGTTACCTCCTCCAGGCTGAGTTGCAGGTATTCAGTGAGAGAGAAAGGAGTCCGCTGGACCTCCCTCGCCCCCCCACACATCTGCACACACGCACACGCACACACACACACACACACACACACACACACACACACACACACACACACACACACAGATTATGCACAACAACTCATCTGCAGACAGCTTCAACATGGTTCCCTTCGGTCTTTAATGGAATTGTAACCCTATAGAACATTTATTGGCTGTGGAGAAGTTCATTCATTAATTAAAAATGGTTTTATTACGGAGAATTGAGGTTTGTGTTTCTCCTGAAACATTGTGAACCAAATTCCTAAAAATGTTACCAAAAGAAGGCAAAAAATGTCATGGAAGAGAAAGATGAAAATTATTTTGTCAAAAAAAGACTCACCTCACTGTCAGAGACCACTAGGACAAAACCAGGGCCGGGGACCAAGGGATCAGCATCCGAGTCTGAGTCAGAGTTAAGGTCAGGGTCTAGTTCCTGGTCTGAGCTGACATCAGGATCAGGGTTAAGGTCCTGGTCTGAGTCAAGATCTGGGATAGGGTCTAAGTTCTTGTCCGAGCTGAGATCAGGATCAGGGTCCAGGTCCTGGTTGGAGCTGGGATCAGGATCAGGGTCAGGGTCCTGGTCCTGGTCTGAGCCGGGGTCAGAGTTATGGTTTTGCCGGTCCAACCTGAAATATTAAGGTGAAGAGAGAGGATCTGTTTTTCTTTCTGTAATTTAGGGAAGCAGAGTGAAATTCAAGGTCCCAGACTCTTCTGGACAACAATCTCGACATGCTGAATCCTGCAGAACCCTAAACTAATAAAAGCGTGACGGTTCAGTTCCTGATTTGTGTGTACACAAAGCTCAATTATAAATTAGCAGGGTTTTTTTGCACTTGGGGAACCACTTTACCTGCAGCTTCTCTTGGCCTTAGGATCGACCCCTGACCCCAACCTCTTTCTGCGGGCAAAGGCTCCCCCATTTGGGCCTTGGCTCATCTCCCTCCTCACATCCTCCATCTCTACTGGCCGAGAGAGGCTGAGCAGGGTTTGATTGACAGCGTCTTCATCCAATCCCTGAGCAGAGAGTGCGGAAGCCGCCCACCTGAGGAGCTCTTTGTATCTGTAGGAGAAGGAGAAGATGAGGAAGATGTTTATTTTGTCATAAAATAAATAGGGGAATTTGTGATATCATGTGAATAGACAGGATGTGATGTCACTCACCTGGAACGTGAGATGACGGGAAGAAACAAACCTTCGTGTTCTGTAACAAAACCAAAGAAGCTCTAACCGCAAAGAAGAGTACTGATTGGAGCGTGAGGTCGTGGTGTGGGCGTGATCTCACCTTCCCATTGGTCAGAGATGCTGTGGTCTGGTCTCGCTCTGGACAAGACCCCTTTACCAAAGTAACCCTGGATTAAGACAAGACCGTGACGTGAGCCGTTTCAGACCTGGGTTCACATGACATGGACTAACTCACAGCTCCACATGATATGGACTAACTGGTTTCATGCAATGTGGACCAACTCAGACCCGGTTTCATGCCATGTGGACCAACTCAGACCCGGTTTCATGCCATATGGACCAACTCAGACCCGGTTTCATGCAATGTGGACCAACTCAGACCTGGTTTCATGCAATGTGGACCAACTCAGACCCGGTTTCATGCCACGTGGACCAACTCAGACCTGGTTTCATGCAATGTGGACCATCTCAGACCTGGTTTCATGCAATGTGGACCATCTCAGACCTGGTTTCATGCAATGTGGACCATCTCAGACCTGGTTTCATGCAATGTGGACCATCTCAGACCTGGTTTCATGCAATGTGGACCATCTCAGACCTGGTTTCATGCAATGTGGACCATCTCAGACCTGGTTATAGATGTTCTGGATGTGGTCCGGATGACGGACCAGCACATGTTGGTTGATGAGCTCCGCCCGGAAGTGGCTCCTCTCCGCCGGACTGCGGCTCACAGGCAGCGGAGCCACGTACTCTTCGTGCACGCGTGTGCGCCTCCGCGGCGCGCGAAACTCCGCGTGCATGGCACCAGGACCCCGGACCGGACCGGACCGGCCAAGAGGGACCCGTAGTCCTGCACCAGCCCGTGTCGCTTGTTGGCTGCTCAACAAACGCTGCTGTCTGACTTTGGCTCTTCATTCATTCTCCAACTCGCTGGTCGGACTTGTTTTGCTGCTGGACGCTGCGGTGTCACCGGATATATGTCCGATAGGAACTTCCGACCCCTTTACGATAGTTCCTCTTTCGGAAAAACTGCTGTTCGTACTTTTTAAAAATCCAAACGAGTTCGAATTCAATTTCTTACAGAAGAGAAACTTAAACGATTATTTTTATATGTATGTATTTTAAAATATCTTGTGTTTTAAATCAAAAGCGTTTCTCGGAATTCAAAATGTCTAAAACCTGCTAGTCAAAATAAGTGGGTGTTGCAGTGTTTTTGTGGGAATGCATTTATTATTATCTGAATTCAGAGGTGAATTAATGGATGACATTTATGGGTGGAAGAGAGAAAAAGGCCGTGATAATGAGAAGACTCTGTGAGAGAGGAAATCCACAGAGACAAAAAAATGTTTTTTGATAGTTCAAAGAAGAAAGATGAGTGAAAGCTGATAGATCCACAACTAAGTACTGGTGGATATTTTATAAGGGTTTCCAAGTATGCTTTCTTATGATTATTGTTACCAATGCTCCTGTCTGCAAATTGATACAGACTGAGCTCCTCTTATTTACATTGTATTTACATAATTCCCCTTTAATTACTGTTTTCACAGCTTCAACATATTAAAACAAGACCAAAGTACACACACAACATATGCGCAATACACACATTTATTCCCACGTGTTGTATTTGCTACTTAACTGCCCTAAAATATCAAATTACTGGAGGAATACAAAATGTGTACCATATCTATTTATTTGATTGATTTGATTTATTATAAATGTATATTTAATGCAAAGATATTTAATGTTAACTGCTCTGCATGTACTTGAATACTGTGAAGATATTAAACAAACATACACTCAGATTTTAGCTGCACTTCAATTCAGATATGATGAACTACACATAAACAGTTTACTTATATTATTTTATATAATTTTATACCTTGTATTAACCTGTTTTTCAGTCCAACAGATTGTCTGTAACACAACAAGCAGACTGATGGAGGAGACACCCGTCAGCTGGTGAGAATAATGTAAACCTCCTCCATACATCAGACTAGAGTAAGCCTGCTTTATCTGCTGTGTCTTCCTGTCTGTCCCCCTGCCTGTCCACCACGTAGTACCGATGTTTCTGTATATGTTGGTACAGCGTGGTGTATTTGGTGACCCTCCTCATCCTCGGCAGGATGAAGCTTTGAGTGAAGGTCTCTCGGCTCAGAGGGCTCCGCCCCTCTGCTGCCAGGACACTGTTAATGAACTGAAGACAGAACGTGAAGCAGTTATGCTGCTCCTCATCGAACCTGAGAGACAGAAAGGGGGACAGGAGAGAGACAGGTGGACAGGGGAGGGAGACTGTCAATGAACCAAAGACTGAGAGTGATATTTTTACGGTGCTTTTAATCAAACTTGAGAGACAGACGGGCGAACGGGCAGAAAGTACGAGAGACAGCGACAGACACGCAGGTGGACAGGACGGAGACACTATTCATGCAAATCAAAGCAGTGATGGTGTTATTGAACCTCAGAGACAGGTAAACAGGGGCGAGAGATAGAGACAGAGGCGGGGGGGCAGGGGAGAGGTGTACCTGTGCCAGGCAGGGTCCCACATGGGCCCGTCGGAGAAGCGGTCCAGGTACTGGTCCCACTGAGCCAGCAGGTGGAACATGTCGGGTCGGACCAGAGGGACACTGACGCAGCGCTCCCACCCGCTCTGATCTCTACCGACTCCACCACTGGTGTAGTTATACACAACTCCTACACACACACACACATCAACATGCTGTCCTGACGGTTCGTCCTAAACCACACTAATAAGCCCATCAAACTTGAGTTAAATCAGTGTGAGAGTGAGACAGACAGGTGGCCGGGCAGACAGACACTATCATGAACAGACAGGAAGAGAGACAGACATGTGGACATACAGACAGACACACACGTACAGGTGAACAGACAGACAGGGCTCTGAACTCTCCAATCTTCCTGTTCACCACTTTCCCCTGACAGATGGCCAGTCACATGACAGTCTGAGCCTTGACCCCTGACCCCTGGGTCCTACCTGAAGTGTTGGAGATACCTGTGTGCAGATCGGATGTCCCATCGAACTCTCTGAGGAACAAACAGCACATTACACACTGGGTACACTGGTGTCACCTGGTGTGACCTGTGTGTGTGTGTGTGTGTGTACCAGTGTGTATCTACTTGTTGTGTGTACTAACCTTTTGCGCGTGTTCACCAGTCGTGTGTATCTGTGTGTGGGTTGTGTACCTACCTGTTGTGATTGTCGTGTGCAGGTGCGACCAGCAGACAGCAGGAGGTCTTTGTGCCCGTTGCCGAGGGGCGAGGGGAGGCTGACGGGGGCCTCCTGCAGTTCTGCTCCCCCTCAGCTCCTCCCCACAGCTGGGACACTACTCCGGCACCGAGAAGCAGAAGATCTCCTTCTGACAGTGACTCAGTCGGATCACGTTGAGTTCCATCGCCTCAACTCCTTCTTTTACTCCTCCAGTCCTCCTTTAACCCATCAAGTCCTCCTCCAACTCCTCAACTCCTTCTTTAATTGCTATTCCGTCTTTTACCTCTCAATTCTTTCCTTTACGCCTCAAGCACTCCTTTTCTTCTCCAGCCTTTCTTCTACCATTCAACTCTTCATTGTACTCACGAAGACCGTCTTTAACTTCTCAAATCTTCCTTTTACTCCTCCAGTCCTCCTTTTAATCCATAGATCTTCTGCTCCTCCTTTCTTCACCGTACTTTGACACCTTTTCTGCTCATTTTGTCCGTCAGTCCTGTTTCTGTGGCACAGCTAGTTGCTAGGTTACAGCCTATCAGATGTCCTCATGGCCCGACGTCGGCCTATCGGGTGGCAGGTGATGTCTGAGACAGTCATGTGACCCAGCACACCTGAATCTGCTTCAGCCTGAACAGTTGACCTTCGGACTGTGCTGCCCACGTTGTCAAGGAAACCGTGGTTGACCCGCAGAGAATAGAGATAAATAAATATGAAGCTACGTTCTATTCGTCTCAGATGTTTGATGAAACTGTACAGAGTTTATTTAAAAATAAAAGACACAATGCAACTTTACTGATTTACAGACTGAATGTAGGTCAGCAGGTTGTGTGAGGGAACTGCAAGCTTAGGTTCATTGCAGGTGTCTCCTGCTTGTCTTTATAGCCTTGAATTTGCTGAAGGTCTAAGAAAATGAACACCATGAAATTGCATAAGAAACATAAACAATATCTGGAAGATGTGTTCAATATGATTTATGCTTCTGCGTTTTCAGAGCGACGCAGACGCGAGACCCCTTTGCGTGTCCCGTGCGTCGCTTTTCACACCTGCTCGCGTCCTCGCGCGTGTCGAGACATTTTTCTCCCGCAGCGCACCAGGCTGCGATTGGTCCGCTAACTACGTCCTTTACGGAGTCTCACGTTTCCGCTTCCATAGCCCGATGCCGCCGTTATTAAAACGAAGAATGTTTACGAGAGAAACGGAGCAGATTTAAGAACTTTTGTCGGAAGAAATGCGTAAATATGAGCGCTTATACAAGCCGTCATTGGCGGGTTGTACAAGCGGGTTGGATTCACGGAGGGAGATCGCCGCAAACGCCGGTTTGCCGGTCGAGAGGAACAAAGTTGTGGAGGAAAGTACGGGACAAATGTGTCCGCGATGAAAAGCAGCAGTGTGGATGCACGGGGCAATAAAGTCTATGATAAATAAATAAACAAACAAATAAATAGACGTGACTCTCTAGGTCGTCTTCAACAAAAACACGTCACTCCGCCTGTTGTTCTGGAGGTGAATCGCTCTGCAACACACGCAGAACCATGAATCGCAACGACGCAGACGCAAACGCAGAAGCATGCGCCAGCCTAAAGGGTTGGGTGGAACGTTTTTATTTACTTAAATGTTTCTTGTTTTTTTTAATAAATCTTAAATTCGATTATATAGGTCAATTAAAAAACAAAAAAAGACCAATAAAGTCCCGCAGAAATCGGTAACGAAACAACCCTCTAAAAAAACAACGAAGAAGAACCGCGGAAGAAGATTAGGAACCTTCCTTTCGGGCCGCGGGTGTCAGTCGGAGGTTTTAGAGCGGAACACCGACGCGACCACTTTGGAAGCAGCCGTTGTAGCTGAAGCCCCGCGAGGAAGATGAGCACCAAACAGGTGACCTGCAGGTGAGTCTGAGGCTCGGTCACACACCTGTCCGTCGGTTTCGCGCTCTGTGTCTCTCCGCGAGGACGGCGGGCGCGACAGCGTCCAGCTAATGTTTTTAGCTGGTAGCCGATAGCTGTTAACTAGCTGTTAGCTGTTAGCGTGTAGCTGAAGCTTGAGTGAGCTTGAAGTCTGAACTCACTCCGATCGACGAACGTTACCGGCTAACTCGCTTGATCCGTCTCATCCGACGATTTGGGGTGGACAAAATATTAGAAGCACCCAACACCGTCCGGTTAACGGTGAACGTCACACGTGAGCAAACCGCCCGGGACGCGGAGGTTTGACTGATGATGATTCAGATTGTCAGACTTACGCACGGACGCACACACAATGTGTGTTGTATATAACGTTCTATTGTATTCTCTTAGCTACCGTTTCATATAAAATGAGCAAACTATTAAATTGGTACTGTAAAAACGGTTGTAATGTCATCTAAATCCATTTATTTATAAAAAATAAAGCTATTGCCGTGATCTTCGACACCGGACAGAAACAGAAGAGGAAGCTTAAAGAAGATTAATTTTCTTTGGTTGCCATGGCGAGAGTGTTTGTTGTCGCTTGCCCTACAGCAGGTGTAACAGGTGTGTTGTGTCTCAGGTACTTCCTCCACGGTGTGTGCAGGGAGGGAAGCCGCTGTTTGTTCTCTCACGACCCAACCAACAGTAAACCCTCCACCATCTGCAAGTTCTACCAGCGAGGAGTCTGCGCCTACGGGGAGCGCTGCAGGTGAAATAAATCGCCCGACGGACTGGCGACGGTCACCAGACCGAGGGCAAAGAGTTGCGTCGCTGTGTGGTATTTTCGCCACACTTTGTGCATGACGTTTTGTGCAACTTGTGTGCAGGTATGATCACATCAAATCTTCATCCAGAGGAGGAGCTCCGGAGGATCACCCCGGTGTAGGAGGAGCCGGAGCCGTCTTCACTCCACCTTCAGTCCGAGGTGGAGTGAAGAAGACGATGGTCCTCCGGGATAGAGGTGACTGACACACTGCAGTGATATCCATCTTTGCCCCCCTCCCCTCACATTTGTGTGTGATGTATACGCGGGGGGGGTTAATTAAAGGCCTTATTTTGGGTGGGTGCATTAGAGGCGTCACATTCAGTAACTTCCTCCTTTTTGAATCCCAGTTTGTGAACCCTGTAGAGATTCTCTCCTCAGAGGAAACAACTTCTTGTCTCCACCTCGTCATGTTGTTCATTAGGGCCACATTACCTTCTTGTATGCTGCTAATTAAAACGTGGAGCTCCAAAGCAACATTTTGTCCAAAACAAAACAACAATGAGGACGCTTGCAGCCGTTACCCTGGTCACCCAGCGGTCAGGATGGAGACGTGGTGAACTTTGTTTGTTAGTCTGGGAGGTTGGGTGATAAACGGTACTGAAACACAACCATCCAATGCTTCGCAGTATCTGATTTTCCCTCCTCTCGCTCTCTCAAGTTGGTGCTGCCTATTAAGGTGCTGCAGTTTCCCCACTTGAAAGGGAACTGACGAGATTCCCTGGAAACTGGATTTCACTCAAAACCCGACACGTTCCTTTTCTTTTTTCTTTTCATACCTTTCACGCTTCTTCTCAGATTGGCGCCGAGCGTTCTTTCAGTGCTTGCTTTTCTAATGTCGTCCCAGGTGAAAAACCGGCTGCCCTTCAGGGACCTCGATCTCATATGTAGTCGTTGAATGCTTTCTATCAGCTGATCTCGTCTCAGCTGTTGGCTCTGTCTTCTGAAAATGGCTCCGCCCCCATTCCTGCCTTTTGCCTGGGTTTCCTCCCCATCAAATTGCTGTTCTTCTCTATACATTCTATGAGAAAACCCTTGTTTGACTGTCTGTTTTTCTGTCTCTGTCATTGGTGTAGACACTATGTTTGGGGGTCCAATAGACAGCTTGGGGTCGGAGGTCGCGGCGGCTGCATCGGCATCTCCTCACTCGTATGTGCAGGCCATCAGGACGGGTCTGGACGCTTCAGCACAGGAACACGGTGGGATGAATGGAAAACGCACATCGAAGAGTCCCGATCGATGATGTGTTTTTTACATGTCGACCTGTGCTCTCTGCAGCCCCTCCCCTTGTGGGCGGAGCCTACCAGGACCTCCCTCAGCTGTGTCCCTACGCTGCCACCGGACACTGCTTCTACGAGGACAGCTGTACGTATCTCCATGGCGACCCGTGTGATGTGTGCGGGCTGCTGGTGCTCCACCCCCACGACCCCGAGCAGAGAAGAGCGCACGAGAAGGTGTGCAGGTTAATTTAATCTCATGTAAGGGAGGTGAAAGGCGCCGCCGGCTCTTCATGTGTCAGTTGAATTGTTAGAACTTTCCAGACGTAGAGAACATCCTGTAAGGCCGCAGTTTAGTGTTTGTTGTGTGATAGTAAAGAACTTCGATAAGCAACGTTGTCTTTGTGTCTTTATTCTTGCAAGAAGGTTCAGTCCCAACATGCAGAGCAGTCTGCTGAGACACCGAAGAACAACAGGGGACAAAGGGAAGTCCAACTTCATACAGAAACTGGTTCTCAGTGAGTGAAGCTGGTTTGTCCTTTTCGTCAGGACAGGGTCTTTGTGGACGTGATAGGGCCCGTTAGGTTGAGACAGGGTCTTTGTGGACGTGATAGGGCCCGTTAGGTGGAGACAGGGTCTTTGTGGACGTGATAGGGCCCGTTAGGTGGAGACAGGGTCTTTGTGGACGTGATAGGGCACGTTAGGTTGAGACAGGGTCTTTGTGGACGTGATAGGGCCCGTTAGGTGGAGACAGGGTCTTTGTGGACGTGATAGGGCCCGTTAGCTGGAGACAGGGTCTTTGTGGACGTGATAGGGCCCGTTAGGTTGAGACAGGGTCTTTGTGGACGTGATAGGGCCCGTTAGGTGGAGACAGGGTCTTTGTGGACGTGATAGGGCCCGTTAGGTGGAGACAGGGTCTTTGGGGACAGGGCACATTAGGCAGGGACAGGGCATGTTAGGTTGGGACAGCGTCTTTGGGGACAGGGCACGTTAGGTTGGGACAGCGTCTTTGGGGACAGGGCACGTTAGGTTGGGACAGCGTCTTTGAGGACAGGGTGCGTTGGGTTGGGACAGCGTCTTTGGGGACAGGGCGTGTTGGGACAGCGTCTTTGGGGACATGGCATGTGTAGTTGGGACAGCGTCTTTGGGGACAGGGCACGTTAGGTAGGGACAGCGTCTTTGGGGACAGGGCACGTACGGTTGGGACAGCGTCTTTGGGGACAGGGCGTGTTGGGTTGGGACAGCGTCTTTGGGGACAGGGCTTTTTGAGTTGGGACAGCGTCTTTGGGGACAGGGCACGTTAGGTTGGGACAGCGTCTTTGAGGACAGGGCGCGTTGGGTTGGGACAGCGTCTTTGAGGGACAGGGGCGTGTTGGGTTGGGACAGCGTCTTTGAGGACATGGCATGTTAGGTTGGGACAGCGTCTTTGGGGACAGGGCGTGTTGGGACAGCGTTTTTGAAGACAGGGCGTGTTGGGTTGGCACAGCGTCTTTGGGGACAGGGCGTGTTGGGTTGGCACAGCGTCTTTGGGGACAGGGCGTGTTGGGTTGGGACAGCGTCTTTGGGGACAGGGCGTGTTGGGTTGGGAAAGCGTCTTTGGGGACAGGGCGTGTTGGGACAGCGTCTTTGGGGATGAGACAGCTGTGTCAGGCCAACCATCAATCTGACACTGTCGTGTCGTAGCCCGTCTTCTTCCTTCCGTCTAATAAGAACTATTCCAACGTGGATTAAGGACATAATTGAGGCACCGTTTGTAACCTTAACTACGACTCACCCGGCGACGCCTACTTTTTGGGATGATTGAACTCTGTTTTTGGTTTTTGACTGAAACGTTGGATGTGATCGCTTGACGTCTGTCTGCAGATGTGCATGCTGTCCTTTGAGGCTGACATGGAGAAGGCTTTCGCAGCCCAGCTGAGCCAGGACAAGGTGGGTCCACTCGGTCACTTGCGTTGTCGTGGCGACGGTCACAGCGACCGTTACTGTCACTGCTGCTGTTGACGACGTTGGTTGTTTTTCAGGTGTGTTCCATCTGCATGGAGCTGGTGGTGCAGAAGCTGAATCCGTCAGACCGCAGGTTCGGCATTCTGTCCTCCTGCTGTCACACCTTCTGTCTGGCCTGCATCCGACAGTGGCGCTGCACCAGGAACTTCAGCAACAAGATCATCAAGTAAGAGTCCGTTAAGACGGAACCAGGGAACGTTAAGACGGAACCAGGGTCCGGGACATGGCGCTTCGTTCGCTGCATCTGAAATTAGTGGGGTGGTCTCAAAGCTACAGCCTCGTCTTTCAGGGTCTCCGGGGTCAGAACAGTTCTTTGGACGTGGCGTAGTCCGTAATGTTCTCGGGGAACCCGTGAAGAGCTTTGAGGAAGTGACAGCCTCTGTCGGGGGGGTTCTTGGAGTCCAGTACGGGGCTCTGCCTCATGGCACGTTTCTCTCTCAGGTCGTGTCCAGAATGTCGCGTTGTCTCAGAGTTCGTCATCCCTTCGACCTACTGGGTGGAGGACCAGGACGAGAAGGACCACCTCATAGACCTCTTCAAGTCAGGAGTTAGGTGAGCGATCCTTGGTGCCACTGAGCAGGCTAGCGAGTGCTTTTCCAAACACGGCGTGAAACCTTTTCCCCGTTGTCTCTTTAGTAAGAAGTCCTGTAAGTACTTCGATCAGGGTCGAGGGTCGTGTCCATTCGGAGGGAAGTGTTTGTATCTTCACGCCTTCCCAGACGGCACCCGAGCGGAACCCGACCGGCCCAGAAAGCAGCTGAGCTCCGAGGGGAACGTCCGGGTCAGAAACCGCAGACGCCATCGAGATTCAAAGCTCCTGCGTTTTGTGGGAATAACATTTTTTTCATCTGTATTTTTTCCTTTTTCTTCCTCTCCGTAGTTCATGAACAACGTCCGCCTGTGGGACTTCATCGAGGAGCGCGAGCAGCGGCCGGCCACGTCCTCCCTGGATGATGACATCACGGAGATGAGGGAGCTCTTCATGCAGATGTCCGGGCCGAGCCACGACGAGCCGGAGACCCCGGCCGCCGAAGACCAGTAGAGACCGGGGGCCGTCCCCGGCGTCCGACCCCCGGGGGGCGGATCCGCTTTGTGGATCGTTGAAATATTAAATCATGTGACCACACGCAGCTCTCCGTGTGTTTCAGTCTGGAAAGCTAAATCCCCCCTCTACACACGTTTGTTAATTGGTTAATGATATATTGTTGCCATTTTATTTATTGTGTAAATACATAAATACCGAGTAAGTGTGAAGTTGTTCCGTGGTGTTGTTGGATACGGTAGTTTTCAGATATCCAACGGAGGATATTGATAATATTAATGTCAGTGCTCCTGTAGGACCAGTTAAGTAAACCAGACTTCTCATCATGAACGTTTGTCCCGCCTCAAATGGACAGTATTTAAATTGAATGGATTTCTTAGTCATTAAATCATGACAACTATATAACGAGTTTGCTTTTGAGTTTAACTTTTAACAACAGAGCTTCAGATTGTAAGCGACGTCTTTAACAACATGACGCAACACACACAAGGTAATTATGAAAAATACAAACAAAAAATGTAAATGAATTAAAATCATTTTTTAAAAAGTTATTTGGTTCTGTATTTTTTATCAAAACTGTGAAAGAAGTTCATTAGAGAGCCTGAAGTGGTGTCGTGTGTCATTTACTATGAAGTAAGATGTTGAAGCAGCAAAAGGAGGCAGAATCGTCTTGTTGTGGACAGATGCTGATGGGTCGGTTGAGGGGGGGGCGATCTTCCTCGGATGGGCCGCTGCGTGGGTCAATGCTTCTCTGAAAGGCCTGGTATCTGATCGGCACATTTATGGTGGAGCAGCTGTCTGCAGCCGAGGAGGAGGAGGAGGAGGAGGCAGAGCTAGAAGATGTGGTGGTTCAATACAAGGAGCAGGTCCTCAGTTTGTTTGTGTGTAGTTTAGTTTGTGTGTTCGCTCGTGCCTGGTGTCTATAAGTAGCTGGAAGCCGCAGTGTCCCGGCTTATTTTTAACATGCAGTTGTTCGGTTTCTGCTGAGGAGAAAAAAAAACCTTCACCCATCTCTTCCCAAAAACCACAGACACGTATCTGATCCTACGCCTTCCTGTAGAGGCTGAGCCAACGCTTTAAGCCACCGAGGCATTTTGTCCCGAGACCCTAGTTGACGCGCCGCTATTGTCCCATGACGAATGAGTGACAGTCTTTGTGTTATTGAGTCCATTTATTTGCCAACTTACTCCTGTCACACATTCAACAAACATCCACCCAGCGTGTGTAACATGGCGCCACCCAGCATGCGGTCCTATTCCGGCTGGAAACACCTGCCGAGCCCCCAAAGGTTCCTACCCTATGCAGGCTGACCCGCCCGTCAATCAGCTCCTGACACACATCATAAATCGTCTCTCACACGTTTATTTGCACTTTGAGAGACAAACCGGTCACTTTAACGTCACAACATTCTAATCTTGTTTCCATCAGAAGGATTCCAGTGAGATCTTGTTATCGACGCCGCGCAGAACCTCCTATTCATAGTGCCGCCTAATAGCAAAGGTCACACAACATCAGAGGTCACAGGTCACACATGGTCCCCTCTGCTCCCGTCTGGGTCACGTCATCACAAACGAGTGAAGTCTCTCCGTTTTTGGACAATTGACACATTTCAGAGACAGAAGTGACGAGCTGAGTGATTCTCCCACAGAAGCAGCTGCTTTGAGCTGATTCATGTTCACCAGGTGAAAACAGCAAAACCGAGAGAAAGTAAAGTGTGTTAAAGTCAAATGAAATCACGTTGTATATATTTAGAGTCAGTGCTTCAGGGCGGGGCTACCTTGTGATTGACAGGTGTCTTTTAGAATACAGCACAATTGCCAAAATGCCCAATTTGGGCTTCAAAAGCGTCATCCATAAACCGATGGTCGACGTGGCAACAAGTTCCACTTCTTATAGTTTATAATGGAGCCTCATGCGAGCACATGTCAGTCCGTCCTTTCCCCTCAGAGCCCCCAAATAGGTGAACCCGGGTTCAGGGCTCCATCTCCCCGAGCGCTCCACCTCCAGCAAACACAGCTGCTCACTCTGTTCCGTCCACACTTTATTCTGCTCTTTTTATTCAAACATAACGTCTCCCTGTTATCCCATTTGAACAGGTGCCGATAGCAGTGGAGCGGCAGGTGGCTACTTGCTGGGCTCGGTGCTCTGAGCTCTACTATGTGGTCTTGGTGGAGGTGCAGTGCGCCAGAGGCCTCCTCTGCCTTCCTGTGTTTTTGCTGCTCACGGTAAGAGAACGTTCGCGCTCCGCTGTCCCTCTCTGTCCCTCTCTGTCCCCTTCAATTACACTAATCCAATCAGGACATCTTAACTCCTCACAGCCGAGCGCAGAGAGTCAAGCAGCAACAGGTGGCTGGGACACCACCTCCTCCACCTCCTTCTCCACCTCCTCACAGCCAAACGCTCCGATTGTTTCAGTTCTGGCTTTGCTGTTATGAAGCCGCCTCACGGTTCGGTGGGCTGAACGACCCCGGCGACCGCGCTGCAGGAGGAGGAAGAGGAGGAGGAAGAGGAGGAGGGGGAGGGGGCCGGGGCTGCTGGGAAAAATAAGTCGTGAGGGAGAGGAGAAGGGGCAGAAAGAGCGGCGGCGTGGACTGTGAACCTGCTGCAGGGGAAGAATGGGAGCTGCGTACGGAAAGAAGGTCAGTCACTGGTTGACGACTAGACGTCGTTTACGTCACATTTACTTCAGTTTAAGACATGACTTCTATTTGTATTTTGTAAAACCTTATGCTCTTACTCCAGAAATCGCTATGAATTTCAAGTAGTTCAAATGAAATGATATTAATAATTTTGCATAACAAGTACTTTTACCTTTTTAATAATTTAATAATACTTTGGTGCGAATATTTGTGCTTTTACTAGAATAACGTTTGAACTGCAGTGTTTCACACTGAGTTTTAACTGCTTTTGTTAAGTAAAAAGTTTGAGCTTTTCTTCCAGTTTGTACAGAAACACAAACCTGATGAATCTGGACTTTATGTTTAGTTCGAGCTGATTAATGTGTTATGTTGATAAAATATGAATCATTGATCAGTGACACCAAAGATTCACTGGTTCTAAGACCGAAGTGTACGATGTTTACAGGGTCACAGTTTAACCTGTTAGCATGCTAGCATTAGCTAAATGTCAATCAACCCAAAGCACACCTGAAGCTGATATCGACGTGATTAGTTCTGGTTGGATTCTTAAACTGCTGACTAAGTTACTGTGGTTCGTCCTCGGGGAACATGAATGATTGATCACATTATTCACAATCCATCCGATTATTTGATAAATGGTTTATTTCAGTCACTGTCCAGTTGTTTCCTCCAGACTGATATTTTTCTTGTAAACAAATGAATTTCTTACAATATGTTGAATCAGAAATTATGACTTTTTAAAGTTCGTAAGCTTTTAAAATTCAACAGAAAGTATTCGTTTTTGTTCCAGCACAGATTGAGCAGCCTGTAAACCACAGCCGTGCACCGTGACAGACACCAGTCTGGACCCAGTGGGTCCGACACCATCTCTGACAATCTCACGTACGATGTGTGAGTCGTTAATCGCTCCACGGGTCGCGAGCACGCTGCAGACGTCAGAATACAGCAGGGAGACGTATTTAACTCCACATTGAGAACACGACACCGGGACCTTCTGATGGAGATATTCTGGGATGTAACCAAGACGTGTAGACATTGTTTCCAGGCCGTGAGTTTGGCTTTTGCCCTTTTGGATAACTGCTTCCCCTGCTTCATGGTCTGTTGGAGACCTGTCAATCAGCATGTAGCCCCGCCCTAAAGCGTCCCCTGCTTTGTGGTCTGTTTGACTCTAAATGGACCATCAGTCACTAAATGAACATCGTGCTGTATTGAAGAAGACTTGAAACTAGAGACTGAGACATAAACTCATGTTTACAATGTTTACTGAGGGAATAAATCAAGCCATTTTCTCTTATGAAAATAAAATAAATTATGAAAATAAAATGTATATATATTTTTTAATTCATGTACATTAATATTATCAGAATAAAAAAAGCATGTAACTCTTATATCATAAAAGTACCTTGAATGTGTACTGAAGTACTTCACTTGAACTTAAACTCGCTCTTCCAAGTATTCGAGCTATGGAGGCGCAAACCCACCTGTTGAGGTGGGCCTGTTTGGGTGTGTTTGTTGCCACGGCGACTGTGACAGCTGTCAGCTGGGTGGCATTAGGAGGCGGGGCCTGTGCCTGTGACGTCACACGCAGCTCATAGGTGTATTTTTAGTGGCGTTCCAGTCAGCAGCAGCAGGTGGTGGTGAGGAAGAGAGAGCTAACTGCCTTATTCAGTTTGATATGTGGTCACCGTGGCAACTGGACCCCTGTGACATCACGGGGCCGCCGACAACGTCATACCAGAGAAACTGACTACGTGTAGGACCAATGGAGAAAGGTCACGTGGACCAAATGTTAAATCTCTAATTTAAAAAACCGGCAAAATGTGGATCCCCTCAAACTAAATTCATGGATATTATTTTATATCATAGCTCTATTTAAAGGCAGTTTTTAAACCACAATATGGCTGGAGGCGATGCAACTAACACCAATTAAAATGGGAGTGGATCTCTGTCCTTATTGTAATATTTACACAATGACATCAGTCTCTCTTGTTGGGCCTCATAACAAACGGAGCGTTTCGACCAATCGGAGCCCAGCTCCTGCCGGCAGGTCTACGGTCAGTCTGTGAAGTCATGTGTGAGCGACTGAATGAGCTCTGACACAATAAATAGCGGTGGACTATTTCCAGCTGCCGTTACGTAACGCTGCTCGTTAAGAAGAAGGGGCGACAGATCCAGGATCAGCCTGATGATCCACCGCAGCCTCCTGTCAGGTGGCCAAAAACACAGAAAAACATGTAGTTTTAATGTCTTCAGAGGGTTAACTCCGGATTGAACCAGATTGAGATCAGAGAAAATCCCTGCAGCTAAAAATACTGAAACAAGTAGAAAAAGAGTAAAACTGTAACCGTAAAAACTACAGCTGGAGAAGTTCTCTAAATGAAACTAAACGTTGTTAATGTTGTCTATTTATTACCTCCCCTCATTCTTATAACCTTATTTCAACCTCTTCAATAATGCTTTTTTTAGTAGTGTATTACCTTTTTAAATGCTGGTATGAGTTTGCAGAAGAACCAGAGAAGAAGAGATTAGCTGTTTGCTGAGCTGTGATTAGACGGTCTGACCTCTGACCTTCAGAATAAAGTTCTGTGTGATGCTTCACTATGGAAGTCCAGTTGCACTTAAATGATCAGTTGGTTCCATTCAGCTGTTCAGAGAGTTATTTTTAAATGATGAAATCATTTTCTGATTTCTAAATTTCTTATTTTTATCCGTAGTTTAAGATTAAACCAACATCTTTGCCGGGGGGCCTCATTTGGCCCCCATACCACTGTTTTTTCACCACAGTCAGAGCTGTAATGATCGTATATGTCCAGCAGGGGGCAGACTGCTCGTCATTAAACCTGCTGAGTCCGAACCTCAGCAAGTCAGCTGATCCCACATCAGCTGTGGAGTTTCTTTTTATTCCATCCGTGCGTTCAAACCCGTGCGACACGTGAAGTGCGGCTTGTTTGTGCAGTTTGCTCCACGCCATCACGGTGGCACCTTCATCATCGTCCTCATCAGAGGAAGAAGAGGACTTCACCACAGTTGAAACTGGTCTTCCTGGTGGACGGACTGGGACCAGTTTAGGAGAACAGATCATTCATCAAATGTTCATCCTGCAGTAAACAACATTCATGGGCACTTCTCGGGACCCCCTCCTCCTCCTTAAGGGGGTGATGGAGGAGGAAGGGGGGGCGTCTGTGAGACAGTGAGGGCCTTGTCACCATGTCGAAGCCTGTTGGAGCCTTGAAGTCTCCTAGCAACCAACACAAAGTCCATTCAGTCAGGGACAACGCCGTCCAACTGACCTGGAGTCTGAAAGGAGACCAGCGGCCGGGGACCACCAGGGAGAGGAGGGGGAGGGGGAGGGAGAGGGATGAGGAGAGGGAGACACGGACGAGGTGTAGGAGGAGAGAACAGAGAGGAGGGGGGGAGAGAGATGAGGAGAGGCGGAGGTGACTGAAGAGTAGGAAAGGTGACGAGGAGAGAGGAAGGGGAACAGGAGGAGGTGCTTCATGAAACCAAACACTAAATATCGGTAAATACTCTGAAAAGTACATGAATAGAAGTACAGAATGAGGTCACAACACTCACACAAACGCACTGTTTGAACTGTCCAGATGCATTGTGGGTAATACAGCTGCCAGAAGAACAATGACGTCTGAATTATTCTTTTGTCATTTTCAAGATTGAAGATATTTATTGTCGCTATCCCTCCTTCGACAAAGCTACAGATGTAAAACATTAAAAGTCAAAATAAATAAATATATATACACACAATAAAGAGCTAAATATGCTAGTGCACCGTGCGCTTATGTCATTTCTTCTTCTGCGGTTTTCCAGAAGGCGTACAGCATCGACCACGAGACTCCGCCGAAGCAGCAACATGCGAAAAATGGAAAGCACCCAAACGGCAGAGGTGAGTTTTCCTCGTTCTGTCGACTGACCAGCAGGGGGCGACTCCTCCGGGTGTCTTTATCGTGGCACGTTATGAGATCGTCGCCGTATTCCGTCTGTGCGTCCGTACGGAGAGGTCCAGGTGTCTAGCCTAGCTTAGCACAATGGCTATAAGCGGGGAGAAACTGCTAGCCTAGCTTAGCACAATGGCTATAAGCGGGGGAAACTGCTAGCCTAGTTTAACACAATGGCTATAAGCGGGAGGGAAACTGCTAGCCTAGCTTAGCACAATGGCTATAAGCGGGGGAAACTGCTAGCCTAGTTTAACACAATGGCTATAAGCGGGAGGGAAACTGCTAGCCTAGCTTAGCACAATGGCTATTAGCGGGGGGAAACTGCTAGCCTAGCTTAACACAATGGCTATAAGCGGGGGGGAAACTGCTAGACTAGCTTAGCAAAATGGCTATAAGCGGGGGGGAAACTACTAGCCTAGCTTAGCACAATGGCTATAAGCAGGGGGGAAACTGCTAGCCTAGCTTAGCACAATGGCTATAAGCGGGGGGAAACTGCAAGCTCCATTAAAAGGCCTCCCAACGTTCACAGAAAGTTAAACCTTAAACCAGCGTTTCAAAATATTTGTTTCTCAGTCATGAACGAACAACGGATTTACTCTTTTAATTTGGAGGACGTGTTGGAACCACATTCATTCTCCTCAGAGGATGAATCGAGTAGTGAATTTTCAGCGCCACCATCTTCAGACTGTCACTTTTTGACGTTTTTTACTTCAAACTGAAACCTGAAGACGGCAGCGTGGGAAAAGGCTGAGAGCGGTTTGTCAGAGGTTTTCACGAGGAGGAGGAGGAGGAGGAGGAGGAGGAGGAGGAGGAGGAGGGGAACACCGGGAGGGTCATGTGACCACTGTTTTACACTCTGCATGACTCAGTCGAGAGGAGCGGAGCGCTGCTGCTTCTCCACAGTGAGCATGAAGGTTCACGCAGACAGAAACACATGAGGATCACCAGGACCAGGACCAGGCCCAGATGGATCAGAGGAGAACTACAGCCTCGGAGGGGATGGTGAAGTCTGGTAAGACGGACTGACTGATCCCGGATCCTCCTGCAGAATTTTCTTACTATTTTAAACTGCAGATGACTGTTTTATTTTTTGCAATTCTCTAGAAAAAGGATTTTCTTAATGAATGAGTGGATGATGCTTCCTTCACTTTATGAACAGTTTATCATTTGTTTAATTTTTACAGATTTGTTTCATTTAATGTGTGTATTTGCTGAATATGTGGAAATGTGTGATATCATTAGAATAAAACAAATAACAAAAATGTTTTACTCCTTTTTTGCAACTGGAATTTAAATGTAATTACACATTTAATTGTTATTAATCTATTTTCAGCTTTAAGACGTTAGGGCTGCACTGTGGTGCGAATTAAGTATTCACACTCTTTACTCGAGAACAAAATGCAATTATATTTTACATTTAACCAATAATTCAACTGGAGTCGTTGGCGAGCAGCAGCGCCATCAAAATAATAAGAGCGTGCGCGGGTGGACGTGGGATGAAGATGAAATCACTGTTGGCAGATTCATTTCATTTGAGTAGGAGTCCGGACTTCTCTCAGACTGTTGCGTAATAATAAAAAAACTCCATCAGAATTACAGGGATGTGGTGTTTTAGTTGTGGTTGAATCGTTCTCTGGTGATTTACTTTTCTTTGCAACAGATTGTGCTTTTTTTTTTAATCCCGGTTTGGTCCGATATTCTCTCATAATTTAATCCATGTTCGTCTTCACATCCTGGAGTGATTGAACCGTGTCTGCGGTTTTAACCCCGGTTGGCGTTCGGCGAGGTGGTTCGGCGCGGTTCTGGTTTCTTGGAGCAGATCAATAGCTGAACAGATAAAACGTGTTTGTCTTTTGCAACTTGTGGAGATGTGAGCGTTCTGGTGAGAGTGGAACAGACTTCGACCTGCTCTGTTCAAACAGTCGGCGCTTCTGTTTTTGTGAATTATTTACAAATGGGTCAAATATATTTGTGTAAAAACTACAAATTAAAATGTAAAGCACTATTTAGTTGGGTTTTTTTCAGCTTTTGTTGGTGTAATTGGTCCCAGTGGGTCGAGCAGAACGTAGTATCCATAAATCCGTGTGTAGTTAATACTTGTAATCAGTTTGAACTGTGATGCTGCAGGACGCGTTTCAGCGATGCCTTAAGAGGCTTTGAGCCATCTGATTAACGTCGGTGTGATTTCCCTCCCAGGATGAATGAATCAGAGAGAAGAGACATTTTGTCCCCATGTTGCTGTGTAACTGGCGGCGGTGGAGGCGGACTGTCTTCCCCTCACAGCTTCCAGTTGTAACCAGATAACGTTTAAATGTCGATAAACAGGGTTTCGTTTGCTCGTCCCGTCTCGGATCAATACGACACCACGACGTCTCTCGGTCCTCAGACCTGAGAGTCCTCCAGCAGAGACTTTCTCTCAGTCACATGTCCGTGCTGTAAAGGTTTCCATGAATAACTGTCCGTGTGTTGCGTTCATGCTCGTTCTTTGCTCACAATAACGCAGTTTCCTTTGTTCAGTCGAATGTGTGAACTTCCATGTGGGAGGAAATCGAATGGTGAGCTGCAGGTTGCAGATTCGGCGAAACCGGCTGCTGAAGGACCTTTTGTTTTTATCCAGGGCAACACGCCAGCAAGGTAACGTTTACTTCAGCACAATTAAACCGGACGTTCTGCAACTTCAGCCAGCGCCGAAGCTTTTTGTTTAATCTTCACAAAATCTGTGGCTGAAACGTCCAGAGAAAAGTCTGCAGGAGAGCGGCGGTTCCTCCAGGAAGCCGTCCACACACTCGGGGCCGATTTCTATTTTTCTGAAATATGAAGCAGCAGTGGAAATCGGTCTCTGGTTGCGCCTGAGAAAGGGGTCATTGTGTGAGGTGAACTGTATGACATCTGATCTCTGTCTCCCAGAATATCTGAGGACTCGGATCAGATGCCTTTTAATCTGTCCTTTCTTCTTGTGGACAAATGGGAACAAGGGACAGTCACAGCCATGAACACCGTGCTTCATCCCGGCAGAGTCTAGTATGAAGTAACGTGCTGGTGTTTTGCTGCAGACGTCCAGAGGGGGCGCTAGAGGAGCTCTGAAGGGTTCATCCTCTGCATGACCTCCAGTCCCCTCCGTCTGAGCGTCCCTGTGGTTTCTTGCCCTCAGCCTCGGCGTACGCTGACCTGCAGCAGCACCGGTCCGAGGGCGTCCACAGGAAACCGTCCCCGGTGTCCGGCTACGTCCCCCAGCCCGACTACCTAGAGGAAGACGAGGACAACGACCTCATCAAACCCAAGAAACTGGTGAATCCCGTCAAAGCTTCCAAGAGTCACCAGGAGCTTCACAGAGAGCTGATGAGCAGCTGCAAAAGGTGTGTGTGTGTGTGTGTGTGTGTGTGTGTGTGTGGGACATTTGGAACAAAAGGACATAGTGAAAAGTTGATTAGCTGAAGCTACTCGGCCATGTAGATGCAAAGGTCTTCACCAATTATTCAGCAAAGTCATAGAACTTTGGATGTCAAGCTGTTCTAATAATTATTTATTCATGGGAAAGCCCTTAACTTTCATTCTCTGTAGTGACCAGCAGGGGGCGACTCCTCTGCTCCCATAGACGTCTATGAGGAAATGACTCTACTTCTCTGTAGTGACCAGCAGGGGGCGACTCCTCTGCTCCCATAGACGTCTATGAGGAAATGACTCTACTTCTCTGTAGTGACCAGCAGGGGGCGACTCCTCTGCTCCCATAGACGTCTATGAGGAAATGACTCTACTTCTCTGTAGTGACCAGCAGGGGGCGACTCCTCTGCTCCCATAGACGTCTATGAGGAAATGACTACTTCTCTGTAGTGACCAGCAGGGGGCGACTCCTCTGCTCCCATAGACGTCTATGAGGAAATGACTCTACTTCTCTCTTGATTTATTCCCTCAGTAAACATTGTAAACATGAGTTTATGGTCTCAGTCTCTAGTTTCAAGTCTTCTTAAATACAGCGTGATGTTCATTTAGTAAATGATGGTCGATTTAGAGTCAAACAGACCATAAAGCAGGCGGCTTTAGGGCGGGGCTACACGCTGATTGACAGGTCTCTGAGGATTCAGGGCGATGCAGGTTTTTGTGTAACGTTTCTCCTTGAGTTGATTTTCAGTTCATGGAAGTTGACTGAAATATTTTAGTTGTCTAAACATGTCTGATTTAGTGTTTGGTTAGCTCCGCCCTCTCGTATCACTTAACAGTAATATACATTTTTATTTTAACTGAGCTTTGACTGATGCAGATGACATCTCCTCCTATGACATCACAGCCCCTTGAATGATGTACTATTATCATGATTGTAATAATATGTCTTCCACTGGCTGTCTGCGGGATTTGGATGTTGGTCACTCGGCCTCATATAGTTCTACTTATTGGAAGTGTTCACAGGATTCGGGGGTCACGGCCCCCTGCTCATCATCGGCTGGCAGCCGCGGGCTGACCAATCAGAGGGCGGCATTTCTTTCCAGTCTTTTAACGCCTGTCGTCTCGTCGTGTAAAGTTTCTGAAGACACGAGTGGTTGTTGCTAAGCAACAGCCTCCCACCTCGCAGGCCTGCATGCGGAGGACTGGGAAAGTTTTCACCTCCGCACAGCCGCTTATTCACACTCCGGGCAAAGCAAGGTCGCTGTTTTTCTTCTAGATTGATCATTCAGGAGGAAACGCGAGGCGCATGAAACAAACGCACCAACAACTTACAGCTATTACACAACTCAACCGCAGCTCAGAACTTCAGAGGATACAAGATGATGCTCAACTACTACATGCAAAAGAGATTCTGAAAACTAGTAAAGTACACGTGGAATGACGTCACGTGTGGAAAACGTATGTTTTTATACATACATGTACGCATGTGTGCAGAAACACGCATTATGACGTGTTTGGGGTCGTCGTGGCGCAGGAGTAGAGAGGGTGAGCTGGGAACCGTAAGGTTGGTAGTTTGAGTCCCGGCTGCCCCAGGGTTAGCAAGACACCTGACCCCTAAATGCTCCCCGGGCAGAATGTAAAAATCTGTGAGTTAAAAATGTAACGCAAGTGTCTTTGGATAAATGACCTGTAATGTTGTAGTAATATATGCTGCTTACTGCCCCCTGCTGGAGGAAACTCACAAACACACGTCACTTATTCTGATACACAAAGGTTCACTCCATTATTTCACTGTGCCATTGTGTGTATTCACACACACACACACATAAATACACGTATGCACAAACAAAAGAATATTTTTGTGTTGGAAGAATACAGTTTAAAATATAAATCCAAACAAACGGTCATATTTACTTTGTCTATAAATGAACCAGTTACTTTGATCATTGCCTAATTATTCCAACACTTTGCTGCTTATAAAAATGTATGTGTGTGTGTGTGTACATATTCAGGAGAATATATGTGTGTAGTATATCTATAAATTACTACACACTGAGGTATTTATTGATATCAGCTATTTTGATGCTGATGATTAATTGATGTGTGTGTGTGTCCGTCCCTTTGCTGTTTTGTGGAGTACTAAACACATTGTGTTACTGTGTGTTCTTTGTCCAGAAGCAGCGGCGTGAGTGTGGAGACGAAGCCGGAGCTGCAGCGAGTTCTGGAGTCGAGGAAACGAGATCAGCTGATCAAACAGAGGAAACAGGAAGAGGAAGCTCGCAGGAAGATTTCTCCTCTGGAGGCCGAGCTCCTGAAGAGACACCAGAAACTGGACGAGGTACACAACACACAACACGCAGTGCAGGACAGACACTTTAGGGAATATAGAATGATGTCTTCCACCTTGCCGCTGTGTGTTGTCTCTTTGACGCTTGTCTCTGGTGTTGCAGTTGGACAAACAGCAGGAGAAGGAGCAGGAGGAGAACCTGAAAGCTCCAGAGTTTGTCAAAGTGAAAGAAAATCTGAGACGGACGTCCTTTCATAAAGAAGAGAAGGAAGTTTAGAGACAACTGCTGTCCTGGAGGACAAAACACAACTAAGGAGGAGGCTGTCCTCATGTTCACATGACAATCTGAGGACTCAACCCGACTAGAGACACTCTGAGGACACATGAAAGACACAGGACAGTCTTGACAGGAATGAACAGAGGACACATAAAGGACAAACCTACAGAATACACTGAGGACGCATTGCGGAGGTATCATGGGCAAATGAAGGACAATCGAGACTCTTGCAATCTGGGGACACACTTGTCCAAATGCAGGACGAAGCAGCTGTGATGTCCTTCAGGAGACCCGACCGGGACAAGCAGCGGTCTCGCTGCTCTCTGTGGACGCTGTTGCCGTGGAAACGCGGCGCGTCCCTCTCCTCGGGAGGACGGACTGGGTCGCTGTCCCCTGGCGCGTCCCTGAAAGGTGTTTTAGTCACATGATTCTGAGCAAAGAAACGGCTTCTTTCTTATTAACTACGTTATAGTTTTTAGTCGTAAATATAAGATTCATCAGATGATTCCAAGAAATCCTTTAATCTTTATGAGATTCAGTCGAATGAATAGTTGCTGACTACGTACGAAAAGGTTTTCTTGCGATGATGGAATATTGATGAATTTCATTAATTACCAGGATAAATTTCTTTTCATTTTTATCTTATTATAAAGTGAAAATTGGATTTAATTAGAAGCTTCTCAGCACTTTCATCTACAATTAAATGTAAAAGTAAATAAATCATTCCAGGAAATAATAGTATAATGGTACATTTCTTTCTGTGTATGTAATTAAATATAAAGAGGCTGTTATTTAGTCTTCAACGTTCTGGAAATCAAACATTCTGGAAGTAGATTTTCATAAATGTGGATTATTTCTCAATACGTAGTTACGGTTAATTCCCGTTTCTTAAGACGCTAACTCATTAAAAACTTAACGCAGTCATCATTAAATATGACATAACACAGGAAACATTAGTTTGAATAAATGCTGATAATTACGGTTTACAGAAGTCAAAATTACAAGAAAATCTCATAATTACGCGAATTGTACGTTGCGATATTTTCTTATATTACAAAATGTTTAGTTATAGCTGAATGGCATTGAAGTAATAATTCTGAGATTCTTCTCATGGTTACAGATTCAGTCTGTAATCATTATTAGGTGTGTGTGTCTATATTTGAACACCGTTGTATCACGAGAAATTGTCAGTTTTACCAGATGAAAAATCAAAGTTTATGGATGCAGAAAAATGACAAAAGTGAAATGTATTCCCAAAGAAACAACGACAACAACACAACACAATCTTGTGTATTTCTAATCTATCGTATTCTAACGTCTCCCCAAAAAGAACTGCTTTGGTTTTAATGATCGGGACTCGTGAGATGTGAATCTGTCCAAGTCATTTCATACTCACAAAATACTTGTTTCTTGAATGAAAACACGACGTTTTGCTTCATGGAAGTCGTAACAACGTGACGATATCTGCCACAATTACAAGACACGGAACCTGCTCCTGGTTTCATTACCCTTCATTTGTTGGAAGGACTTGAAGAGCTTTTATTTGTAATTGTGACTGCGAGAAGGATCCTGTGATGAAATGGTTCACATGAGGACTTTGGCTGCACCGTGTATTTAGTTTGTAACGTTTATTCAAAGACGTGGTGACCCTGTGACCTCTCACTGATCAGTGAAGTGTAAAAGAAGCCTTACTTTTGGACGTTTTTTATTGTTAATAGTGAATTGTACATTCGTTAATTTTTTTTTATTTTTATTTCTTTATTATAGAGCACTTTAGACTTTTAACTGTACAAATGAAGAATCAGATCTAAACCACTTATTTTCATTCATATCTTTGATGTTTTGCGGCCTGTGAAGCGATTTGTTCTGAGTGACTTGTTCGGATTCGCTGCAGCAGAACGTCTTTGTTGACGTGACAATAAAGCAACGCTGCTGTTCTGGTGCTTCGTATTTCTTCCGTCAAAAGCTCTTCAATCGGATTCTCTCTCCAAAAATATTCCTTTTAGTAATGGCGGTATTGTGCCATGAAGCCGGAAATGTGAGACTCTGGAAAGGATGTATTTAGCAGCCAATCACAGCGTTGCGGGCTGCGTGAGGCTTGCGTAGCTTTTTACACCAGTCTAGAAAAAAGAGAAGGGGTGGAAAAAAAGCACGCAACGGGCTCTTGCGTGTCCCTGCGTTTCTCTGAAAACGCACGACCATAAACTAAGCTTCAGACCTGGTTCTGGTTCTCCCGGGTCCTCCCCTAAGCTCCAGCAGGTCTAGCACTACATCCTGGGAGGGGAGGGAGGAGGCAACAGCAAAATGCGTTAAAAATGATTTGTGTAAAATAAATAAAACTGACACCCTTTCAAAATAAACCACCGTAGCAATACGAGTCATATTAATAAATGTTTAAAAATAACTCACCAAAAAAAGAACAAGTAAATCAAAGATTATGGTAGAAATATGTTGCAATATTTAGGGACAGTTGCAACTTTGCTGTTTGACTGGACAGATAAACAAATCAAAGTCCAACAGTTTTCTCTCCTGTCACTGGAGTAAATAATCAGTGTCTGAATTATATTTTTGGCATCATGACTTCAGTACAGTAGCAGATTACCGTAGTTTATGGAAAATGCTCAGAAAGTTGACATTTGATGTTAATGTTTTTTTTTTGGTAGTAATTCTCTACCACCAGGCGTCGCTGTTTCCACTCTGGACAAGCTCAGTCAAGTCAAGTTACACACAATGAGTCATTACCGGAAGTCCTTATCAGGAATCAGGAATCAGGAAACATTTATTGCCAAAATATGTCAAACATACAAGGAATTTGTCTTGGCGGTTGGTGCGTGACAGTAGACAGTGTAACAATAGACAAGACAGCAGTCCACAAGTAATAAAATAAAATAAAATGAAATGCTAATGCAATGGGTTAGTAGAATAAGGTTGTGGGTTAGTATAAAACAAGAGAATAAAGTTAAGTTAGAAAAGTAATGTCTTTTCCTTTTTCCAGCAGTGTATCTATTATGTGTGTGAGGAGGGTTTATATACGGAAGAAAACCGGAGGAGCTAGGATTCGTTTTACTCTGAAAGTGTGACCGGAAGCTTCACGTGTTGTTGCCATGGTGCCGGTGCGTGACTTGACCTCCGCTGCGCACGGAGCAGCTGCCGCCGGGAGGCTGACGCACGGCCGATAACCTCGCCTGAGACCCGGGCAGCGGAGCGACCGGAGCCTCGCACGGAGAGCGGCATTGTTCAGCCCGCGAACAGAGGCGTGTGGAGCGGATCCGGTTTCATACACCGCGCGCTGCGGCGGGAGAGGATCTGTTTTGGATGCGCCGATACAAACAAACCAACAACCGACCAGAGCTTGATGGGGATTTTTTTTTATTATTTTTTTTTTCCCAGGAAAGTAAACCGCTTTAAAATGGCAACCGCCGCCCGCTGCTGGCGACCGTAGAGCGCGAGACTCAGGTAAGGTCCCCCCGCCCCCACCTGGGGGCGAAGCTAGCTCCCGGTAGCGGACCCGCTGTGGTTTCTCGTCCCGATTTGACGCATTTCTCCCGGCGGCGGGCGAGTTGCCCTCCCGCTGTAGGACTGCGTCTCTTCGGGACGGCGGTCACGACCGAAGCCCGTTTGCAGCGCCGGCAAAACAAACACATTGTGCAACGCGGGCGCTCCGCTTGTTTTCACGGGGTGTTTACGGGCTTCTCTCGAGTCTTCGTGGCCTTCAGGTGCATTCGGCGCACATACAGTTGATGTGCTCCTCTATATATTTGGGTAAAACACATTGAAGAGCCCATCGGTCGCTCGCCACCGCCCTCCGGGACAGTCCGCGGGTGTAAAGCCGAGCACACGTCCGTCCGATAGTTGAATACTTGCACGAATAACTACGCGTTTCTGTAACGGACGTTGTAGAGGACAGCACCTGTCTGCGCTGCCAGGTGTGCGTGCGAGCCGGTGAACGAGGCCACGGAAAAGTACGTGTTCTATGAATGGAGTCTGGTGGGGACTCTGGTGGTCGGACACCTCGCTGGCAGCTGCAGCTGTCACATGGATGCTTGGACACGTTTCCACTCCGAACAACAACAAACAAAGTGAAATAACTGAAAGCTCAGCCACGACAAGTCCCCAACAATCGGTCCAGGAAGTGCTTGACGTCACGACGGACTTTGCACCTGTCCAACCTGCGGACAGGTGGATTCACCCCGGCTGACTTCAGGGGTTCGTGGGGCACTTTGGTCTGAGACGCATTGGTTTTTCTAGGGGAAACCCGTGGGGGGGGGGGGAGGGGCAAACGACTTGGCTCGTAATACGTCGTTGTGGTGACGTCATTGCAGAGGGCGTGACGATTAATACGTCATTTAATCAATGGCAAACTAAAAAAAAATACTGTTGATAGAAAGTTGAACGAACCCAAGTTCACTCAGCGCATCTGTTTCTCCCCTGGTGTTGACCCCTCTCCACTTGTGAGACTAGTGCCTTGCTCAAGGGCAGTGGTAAAGTATGCACGAAGGGTTGAGATCTGCACCTTCTGAGTTGGAAGCAGCTGCAGCGCTCCATAGAATTAACTTTGGGCTTCAATTGAGCCGCTGTGCTTTAGTTTATTAGAAAGTCCAAAAGTTCCCATTAATAGTTTGTACGATGATTTGTTTGCGGTGTACTCATGGACGCACGAGTCCTCCATCACAGGAGTGTTGTCACTAACGGACAGGTGAGAAGTGAGACAGACGTCTCGGGGACAAATGAGTTTTGTATCCATCTGTTCTGTCTCATCGGAGGAGATGTGCCGATTAAAAAATACGTTTGCTATCAGAAGAACCTTGGCAGGTCTAATGGATCATAAAAGAGGGGATGCTTTAGGGCGGGGCTTACTGTGATTGACAGGTCTCTAATAAATCATAAAAGAGGGGATGCTTTAGGGCGGGGCTTACTGTGATTGACAGGTCTCTAATAGATCATAAAACGGGGGATGCTTTAGGGCGGGGCTTACTGTGATTGACAGGTCTTTAATAGATCATAAAACTAGGGATGGTTTAGGGCGGGGCTTACTGTGATTGACAGGTCTCTAATAGATCATACAACAGGGGATGCTTTAGGGCGGGGCTTACTGTGATTGACAGGTGTTTAATAGTTCATAAAACAGGGGATGCTTTAGGGCGGGGCTTACTGTGATTGACAGGTCTCTAATAGATCATACAACAGGGGATGCTTTAGGGCGGGGCTTACTGTGATTGACAGGTCTCTAATAGATCATACAACAGGGGATGCTTCAGGGCGGGGCTTACTGTGATTGACAGGTCTCTAATAGATCATAAAACAGAGGATGCTTTAGGGCGGGGCTTACTGTGATTGACAGGTCTCTAATAGATCATACAACAGGGGATGCTTTAGGGCGGGGCTTACTGTGATTGACAGGTGTTTAATAGTTCATAAAACAGGGGATGCTTTAGGGCGGGGCTTACTGTGATTGACAGGTCTCTAATAGATCATACAACAGGGGATGCTTTAGGGCGGGGCTTACTGTGATTGACAGGTGTTTAATAGTTCATAAAACAGGGGATGCTTTAGGGCGGGGCTTACTGTGATTGACGGGTCTCTAATAGATCATACAACAGGGGATGCTTTAGGGCGGGGGCTTACCTGTGATTGACCAGGTCTCTAATAGATCATAAAACAGGGTATGCTTAGGGCGGGGCTTACTGTGATTGAACAGGTCTCTAATAGATCATACAACAGGGAATGCTTAAGGGGCGGGGCTTACCACAAGGTTTCAACACGGAAAAAAAGACCATGAGGAATAAAAGAAGACTGTCTCTCCGGTTCTGCTTGTCTTCTTTTGTCTCCTGGATAGAGACACATCCTCACGCCACCGTTTCTCTTTAAAACACTTATTCATTTTGTCAAAACCCACGGGTTAAAAATGTAAAGTAAGTCGCTTTGGATAAAAGCGTCAACTAAATGACCTGTAATGTAACTGAATTTGTAGAGGACCAGTTTGAACATCATGGTTTTAACATAATGACCCTGATTGGTTATATTTGTCAAATACAGTTGATGTAATACATTTTTTATTTGTTGTCATGGAGACGTCAAAAGCTTCAGAGATTTAAATATAAAGTGAGATTTGAGGTTCAACCCTTTTGGAGCTTTGACGTGTGGAAGTGGGACACAGCTGGTTTCCATATCAGGGTCTATTCCTCTCTGTGGGGGGGGGGCACATAATGACATCCCTCCCCCACCATCCGTCTCCTCCCCTCCCCCCCTGCGTGTGGGGATGATAACATCCTCCCACCCCCGATCCCCGGGGACGAATAAACCAGACCATCAGACAGCATCAGTCGCTCTTATTGCAGCATCAGACTGATGCAGAGTATTGATCCGATATTGGTGTTGTGGAGCTTATGAGATAAAAGACGAGAGATGCCGCAACTACCTGCAGAGGCTGCAGAGCGTTTTATGTCCGTCGCTCATGGGGACGGACGTGGACGCTGATCAGGGATCAGATCATCACCTGCCTCTACGTTACTTCAGCCAGCCGCGTCATGAAACATGTGCTGCTGGGCCTCACTTCCTCTTCCTCTCCTTCCTCCTCATTGTGTTTTCTGTTTGACTTCCTTTCCCCCTCGGCTGCAGGCGGTTGGTCTCCTGGATAGAGACACATCCGCACGCCACCGTTTCTCTTTAAAACACTCATTCATTTTGTTCCGTTGAGGCCTCGCACAACCATCAAAACACCTGAAAACGCGGTTTTAGTCTGAATTCTCTCAGATGGAGACGGGAGGACACGGAGGCCTTTGAAAGGGCGACGCTCTCTAGTCTATCGGGGTTCTCTATTGGGTCCGTACCTCGTACCTCGTGATTTATTCTGCAGCTACGATGCAGTTAAAATGATGCATTTTATAATTCAGTGACGCGGTCACATGCCCACAGAACGCCACACAAAGGTTGGTTTACAAAGTGTGGCATGTGTCTCCACGTCCTCTCTGTCCTCTGCAGCTCCATATGTCCTCTCCTTCCTCTGGAGCTCCATATGTCCTCTCCTTCCTCTGCAGCTCCATGTGTCCTCTCTGTCCTCAGCAACTCCATGTGTCCTCTCCTTCCTCTGCAGCTCCATGTGTCCTCTCTGTCCTCTGCAGCCCCATGTGTCCTCTCTGTCCTCAGCAACTCCATGTGTCCTCTCCTTCCTCTGCAGCTCCATGTGTCCTCTCTGTCCTCAGCAGCTCCATGTGTCCTCTCTGTCCTCAGCAACTCCATGGTCCTCTCTGTCCTCTGCAGCTCCATGTGTCCTCGCCGGTCCCTCTAGCAGCAGATCGGGCATCATGTCGGCGCTCTCGACTCACAAGGAGGGCGAGGCGGGCTGGGGCTGTCTGGAGGCTCTGGGTCTCAGTCAGAAGGAGCTGGTCCTGGGCCGAGGCTCTGCAGATGGAGTACGACGCCCTGTTCAGGCTCAAGCAGGACAAGAGCGGCACCGACAGCGGCCAGAGCGGCCCTCCGGACCCCCGCCCGCTCCAAGACCCCCAATTCCTCCATCGAACGCCCCCGGCCTGCCCCGAGCCAGCCCCTTCCCACCCCCGCAGGAGGAAGCCTGCTGAGGGGCCTCTCTGGCTCTGACTCCTCTCTGAATCAGCTCGGAGGGTCGCGGTCCTCCCAGTCTGTGACCTCTCCGGGCGCCCTCTCTGCAGGGGGGCTACGTCAAAGAGCCCCTGTACATCCTGGACAGTCCGGAGGTCAGCAAGTTCAGGGGACGGGCTCGGTTTCGGCCTCGGGGACTCGCTCGGATCCGGGTCGGGTTTCTCTCCAAGGGCCTCTCCTCTCTCCCGGACGATGTCCTCCAACTCTCCCCCTGAGACCCCCCACCTGTGTCGTCGGGGTTGTGACTGCTTCTTTACCGCCGGGTTTTTTGGATCCAAGAAT